CCCCCCCCCCCCCCACACACACACACACACACATCCGTGCGTTGCACATGCATTTTTGTATCGGACAGTAGCTGCACGGGGAGAGAAGGAGAGATAGACAAGCCAACTGTCCCATCAACGCTTATTTCGTCGGTCTTGACACGTATGACGTCTCAATGGGGCTCTGCGTGTGTCAGTATTTGCCTGTCCATGTGTGTGGGTGTCTTTCAAAGGGGGCAGGGCATGTGCTTCACATACATGGATACATACGTACGTACACCTACAAACACACTGCATGATTCGGTGACTGCTGCCGGACACAGTTGTCCCCGTGACTGGTGCATGTTGGTGTCCGCTCGATGGAGTGCATGCATGGCCAGACACTTTCAAGCTGCCTCTCTGAGCGAGTCTGATCCGTATGCAGAACAGTGACTGTGGGCGAATGTGTGTGGGCTACGTGGGTGTGTGTGTGGGTGTGTGGCGGCACACGAGAGAGGGAATGGTGCCGTTGTGTGCGCGTGGTGGCGACGGAGAGAGGGATGGAGGGGTTGGGGGAGGGAGGATTTACCACACAAGGATTCACACGTGTGGACGTGTGTGCCTAAACAAATATGCGTCATCGGTCGGTCGGCTCGTGTGGTGTCGTGTCGCTGTCGGGCAGGCAGGTTGTGTTGTGTTGTGTTGTGTGGTTTGTCTTGTGATTGTGCAGTATTGCCTAAGGGACGACGAGGCGCATGTAGATGTGTGCGTAAGGGACACGAAAGTACGTACGGCTGATTTTTGTGTGCGTGGGGCGGTGGGCGGCGGTGAGTGGCGGGGAGTGGGGGAGAGAAGGAACACGTAGCGTACCGTTGTCATGGTTAGGGGGATAATTTCTGAGTCGTAGCCCCCTGTCGACACACTCGACATGAGGTGTGCATACGGCATTTGTGATGTCTGGCTAATTCTGCGCATCTGCGTACACACATTACACACATATTTGGTCTTTTTCGAAAGGCAGCGAGGCGGTGATGCGCTCACGGGCATCGCCTCCTCGCCAGGCGGATCGTCGTTTATGGCGGGACATCCTCTGGGTCCATGGCGCTGCTGGTTGTTTGGTCGAGCGAGAGATTTGCTGCGTGCGATGTGGGGCGGTTGCATACCCCACCGGGAATGGGCCCACCGGGGGATGAGGGCGTTTCCTTTCTGCTGCTTGCTGGCTCCTCTTTCCGAGACATACATGATACATACGATCCACTCGCTGCATTGTCGCGTGTGCGTGTCCACAGCTGCCTGTGTGTGTGCTGTGCATGGTGATACGTGTCATATGTGGCGCTGCCTTTATTCTCATCCGCAGCGCATCCATGTGGCCATACACGGCAAGGATCGATAGCAATGCGCTGCCTGCCTGCCTGCCTTCGTGGATCGTCTTGCTGATATCCCAACACACAAATCCCAACCTCTCTGTGTGTGCGTGTGTGGAGAGGGGGAATGGGCGAGGAGTTTTATCGGGCTCGGGCTCTTCTGCACACACCTCATCTCTCGCCTGTCTGTCTGTCTGTCTGTCTTGGAAGGGGGAGTGCGCGCCGCTCGAGAGAGAGAGAGAGACAGGAGTTGGGTGGCGTCTGCAGGGGGGCGGTGTGAGTGTTCGTTCTGTCTTTGTTTGTCGTATGTGTGCGCGTACGTATCCCTCTATGTGTCATTGGAGAGGTGGGTGTGCTGTAGTGGGTGACGTCTGACTGGGGCCCTCTGCCATGCAACTCTGTCTGTCTGTTTGTCTGTGTTGCCCTTCCTTCCACTCTCCTCCACTCGCAAGTCGGTTACAATAGGTGAATGCGTATGTGCCCTCTAGGTGTGGCGCGGTGGATGAGAGGGGCGGCGGCCCCCCCCCTCACACACACACACACACACACACTCGCAATGAGTGGCTGCTGGCTGATTGCATTGCGTTGTCTGCACGGTGGTGGCTGGCGATGCATTGTGCTCTGGGGCCATCAACGTGAGAGCGCCATCAGCGTGTCTAGGTCATCGATGATCGCACCACTCTCTGTCTGTCTTTGTGTGTGGCTGGCCTTTGGCTTCTGGCCTTTTCTTTGACGTCTCTGCGGCCCTGAGTGCCTGATAGTTTGTCTTCAGATCACTTGTAGGTAGGCGTCCATGACTCCATGCGTGTCGCCTATCGCTCCTCACGCGGGACGCCTCGCTGGATTGCCTGACATCTGTCTGTGTTTTTATGGTGGTGGTGCTGCCGATACAATCCTTTTTTCTCTCCCTCTCCCTGCCGTTCTGCGTACGTACGTACGCACGTACACAAGAGTGTCATGCTGCTGGGATCTTCTGGCCATTCATGGAGCTGGAGAGACGATTCTGTGATATCCATGGACACATCCGTCCAAGAAACAGACTTATACATGCGGTCCACATGAAGAGACATGAAGAGACATTTTTCTACGTAACATCGGAAAACAGCTGAAGACGCCGTGCGCGCACAGAAACTCCCTTACCATCCATTACCATTTTGAATCAACTACGATCTATTTCTCTATCCGACCTCGAGAAAGAAACTGTCCACGAAACTATCTTGTCCCTCCAGAATGAGGGAAGGGAGATTTTGTCCGCCATTACTGACCTGACGTGCAATCTCGACATCACATACTGCGTGCAATCCTGTCGAAAACGCGCCTCGACTCAGCACAATCACACGCATGATTCGGGCCACACTCAGCACCACATGTTGGCCCGAAAACAAAACCTACAGCCATAAGGCAGTCTCATCTGCAGCACCTCCGCTCAACACAGCACAGCACAGTACAGCACAGCCCTCGGGCACATCACGGCAGGGAATCATCTGGCAGCGGGTGCAGGCCGTTGACGCGCTGGTTGTCTGTGACCTCATGTCGCACATCTGATTGTGTCATGGCCGACAGAGAAAGGCGACACTGTCGAGGGCGCAGAGTAGGCCGGACACCATTGGCGAGTCGCCCTACTGGTCGAGTGGCTCGTGTGCTGACTTCTTCGCCCTCAATATGGCAGCGGACTTCTGGGCACATGTCAACAGAGGGGGGGCGGGGGTGGGTCGTGCGAGTGAGGAGTGACCAGGGCGGGAATGAGTGTTTGTTTGTTAAGTGATGGACTCAGTACATTGTCGGTGTTTGAATAAATTCTTTGTCCAATGCACTGGTGATGTGTTCGTTGAGCGGTTTAAAAGCTAGACATCATGATACACATTCACCTTTGAGTCGACCGACATGCAAACACCCAGAAATACAGGACCCCAGCCACGTGGCGTCTCCTCTAGTCCTTGCCTTCTGCCGGCCCTCACTCGACGGACGACGGACTCACCACTGAGTGCACAAATGGATGGATGGATGCCTTCACTGCTGCCGGCCACAAATCAATCAGTCGGTCAGGTGTGGCAGGGGGGGATGCTATGAATGAGGGACGGGAGAGACAGAGAGAGAGGCGCCAGGAGCCATGGACGGTCTCACCCTCTAGAAGCGACGCGTTGCAGTCAGGTAAATGATGTCATCAAGGTCCCGTGCGTTGATAGTGAAGTTGTTGCTAAGCTCCGTGCCGGTGGGGAGCAGCTGTTCAATGGCATCGCGAACGGCGTCGACGCCATTAAACACACGCGCGGTCAAATGCTGCAGGCCTCGCACGGCACCGGCGATGGCTGAGATGCCGTCGCGGATGCGCTCGGCAGCAGCAGGGGGGTCCAAGCCGTCGGGCACTGAGGAAGGAACAACACACACACACGGCAGCAATGCACACACACAAGATGAGCCAGCCAGTATCCTTTGTTGCAGAAATTGCATACCTGGCACCCATATGTCTATGTTTTGGATCGACGGGAAGCTAGCCGATCGCCAGCCGTCCAATGGACCCTCAGTGAGACTGACCTCCCAGTCACCGACGTCGACTTTGCCCACCTCCCTCCCCACCCCCAGCCCCTCTAACACGCCCCTCCCGTCCTCTGCACTCACAGCTGAGAAGAACCACAGCGACTCCACCTTGTTCGGCATCTTCTCTGCCAGCAGCTGACCCGCAGCACCGCCAAGAGCACTGTCGATGATCAATTCTCGGGCTCTTGGGAGCTGCTGCAGGTGTTGGATGATGGCGGGGCGGGGCGAGGGGGTGTTGGGAGGGGGGACGAAGCCAAAGGCATTGCGGACCCACACGTCCTCCACGTTGTCGAATGTGAGTGTCTTGGCGATGTCGACGGCCGCCTGGCTGGGGCTGTCGACGGGGTGAGTGAGATCATGCTGGCTGATGTCGTAGTTGAGCTGTCCCGCGTTCCTTGCGGCCGCCTGGATGGCCATCATGACGAGGGGGGAGGGGTTGAGGGGAAAGTGGTCGCTGTAGAACAGCGACAGGTCGAAACCGTCGACACATCGGAACTCGAAGGCGACGTTGGCGTCGGCTCGGCAGCACGAGCTGTGCAGCGACTCGAGGGACTGCAGGAGGGGAAGGACACGACTGTCGATATGGCTGCGTTGGATCGCCACCGTCAGCTGAGTGAGTGACTGGCGGCAGCCACGCGATGTGAGCACCGCCTACAGCACACAGCAACAGCACACACACATATGGTAAGATTGCACCGTCCAGACCTGTCTGTCGCGTGCATCTATTGCTGGTGAGTTACCTGCAGTCTGTCCACCGCTGCACGCGCCCGGTCGATGCTAGCATCGCCGGCCGCCAGCTCGATGGTGCCGATGCTCTGCAGACCTGCAAGGGGACCTCTCTGCCCAGCAGCTGCCTCAGGCATGCGCTCGAACACCGCCGCCCAGTGCTCGCCGACTGCCCACAGCCTCCCGCCCACGTGGTGCAGTGACTGTGACGAGCTGATGAAGCTGCCCAGCTCATCGGCCCCCCACCTCTGCTGCTCCACTGTCTCGAGTGACGGCATCCGCCACCCTCTGTCAGCCAGGCCGCGATGATCGGCGAGGACGCCGGTGACGGTCGTGAGCGCATCGAGCGATGGAGGCGGGACGAAAGGCGCGATCTGGTCAGGGGGTAGCTGCTGTGGTCGGCCGACGGTACTCATCTCCCTCTCAGCCAATCGCACGGTCCGTTGCAATGTGATGGTCCGCAGGGTGCCGCCATTCATGTTGGCAGCCCGCCGGCCGGCAACATGGCCCTCGATCACGGTGATGAAGACGTCGATGCACCACAGAGCCTTACCCACGGGGTAGCGGAGAGTAATTGTCGTCAGCCGAGTGAGTTTGTTGGCCCATTGGGTGACGAGAGCGAGAGGGACCCGCTGCCACACCGACCGCTCGTTGCTGTTGGTGCTGTCGATGGTGAGGTGTGTGTGTGTGGGCGCTGTGTGCTCCCAGGCCGTGTTGGACAGCAGGCCGAGCAGATAGAGCGGCAGAAAGGCCGTGATGCAGTTGACAAGACCATCCTGCGCAAAGGCAAAGACACACAGATAGCCGACAGTGAGTCAGGTGCTTCATTCAGACTGTCTGAGTCATTTGCTCTACCGTGTCTGTGATGGTCTGCCTGAGTTCCCTCTCCCTTTCGGCGCGTCGCTGATCCTCATCGCTTGCAGCAGCTGCAGATGGCTCGGCGGAGCGGCCTCGCTTGGCCTATTATCTCTCACACAGACGAGTGAACGATGAGCTGACAAACAATCAGGCCCCTGACACCTCTCATTCATTCACCTCGCCTGCCGGCCGCCGTCCGCAGCAGCAGCAGCAGTGTCAGACATCGTCCCTCACTGCACAGTGACACGGGCAGGAACAGCGAGCAACTGGATGGAGATTAGGGTCGTCGTTGAAACCGACGCTGCGAGCTCAGATCTTGGACCATCCATCGCGCTTCACTCTTCCAACGCCACGAAATCGCTCACGGCGCCGGCTGCTGTCCGCCCTTGACGATGCAGACGGTGTTTCAGCAGATGCACTCATCGCGGCAGCGTCACAGAAAGTGTCGGCTCTGCCGGCATGTCTGAGCCTGAAGTGTCGGCCAGGTGTCTGATGGCCCACCTGCTGTCATCCGACACACTCCATGTGCCCAAGAGGCTTCTGACTCAGAGAACACCACTCACCGAGTGGCAGCGGCGGCTGTTCGATTCGTTATCCCTCAGGCGGCTGGAGGGGATGCCGGTGCAGTATGTGGTGGGGCGGTGGGACTTCCACCACATCATCCCACGGTACACACAGACACACACAGGCAGAGAGATGGGGGCGTCTATGTATGTGTGCCGGCCTGTCTGTGTGTGCAGGCCCGAGACGGAGGAGCTGGTTTAGCTCATTTTGGAAGAAGTGCGGCGGTCGGTGATTCACTTGGTGGATGTGGGGGCCGGCACCCTGGCGCTGCTCAAACAAGCGCCCACAGCGAGGTGGGTGAACAATCCACAGAGAGAAAGACGATGGCCATGTAAGCCTCTGTGTGTCATGAGTTCGTTCTCTCAGGTGCACAGCGATTGATTTGAGCCCACACGATGTTCGGTTGGCTTCGGAGAATGCGGCCACTTTGTCCTTGGCCGAGCGGTAGAGGTGCCTGCAGGCCGACATGCTGACATTCGAGCCGCCAGACGACGAGCGCTATGACCTGATTGTCAGGTAAGAAGAGATGCACTGTTGACGAGTCGACAGTGCACTTGCCTTCTCTGCGTCTGTGTGTGCGAGGCCCACAGCAGAGGGCCATTAAAGAGACTTTGTGGACAGCTGTGCGTTGCTGTCATGCGTCAGGGATTACGAGGACAGCGGCGCCCTTGACGGCGGCACCGATGGCATGCTCTTCGTCCGATCGCTGGCGAGCAGAACGGCCGCCTACCTCAAGCCACACAGCCAGGGCGGCATACGGCAGGTGACAAGGCCCTCTGTAGCGCAGCAACTGTCTGTCGTCACTATCGTCCTCTCCTTCACTGTCTGCAGGTGTGGTTGGAGACGGACTCGTCCCATCCAGAGGTGCTGTAAGGGATGGTCGCCAAGAGGGACGGCTCGGGCGACTTTGGCCGTGTGGTGACGATGAAGTGGTGGCGGGACCTCAGCGGCCATCCGCGATTTGGCAGTCTCGATATGAAGGAGTGAGTACGGTGGTCGCGACGACAGGACGGCATTCCTACTTTGGAAGGAAGATGACGTTAATGTGGAGCAGCGTGAGCCAAGGCCAACTGGGGACAATGCTGCGCTGCAGGGTGAGGGAGAGGAACAGATCAGCGCAGAACACACGCCTTGTGTGTGTGTGTGTGTGTGTGTGTGTCTGATAGGCTGCTGGTTGCACAGAGGTACGCATTGGTGGAGATTGACGGACGGCCACAGCAGCAGCGCAACACCGCACTCATGTGTACCATGTCCATTCGGTGCTTCAGAACCACGCCAAGCGCTACTGCCGTGTCTGCCGCACCAAGGACAGCGACCACCGCGCCATGAACTGCCCCACCCTCACAGCTAAGTACACTTCCGGCCGCTGTGTCGGCTACCACCAGACGTCTCCCGATCGCGGCCAACAGATCACGCAGTCGGGCGTCATGCAGCCCAGTGCGTCGGGGGCCGCTGGGTGCGGCATCTACTTCGCCATCCGGCCAAACGAGACTCAGCGCAAGGCCCACAACCATGGCTGCATGGTGACGGCGGAGATCTCCCTTAGGAGGCCCAAGCATGTGTGGCGGGGAAAGGTCCCCAACGTGACTTACGAGTCCCTGGCAGCTGAGGGGTATGACGGGGTGATAGTGCATGGGTTTAGGTCGGGTGTGGAGGTTGTCGTGTATAAGTCAGAGCAGGTCAGAGTGCTATCTGTACAGGACATGTGATGGATGGCCAGCTCTCCGTGCGGTGTTTTTCGCCGCTTTTCCATGTCCACGCAAAGTGACCACGATTCACATGAAATCACGATTGTTCGCTAGTGGAAAGTCCGACATCAACGACAAGAACTGGACTGACTGGAAGGGAAGGAGAGAAAGGGGAGAATGGCTCGGTGGATCTGCACAGCTTCACATGGGTCGACGCACACAGACACTGTCAGGCACACCGAAGTCAGCGTGTCGATAAAAGGGACACAGCACCCGCTGACAGCTGACTGACAGCACTTGCATCACAACACGGCAAGTCGTAAGACGGAGCATTCAAGGAGGTGTAGCACAACTGCCTGAAGATCATCCGCCAACCGATCACAATGCGGGTGCGAGTCCCGCCGCCTCCTTTCTCTTACACACGTCCTGTCGCTTGTCTTGTCGTGCAGTGATACAAATGGCACGACCTGTCTTCCTCCTGGTTGGAAGAGTGAAGCGATGTGACGACAAAATGACTCATCGCTTCTCGCTCAAATCGACGCCATGGATGCTGCGGTTCATGAGGCTGCGTCTGAACGCCTAATGCCTTGCCGTTTGTCCCGTTTTGTCGAGCCAAAGAAAGGGATCGCCCGTCTGCGAGCTGAGGTTGCAAATGAGACTGAACAGCAGCTCATGATCCCCACTCCCCTCCACACGCCGCCCTCTATGTGCTTGTGTGTGCGTTTTTTCAGACGACGTCACCGGATGGTATTCCTGCACTCCTCTGTATTCCTAAAGGGGAAAGATGCTCGCGTGGAGGTTCCTGACGACTGACTGAGGACCATGCCGCGCTGCAGGGTGAGAGATCTGATAGATAGACGGGCGCGTATCGGCATCTCCCTCACTCCTCTGTCTGTCTGTCGGTCGGTCGGTCGGTCGGTCGGTGTGTGTGTTTCCGTGTGTCTGACAGGCTACTGGTTGCACAGAGGTACGCATTGGTGCAGACAGATGACCAAAACAGCGCCACACCGACCTCCCGTGTGCTGCTTTTATTGCTTCAGGACCACTCCCAGCACTACTGCCGAGTCTGCCGCACCAAAGACAGCGACCATCGCGCCAGCAACTGCCCCACCCTGAGAGCCATCTGTACCGCCGGCCGCTGCATTGGCTACCATCAGACCTCTACCGAGCGCGGCCTGCAGATCAAGCAGTCGGGCGTCATGCAGCCCAGTGCGTCGGGGGCCGCTGGGTGCGGCATCTACTTCGCTATCCGGCAGAACGAGACCGAGCGCAAGGCCAAGCAGAAGGGATGCATGGTTACGGCGGAGATCACCATGAGCAAGCCCAAGACGGTGTGGCGGGCGGATTCTTCCAATGAGACGTACGAGTCGCTCTCGGCTGAGGGGTATGACGGCGCCATTGTGCATGGGTATTGGTCAGGTGGGGAGATAGTGGTCTACCGGCCAGAGCAGGTCAGAGTGCTGTCTGTTGAGGACATATGAGTGAGTGCCGTGTATCTGGAGCCTTTTCTGGCTTTTATTGCAAACACAGTGAGTCTTCTTACCTCTTTGTTTGATGTAGCCTGTCGAAATGGATGCGTGTCAGTGCTTGGCGACTGTATGCGCCAATCCACCTTTGACGGCGGCCACATTTGGGTCAGTCATCAGTCTCATTAATTACAGCATGGTACATGGAGGTCGCATCACAGCCCGTCATAAGATCTCTTGTGTCACTCACTGGTCCGAGTATGTACACACACAAGGGCACCGAGACCATATGGATACCCGCCCTCTCATCACATCACATCCCATCCTGTCTGGCTCGCTACCGGTCCTTCCTCTCTTCGTCCGATGCCCCCTCCCTCTCCACCTTCTCCCACCCATTATTGCTGTCATTCCTCTGAGCTCTCGGCTCGCCCGCACTTTCCTCCTCGGCCCTAGTAGATTGCCGCTGGAAATGCTCCTTCAGCCGATTCAGTATCAGCACGATGCCGCAGGTGATAACGGCACACAAGCGGGCCAGGGGGTGGGAGTTGAGGAGGAAGACCAGGGCGCATATGGCGATGGTGAGCTTGGCCACGATGGCCCAGTCGACGAACACGAGAGCGCCGATCAGCAGCTGACTGAGAAGGACCTCTTGTGACCGATGCATGGCTGGCTGGCTGACAGATGGAGAGGACCTGAGGAGGAAGAAGAGACAACCGGCACTCCGTGCATTGGTTGCTCCGCGTACTTTCGTTCAGCCTGGAAGCTGAAGATGCACCAAGCCTCAGTATGAGTCACGCTACGACCCTGGAGGACACACACTCACACACAGACACACACACAAAGGCAATCAATCGGTGAACACGCAGACAAGGAAATGGAATCTGCACGCCTTGATCTTCCTCTCTGGCGCAGTCCTCAGCGAACTTTGAAGAGATTTGTACACAGACACTCCTTTGCAGGTACTGTGATGACCTAGCTGAGGTCTGGCTGTCATCAGAGGCTGCCGCATTCGAGAGCACCTCAACAAAATCGCCAACTCCTCACCTCAAAGAGATGTGCCCATCCTGCAGACGTCGTGCAGACCCAGATCTGGCAAGAAGAGGCCTTTTTCCAGGGAGCAGTTTCTCCTCCCTGCGATTTCTCCTGCATTGCGAGCTTAGAGGGGTGCGACCCAGAAGAGAAAGCGGATTCCGACGGACGAGAAGGTGAGCCACTGTATAGCGGACGAGAGCAGAAACGCACAAGCCCGGCTTTTGTCAATCAGGCGAGCAAGAGGAGGCCCCATTCGGTGACTTGTGACAGTGAGGACGGGCCTGATGCAGCCAGAACAGCCAGTTTATGCCGTGGGGATGCCATATGCCGTTGAAGTCCAGCCACAAACACCGTTTTTGGACAAGGTACAGGCAGTCGCATGCAATACCGAATGTCACCTCAAGCCATTCTCTCTTGTGCATCGCATATCTGTTTCACCGCGTCTCTCGACAGACGTATGACATCAAGTACACGGCATGCTGGCGGGTACACGCACGCACAAGAGGGACACCCACATCTTGCAAGCGCGTAGCCAACTGCTCTCCTTCATCATCATTCGCTCTGTGTGTAGTTCCTGGTGGTCCTCCCCTTTCTGGTCGTGGTCGCCCTCGTGATCGCCTTGAGCGCCGGCGGGGGACTGGTTGTGGTGATACATGCCGGGCCGTCATGGTTCATTATGTAAGTCAAAGATGAGAGAATGACCGAATGACCAATGAACAGAGGGCAGCCTTTCTCTATTACTCTCTCCCCTACTCACTATCACTCTCTCCAGAGTGGTCGTCGTCTCGATAGTAGTTGTGGCATCGTCACCTCGAAAAGTGGAGAAAACCTCCTTTGGTACACACAAGCTGAATGAGGGAGGGGTGGAGGAGAGAAAACCTGTTAGTTCATTTTGTGTGGCACTGTCCTGTGATCCAACCTTAGGCTACGTACTCAGAACCTTCTGCTGTCAAAAGACTCTCAGATTCTCTCAAGTGGCTGACATTGCCCAGATCGGTAAGACAGACCGGGAAAAGACGGAGACACTGGCTACGTGCATGGTGCATGATACATACCTGCCGCTGATGTTTGTTTATGCAGGGATGTGCCAGCCGGTGTGCTATTGTGGGCGCACAAAGGGCCAATTGACTGATCCGTCTGGTACGGATCTCTAAAAGGCACCTGACTGGCATACACCGTCATATGTGGTTATCAGATGGCGTGCTGATGAAGACTGACTGCTGCAGTTACGCCCTAATATTCTCTCCTGCCTGCGGCTCACTGGTAGTTGCTCCTTGACTTGACTTGCTCGTCATCAAGAGAGATATTCATGTCTGTGTGCAGCAATTCATTGCGGAGAATCGGCCGTTCATTCCGGCAATGAGCGGCCAGATGACAGGAGCACAGTATCAATACCCTGCTGTCACACTCTATCAGCAGCAGCCTCTTCCTCCTCAGCCAATGCAGCCCGTCGGCGGCTACATCCAACCTTTCCACCCAGCCCCATCGGCCACTCCTCCGGGCCCTCCCGGCTATTTTGAAAGCTCCCCAGCCCCGCCCCGTTACTCAACAGCAGCGACGGCAGCAGGTCCAGTGCAGAAATTCTAGGCGTGGCGTGCGAGTGGGTGTAAGTCACCGAGGAAGACTATGGCGTGTGCTCCAATGGTGAGCTTGGCCACGATGGCCCAATCCGCAAACTCGAGAGCGCCGATCAGCAGCTGACTCAGACTTGCCCCTTCTGACTGAGAGACGGGCTAACGCAGCCCGCATTCGACGTCGGATGGTGAATTTCTGTCCGGCGTAGTGAGACTTGATGAACGGTGGCAGAGGCAGATGCCTGCGTGTCTGTGGAGGCAGACGCACAATCACGCAAGTCTTTCATTCACGCGGAAAGGGGGACGGATGGTGTGCATGCATCGTTTGTGTGTGTCGGTGAATTAGTCAGCCACTTAAGTTGACTGCAGTGTGCTCTGGATCAACATGCACACACACACACACACACACGAGCACAACCAGCCAGCCGTCGCCCGACGGGATAGAAACAAGGGCCGGGCGCTTTTCCCCCGCGCTTCTAAAATACGGGGCATGTGAAACCCAGGGAGTAGCCGGGAAACCTTGGTGAGCCGGACTCGCCGCCCTGGTCATTGCAGGGTGTTCTGCAGTGCTGCTTGCATCGTCTGAATGAATGCCTTGTGTGTTCATGAGGACGCCCGAATGAGTGAATGAATGAATGAATGCATGAATGAATGAACGAACGACATGTGGCACATGTCAATCGCCCTTCATGTGCGAGCTCGCAGATCGGAAGAAAGAGGAAGGAGCAGAGGCCGTTTGTGGCGGACGAGAGGAGAAACACACAAGCCCGGCTTTCTGTCCACGAAAAGACTACGAGCAGCCCCCATTCGAGAGTCTTCTCGGAGCCGGGATGCAACCGACTTATGCTGTGGGGCTGCCGATGGGCGTGCAGTATGGAGGCCAGCAACAAATGCCGTCACTACAGAAGGTACGAGTGGTCGCATGCAATATAGCGTTGTCAGCTCAAGCCATTCTCTCTTCATATGTGTGTTGCCCCGACTATCAGACGTACGACATCAAGTACACGGCATTCTGGAAGGTACACGCACGCACAAGAGGGACACCCACCTGCATCCGTATCTGCTTGCTTTGTCATGCGCTCTGCGGACATGAATCGCGACGTCTCTCTCTCTCTCTCTCTCTCTGTTGTGTGTGTGTGTCTAGTTCCTGATAGCCATCCCTTTTCTGGCCATACTCGCCCTTGTGATCGGTACTACGGCGGCCGACGCAGCGGTTGTGCTGGTGTCTATGTCTCATGTGCTCATAATGTAAGCAAACAGAGATGGGAGACATACCAATGAAAACACACGGTGTCTCCGTGTCAATCTCGGCTGCTCTTTGCAGACTGGCCATCCTCATTGTCATATCCGTGGCATCGGCACCTCGAAACGTTGAGAGGACACACTTTGGTACATACACACATGGAAAGGAGGAGAGTGGGAGAGAAGAAAGCTTGTCGGTCGTTCATTTTATATGCATGGCGGTTACACTGTATTGTAGGCTATGTACTCAGGACCTTCTTGTGCTCAAAGACTCTCAGATTCGCAGAAGTCACTGACATTGTTCAGATCGGTAAGACAGACAGGGAAAGGATGGAGACACATCGGCTATATGGATGAGAGATACACGCTGCTGATGTTGTCCTTATACAGGCTGCACCAACCCGGTGTGCTATTGTGGGCGTACAAAAGGCCAATTGACTGATCCTTGCGGTACGGATCTCCAAAAAGGCATCTGACTGGCATACACCGTCATATGTGGTTATCAGATGGCGTGCTGATGAAGACTGACTGCTGCAGTTACGCCCTAATATTCTCTCCTGCCTGCGGCTCACTGGTAGTTGCTCCTTGACTTGACTTGCTCGTCAACAAGAGATATATTGATGTCTGTGTGCAGCAATTCATTGCGGAGAATCGGCCGTTCATTCCGGCAATGGGCGGCCAGGAGACAGGGCCGCAGTATCAATACCCTGCTGTCACACTCTATCAGCAGCAGCCTCTTCCCCCTCAGCCCATGCAGCCCGTCGGCGGCTACACCCAAGCTGCCCCTCCCGCATATTCTGAAAAGACACCTGCCCCAGCAGCAAGTCCTGTGCAGAAATTCTAGTCCTAGGTGCGGCTCAAATTTCTAGTGCACACAAAAGAGACAATACAGACACTCCATCAGTAAAGCAATCAATCCACCCATTGTGGGATGACGAATATTCTCTTTCTTCTCGGGTGCCTCTGTGAGCATGTGCGTGTAGTGATGATGCAAAGGATGCGTGTCATTATTTGACATCCTTGATCCCTCATTCTGTCCTCGGTGCTCGCAGTCTGAATGAACGAAGAAGCTGTTTCGATACTCTTGGACGGACGTTGGCTGTGCAGTGAGCGCAGTGAGCGAGGCGTACGCCTGTGTGTCTCTCGTCGCTTGACCATCACTGTGGGACAATAAGAAATGCTGAGGGGGTACACACCGTGTTGAACTTTAGGGGGAGGAAAAATGCTTTTATGGTCAATATCCATCCACTCAGTAGAGAAGACAGTTGTAGACGTCCATCAATAAAGCAATCAGTCCACACACACTTGTCATTGCAAACGACAGTGGGAAAATTGACTGCGATCATGTCTCTGTGGCTCCGTGTATCTTGCATGACGCGACGGATGCCAACGCCCTCGGAGACCTAGACCCAGAGCAGTTGACACTCTGCTCTCAATCCGCGTCCTCGACAGCAGAGCCACCCGACCCACCGTGCACATCCACAAAGCAACACCTCACGAATTGCATCGGCCCATCCACAGCGCATAATGACTGACTGATGCGATTCAACACACACGGGTCGAAAAATTATAGCAGCAACGAACAAACCCTCCCCCTGCCCGTCCCCTCTCCTCTCCTCTTCATGTCGATCACGCCACCACTTCAGTAGGTGGCGGCATCTCGGCCATGATGCTTTCGGGCCTGAGTGGCGGTGGGGGGCCGTGGGTGTCGAGTATGCGCTTGATGTGTGCGAGTGTGAGGGGCTGCTTGGTCTGCACCATGCGGATCACGAACGAGGGAATGTTGCCCTTGACCTGAACAGACAGATGGATGAAGCAGCCAACCAGCACCAACCAACAGTGCAATGGATGCCTCGCTGGCTCCGTGCACGTGTGTGTTTTGCATCTGCTTGACGTACGTCGACATGGTTGACGTACGTCACGTGCAGGGTTCCGTCCGGCAGCGGCTGCAATACGTAGCCAGCCACCTGCACCCACACACACGTACTTAGTCTCTTCCTGTGTTCCTGGTAAGTCCGTTCTCTCATTGCCCTTACGTGTAGGTCAGCCCGCACAAGGGCGTGTTCTGGCGGTTTGCCCCAGTCGATGGATGTGGTGGTGATGGTCACACGGCCGCTCGGGTCTTCAAAGCGGTGGCCCAGCAACACAAAGTCCCGGCCAGCCACGCCCAGCTGAGGCTTGAAGGCCTGGTAGACGACGAACAGATGCTCGCAAAACACATGGAGAAGATGACCTTCAATGAACAGACAGACGAGAGGAGTGAGTGCCTGTGACGCACTCCTTGTTGTTCTGTCGTCTTCAGTAACCGACCTTTGTCAAACATGCCGTCCCACTCGTGCTTTCTGTCCAGGAGCAGGATGTAGTCGGCCACCTGTTTGGCCGTGAATGCGGTGCCGAAGTTGAGACGGCCGCGGACTGCCGCTGGGCCATGGGGAATGTCATGGCGACCCAGCTGCATGGAACACAACACACACACATCACGGACAGGGCAGTGGTGCGAGCTCTGTCGTCCGAGCATTCTCCCTCTCTCTGTCGTCGTCTTTGCGTACCTGGACGCCCTCCCTGATGCCGCAGTCGGTCCAGCCCTCCTCGCCCAACGCAAACTCTAACAGCTTCTCCCGCTTGGCAAAGGCCTGCAGGGACACACACTCATCCATCCATCGATGAGCGACAGCAGCTGGGCAAATTTCAGCGGTTCAAGTGTTTACCATGTTGGTCAGCTGGTGTGCGCGGGTCTCCTGTGCTGTGCGAGGGGGCGAAGGGGGCACTGGTGTGGTCGATGCGCTCGTGACCGACGTATGGCCCTCGGCAAGTGCATCTACATGCGCATGTGCAGCGGCACCGCGGACGTGCGCTTGGACATCTACCGAGAGGCATATGAAGGACACTCGCCATGATCCGTGTCAGCGCCCTCCCCGTCTCCCACTCACCAGCCGCCGGCTGTGCGTGTTCGTGCACATGTGGCTGTGGGTGTGGCTGTGGTTGTCGCTCCCCGTCGTCCTTGTCTTCTTGCGGTGTCTGGCTGGTGGAGTCATTCTCGTCTGTGTCCTCCAGATGCAGCGCAGTGGTGGTGCTCACATCGTCCGACAAACGGCCACCACGGCCGCCCTGCAGACCAAACCGGTCGGACATCCTGAACGGAGAAGAGAAGAGAACCAAGGAAGACATGCCATGTGGAAGCTGTACCTAAGTTTGCTGGCTGCTGAGCTATCCTTCTCACTTGTCGCCGCCTCTGGTGTGCGCGACCATGGGCACGACACCGGCGAGAGGAGCCCGGAAGGCCACAACACTCTTCAAGCCCTCCAGTCCCTCCACCCATCCGCGGAAGTTCATGTACCCGCCGCCACTGGGGGCCTCCACAGGGTCATAGAACACCTCACGACCCTCACCAGGCGCATCCTCACTCGTGGTGCTGTTGTTCTCGGCCTCTCTCAGCGCATCGGCGGGGATGGAGTGGCCGGGCGGCTGCAGAGGGCCGCCGTTCGCGGCCGCCAGGATGGTCAATGGCGTCCACTGAGAAGGTGGGAGGGTGAAGAGCAGCCCCCCAAGAGCGATGGGGCAGGTGATGTCCCTGCCGATACCCACACCCAACGCCTCCTCGAGAGCGATGGATCGGCTGGGGAAGAAGATGAAGGACGTCAGGCGGGTGATGGTTGTGGTGAGGGGGAGGGCTGCTGGTGACGGGGAAGGGAATGAGAGGTCGGGGGGGCATGACTCGATCAGGTAGGCGCGGAAGGGGTAGGTGGGCGTGAGGGATGGATCGGGGGGGCCGCTCAGGGGGTAATCATAGTCCACCCACTGCACACACAGATACACAGCGGAAGGCGTGTCAAAGTGACCCGTGTGTGTATACCGGTCTTTTGGACGTACCTGCCAGCCGTTGTCGTTCCTGGTGTCACCCTCATCGGCATTGAGAGGCGGCAGCAGCTTCTCGATCACGACGTAGGTCCTCTCGTCACAGCGCAACACCAGCTGGCGAAGCAGAGACCGCCTGGACACAGAATGAACATTCTTCTCGCCTTCATGCAGTGAGTAGTCTCTGACTGACCTGAGCGTGGTTCGTCCGTTGGGCAGCGTCTGCAGTGCGTGCAGGGCGAGTGTCTGGTCGTAGGGGCTGCGGCGCTCCACGCACTCACAGCGAGTGGCCAACGGGTCCCACTCACACCTGCACACAAACAAGGAAGGAAGGAAGGAAAGACAGGGTATTATGCACCCATCCGTCTCCATCTCCCAATTGTACTCGTCTCCTGACCTGAGCTTCGGTTCGGTGAGAACCGCCCTTACGAGATCCGGCACCCCGCTAACCACACACGTGGCCTTGACAACAAAAGGCTTCTCGCACGGCGGCTGTGCCACGGGCCGCCCCATCCCAAGCCCACCCTCCACACCAGCGCCAGCCGGCCTCCGTCGCGGCGCCGCCTTCTTCCTGTCCGTCTTGGGGCGTCCTTTGGCACCCTTGGCGTCTGTTTTGCGGGTGGTGAGTCTGTGGTAAGTGTTGAGAAGCCACGTCCAGAAGCGGTGGAAGCGCTTGGCCATCAGGAGGACCAGCATGAGGGTGATGACGGCCGCCTGTGTCCAGGAGAAGAAGACGGCGACGAGCGGCCAGAAGAGCATGAACGAGGCGAGCACGGACCACATGTTGGCGCTGTCCTCATCGAGCAAAAATGACACGCCCTGACACACATACGAAGAAAGATCCGCCACAATTCAGGCGACTCGGCATTCTCTTTCTCTTTCCTCTCTAGGCACCTGTTTGGCGAAAATCATGTGTTTCTGTTTGTCGTTGGCCACGGTGGGGTCGGGCAGCATGCCCTCGTCCACATCCGCCCTCTTCAGGAACAGCCGGGTCCCCTGGTCGGCCTTGACGAGCCGCCAGTCCACACACGATATCCACCGCTGCACCTCGGACACACTGCAAACACTCACACAACACACACATGGACACATGCCAAAGACATCTACGTGTTTCTTCTCTGGACGGACCATGCAGCCATCGGTGGTGGCACGTGTCTGTTCTGGCAGGACATCTCGAGGCATGACGGCATGGTGGCGGCACCCCCTCGTGCGGTGCTGCTGGCGGTGGTGGGTGGTTTGTGTGAGGGTGGGGGTGCGAGGAGCTTGGACGAGTGGCACAGCGCCAGCATCCACTCATCGTACTCGTCGGGCCGGTCGAAACGCAGCTGACCACACACAACACACAACACACAACGCACAACGCAGATGGTGCATAGAGGAGCCTCGTGTGTGAGCGGTGCGTGGATGTCACCTGAAGCTCTTCATGCGTCTCTGGATCAATCATTTTCTGCACGACAAGGGACCAGGCAGGGGAGCCAGAGATCAGCACTGTGGTGCAGGCGAATCCTGGCACTGCGTGATTGCTCACCAGAATGAAGCAAGTGCGGTCTGTGCCCCCGTCGGCGAACACCACACGCCTCAGGTCATACTCTGCAGCGGGGATGGTGTCCTGAACGCGCAGACAGCCACACGTGAGAACGTGACAGCCATCACTACGTGTTTGCATACCCTCGGCGAGCGGTAGTATCTGAGGGTGGCTTCGTTGCCCTCCACAACCGCATATCGTTGCCTGAACGGACCGTACGACGCCGTACATTCATGTTTCAATCTGCTTCTCGTTTTGCACTTGCCCACCTCCAGAATCTGCCTCTCCTCAGGGTGACGAACCCCTCCTTCACACGATTCCGGCCCTCAATCGGCATTTTCTCCTTCCCTTCTTCTCTCCCTCGGCTTAGCTCGCAGATGCATTTTGAGCTCGCATCACGGCGCAGATCTTCTCGGCGTTGTCGTCGTCAAGGAACTGGCACAGGGCGTCCAGGTGCGATGGAGGGGATGGCCAACACAAAAAGTGGCATCCGGAGTATCGATGTTTCTTGGCGTGTGTTGAATGCAGCGAATGATGCTGGCGGCCAACGACGTGTGTCAGGGCAACATCAGTCACGACGCGTCAGGTGCAATTGGCTCAGGGATGCCATCTGTCCTCAACCAGCACGAGGGCAACCTCCTCGAGAACGGTCACCAGGACGACGAAGAACAAGACGAGGGTACGCATGTCGTCACGTAGAGCCAAGATCTGCATGGCTGTGGATCCATCCGCTGTGAGTCAGAGCGTTTGCATCCGTGTCCTTGTGTGTGACTGTACATGCATACAGAGATGGCCGATGGTGATGACCAGAGCGGCCCTCCCCCCGCCGAGAACGGCCAATCGGCCGATGGCAGCGATGGCAGCGACGGCAGCGACGGGGACGAAGACTACGATGGCGACCAGCAAGACGAAGATGAGGAGGGAGAGGGAGATGGAGATGGAGAGGGTGGTGGGTCCGATGAGGAGGACGACCAGGGTGAGTGGATCATCGACCCCGACCGCACCCAGCAGCTCGCCAAGGGCCAGAACCATCCCGACAGTGACAAGGACGAGCGGCTCAACGACGGCAGGTGGCTGCTCACGCTCGAGAGGGATGACGACAGGGGCTTCTCCAGGCGGATCAAGGCCGTCAAGACCGACGGCAGTGGCGACATGACCTACCACGTCGAGGAGCTGCCCGGCGAGCTCAAGGCACACATTGACTTCGGTACGAATCAGGCGCACACAGGGGCACAGGCACACGCAACACATCATCCTGTTGTCTTGGTTTCGTTCAGGTCGCCGTGTGCTCATCCCTCATTTCCCTCACTTTTTGCGGGGCACCTTCTATGCGATTCCCTTCGCCAAGGCGCCCACCTACCGCGCGTCGTCGCAGAGCATGACGCTGAGCGGCCGAGACCGCCAGGCGGACCTCAACGAGACCTTCGCCTTTGAGTGCGAGCTGCAGGTGGAGGCCAACATCACCGAGGAGGGCGGCGAGACCATCACCGGCCACCTCTCGTACCACGCCGACTACCCCAACGCGACGATAGAGGACGCCAAGGGCCGGGCCAGGCCGATGCGCGACGCAGAGGGCAAGGAGGCCATCTGCGTCAACGCGTCAAACACCAACACCGGCAGCAAGGAGGGTGGAGGGGGCAAAGGGAAGGGCAAGGCGAAGCACGTGGAGGAGGGCAGCTACCGGGTGGTGGACGGGCGGTGGATGCCGTTCTTCGATCCCGTCGACGGTGCGAGTGAGGAAGAGCATGAGACAGAGGAGCAGGGGGCCGATGAGGACGGAGAGGGAGAGGGGGAGGAAGATGGCGAGAGGGAGAATGGCGAGGCGGTAGACATGGATGTCACCAGCGACTGAGGGATGGGATAATGGCCATATGGTGTGTGCATGTGGATGTAGACCTTTAAGCGTATATAGCAGTAGCCTGGATGGCTCCGTGAGTCTGCCTAGTGTCTTTTATGTACGTGTCACTGCGTGATGACCGAACGACTTCGCATGATTGCACGCACAAGGGATGTCCAACTTTTATGGAAACAATGTCTGTCTCTCAGCCACAAAGTCAATCACTCGAAATGCAATGCCACACCACCGAAAACAATCACTCTCACTGGTTCTCGCCATGCTAAGCTGTGCGTGTGTGTCCCTTGTGGTGGTGGTGGTGGTGGTGGTGGATGGGACTTTTGCAGTCGATGAATGCATCAGGATGGTGGTGGTAGGCCATTAGGGAGTTGGGGTCTTGTGGCGGTGTCTGGAGACGGTAAGGCATCCACCAGCCGTCCTTAGCGACAGCACGCTGTGTTGTCACCCGGCTGCTCCACTGAAACAGCTCCCTCTTCTTGGGGTCGGACTCTGGCACATCCTCGATCGTCCAGTGGGTGCCTAATGACTGCTCCCCCTGATGGACCGATGTCACAAGACAGACACTCACTGGGTGGTCTGGCTGATGCATGAGCCGCTCACCAGGGCTGCGCAAACAGGGTAGCGACCGCCAGAATACTGGCACTGCTTGCACTCAAGCACCTTGGCCATCTTGGTAGTCGGGTTTATTTCGTTTACTTCGCTGACGCAAAAGTTGTCGCCGTCGTCATCAACCTCCGACCCAACCATGAGTGGCAAGGCCACCTTGCTGCACTGATGTACACCTGCACTCAAGCACAGACACACACACACACACACACACGGATGTCACTTTCCTCCCATCTGCCACATATGTGTCAAACAGCCCGGATGCCGTCGGCTCACGTTGGCAGAAGCATGGCGACGATGAGGGATGTGAGCACTGGTGGAATCCGGACCAGTCGAAATGCTCCCAGTCTGCCGTCTTGGCATCGAAGGTCTTGGCTTTTTTGTCAGGTATGGCGAGACACATTTGCGATGGGCCGCACTCACTGTGCCCCTTGCACTCTGCTCAAAAACGACATAGACCATGTATATTGGTGGTGTCTCCATCTTGTTTGCCGAGTACTTATGGGTGCGTCTGTCATGCTCAACAGCTGCCCGAACGAGTTACCTGAACGGGCAGATGCTGAGATATTGGCGTGTAGTCTCACTGTGTCTCTTTACCGTGATGAAGGCTCGGCACAATCGCGCGTCTCTCCCTCTGAATTAGGCTGTGATGTGCAGGCTTGCCACCATGGGCCGCCGCACCCTGCTGGTGGATGTGCAGATCGCAGAGTGGACAGAAAGCCCACTCGTGTTTCAGCAGTGACTGGTCGGCGGGGGGCAGCTGGTCGACGCTCTCTGCAAGACCGTGGACCTTGGGATACATCATCAGGCCATCCTTCGTCGCCAGTCTGTAGACGGGTTTTCCCTCTTGAGTCTTGAGAAATAAAAGGGGCTTCGGGGATGTCTTGAGGTGCTTATCGCACATGACGATGTTCAGGCGGTCTTCCGGCCACGTGTAGTCAGCGGGCAGGTGGTTCTGTGATGTGATATGGCATGGGGGCTCGTTGTTGAACTTGCGGACCATCACAAATGTCAGTCGGAAGGTCGGCCTCTTTGTGTCTGTGGCGTTGTCTGGCCGCTTGATGGTGTAGAGGGTGTTGTGGTCGGCTCCCTTGTCCATGCACAGGGTGACATCCTTGTCCGAGGGGCTCCCATTCTTGTGGACCGGCTCGCAGTTGAAGCGACTCTGATGTGACGAGACACGCAGAGAAAGGGTCAGCCCCTCGTTGTTTCTAGGCCATGTATCGTGTCTCCGTCCGCTCACCGCTGCCAAATGCAGGAGCACGAGCATGTCTGCGAAGCCTACAGAAGAGCACAATGTTCCCTGACTCTTTAATGAGCCATCGACCAATTTGTGCATGTCTTACCTGTAAGCATGGCCTGGTTGGGCCCTTGGCTCATTTGAGCAATGTCTGACACATTCACAGCTCTTGATCGCATTTGCTCCACTCTCACGTGCAAAAGCTAGGCCTGTTCACCTGTCAGAGGCACGGTGAATTTGGGCGGGCCGATGCTTCGGGGATTCGCATTTTCGTAGGCGTTGATGGCCTCTTTTTGAAGGACGAAGGTGAACACGCCGATGAGCGATTCGATGTGCGCTTCGGCAAAAGCCAGGCTTTTCTCATCGTGATCGGCGTGGTCCTTCTTAGTGAAGTTGCTGACAGCTCCGAGGGCCTTATTGTACCATCGGTTCATCTTATCGTCGTACTGCTTCTTCTGCAGGCCATCCAATTCTGCCTTCGAGATGCCTGTCTCCTCTCTCGCCTCGGCGGCATTCCGCTTGAAGTGAGCCTTCACTTCGCCCTTTCCTTGATCCCTCTGCACTTCCCACCTGCATCGAGCAGCCAAGCCATCTACAGATGAGTACTTAGCCGTGTCAGTGCATGCGTCTCACCATTTCTTGAGTGCGATTTCATGCACGTCCCTGTCATGGTAGAAGAGGGTGAAAGAATTGCGCAGAGCCGCAGAGTGGGCGTCTGCAGACTGGAAGGCGACCCAATACTCCTCATCCCCCACGTTGAAGTGGTCCTTCTCCTCTAGCAGACTGCTCTCAGCGAGAAGTGCCTTGCCGTCTCCGGCTTTGTTGGCGTATCCCTGCCCAATGGCCCAGTCCTCGTCAACTGACTCCAGTGCTGCATTGCCCAGCTCCTTGATTGCTGTGAAGGGCTGCACCTTATGCGCATGGAAGCGCCGACTCGTCTCCATGAAGCGCGCCTGCACTGCGGCACTCTCCCTCACCCAATCCTCCATCTTGACAGCAGCCGAGACGCCGGTCTCGTTGCTCGAGTGGATGCGCAGATGGTGGCGGCTTGAGTGGACGAGAGGGCTTCCGATTGCCTTGCCGTACACGTGCCTGGCGGCGTGCAGGAGATGGCCGCCATGTTGTGGCACGAGGCGGCCGCCCTGCACCAACACAAACAAGATGAGGGGGACTGCGGAAAGAAGGATCATGGGGAATGAGATGAGCGGGGATGAGCAGGCTTAGGAGATGTGCCAGGGAGGACGGATTGACTTGGGCTGGGGGCCCGGCCGAATCAATGGCCAGAGTAGCCAGGAGCGTCTTTGTTGACGACGTCGGTCTGTTGATGTTTGTGTGCGAACGGCCTCCCCTGATCTAAGCCATCATACAGCCTTCTTACAGCTTCCCGCTCGGTATTCCACCCAGCTCAATCCTTCGTCTGCTGTGACATGTGAGAGGTACTGTACCGTCAGACTCCACCGTGGTTGATTCAAAGACGGACACATCAAAAAGAGGTCTCTTCAATGCACACACAAAATGCACCACACACATGACAACACGAATGGCGAGGAGGGCAGCTCACACGCACACCCACACGTGCACATCCCTCCCTCCCTCCCCTTGGCTTACCACACGGTGCGCAGTATCGGCACTCAGCGATCCATAGCGCCCTTCCGCCCCCGTCTCGGGGGGGAGTTCACAAAGGATCCTCTGGCTTGTTGCCGTCCCCCATCGGGGACACATGGCACCAAGACGGCACGACATCCATCCAACGAGCTCGGCTGCGGCGCCGGTAGTGCTCACCAAAAGCCCCACGCACAGAGCGCTCTCCAACGAGAGACTACCACACACACACACACACATGGGAACACACACATCACACATCACACATCACACATCACACACACACATACGCACAGGGGGGTGCAGTGGGTGTGGGTATGCCAGTGGAGGGCTTACTTGCTCAGGGGACAATCAAATACGTGCTTACATCCACCCACTTTCGGGATCGGCGTTTCCCCCTCACACCACACACCTCCATCGAGGCACCTGCACAACCATTCACGCACGCAGTGAACGATACGTGGACGGCGTTGACTCGAATGCCTTCCTTGCTTGCTGGCTTACTTTGTGGCGAGTTGGACACGGGTCGGCTGAGATGGCCAGGAGCGTCCCGCAGCACATCTCCCCCCCGAACACCACCTCACCGAGGCCCTGACACACAGACGCACAGAAAATATGACAGACGGCCGTGTGTGCGGTGTGGTGTGGTGTTGGATGGTGTGGTGTTGGATGGTGTGGCTCACTTGTGTTCAAGAGGACGCCTTTCGGGCGTATCGGGTATGTACGGGCGAATGGCGAGACAGAGTACAGAGCAAAAGCCACCTCACTGCATATGCATACGTACCTCTGACAGGTACGAATGCCACGCCACAGTGGGGCGGGATGTTCTCACCCCCAGAGGACGGCTGCCGACACAGCGGGACCATCAACTCTGTCCCCCCTGTGTGCGACTCCACCGAGCCTTTGACAAAGACAAGAACCCACCACCACCACACCACACCACACCACACAAGGCGACCACCCCCTCTGCACACCCTCCATCGAGGCATCTGAACGCCCATCACACACGTCAACACAACAAGAAGCCAGGTACTGTGTGTGTCGCAGCCGCGCCGCACATGCACAGAAAGAGACTGGGGGGCGGGTCGCAGCTGAGAAAGACGCGCAAAAAGAAAAAGGTGCAGGCCAGAAGCTGAGCGGTGTGACGTCAAGATAATGTGACTATGGGCTATCAGGCCTTACCAAGCAGAGGGAATGGCGTTGTGTGTGCGGGTCATGAGAAGAATCCGAAGTTGCTGAAAAGGGTATCCCACCCCGAAACTAGTTGAAGTAAATAACATACAGGCCTCTCCAGCTCAGAATCGCACCTTCATCAAGAGGTCAGAAACGCCTTGCTAGGGCCCTTGACGGCATGGCCGAGCCCTTGAGATCGAGCACCATCTCTGTGATCAGACGAGCGCACAAACAGAGAGAGATGTCATGTGAGAGGCCTTGTGGCTGCTTCTCGCTTCGTGTGTGGCCTCTCTGTGTGTGAGCCTCTCTGGTGCCGTTGTGTTTTCGGAGAGGGCATCTGCCGTTAGCGACCCCTAGCACCACTCAAGCTCGCAACTGTAAACACCCTCTGATCTTGAGGGCTTTTCCCCATTGCAGGGGGGCCGGGGCGGCGGCTGACGTGCTGATCTAAATCCTAGTTATGCGTAGGGTTCGCGAATTTCGTGAATGCGCGTGCGCAGGAGTGCACGGCACGCAGGCAGGCACCTTCCCACACACGGATGTGCGCAGGGGTGGGCTGTGTGTGCAGAGGGGGACGGAGGGAGAGGGCGTGCACTGCGCATGTGCCCCTCTCTCTCTCCCTCTCTCTCTCTCTCTCTCTCTCTCTCTCTCTGTGTGTGTGTGTGTGTGTGTGTGTGTGCCGGCGCTCTTGGCCCATTCATTCGAATGCACTCATCGGCCATTCAGCAGCCCATCCGTGTGTGTGTGTCATTCGCACGCACACACACTTAAGATGTCCCTCTGTCTCATTCAACCGTCTCCCGTGTCCATCCACACACACACACCCCCACCCACTCACACATGACAACACGAATGGCGAGGAGGGCAGCTCACACGCACACCCACACGCACACCCACATCCCTCCCTCCCTCCCCTTTGCTCACCACACGGTGCGCAGTATCGGCACTCAGCGACCCATAGCGCCCTTCCGCCCCCGTCTCGGGGGGGAGTTCACAAAGGATCCTCTGGCTTGTTGCCGTCCCCCATCGGGGACACATGGCACCAAGACGGCACGACATCCATCCAACGAGCTCGGCTGCGGCGCCGGTAGTGCTCACCAAAAGCCCCACGCACAGAGCGCTCTCCAACGAGAGACTACCACACACACACACATGGGAACACAGACACATCAGACATCACACACACACATACGCACAGGGGGGTGCAGTGGGTGTGGGTATGCCAGTGGAGGGCTTACTTGCTCAGGGGACAACCAAATACGTGCTTACATCCACCCACTTTCGGGATCGGCGTTTCCCCGTCACACCACACACCTCCATCGAGGCACCTGCACAACCATTCACGCACGCAGTGAACGATACGTGGACGGCGTTGACTCGAATGCCTTCCTTGCTTGCTGGCTTACTTTGTGGCGAGTTGGACACGGGTCGGCTGAGATGGCCCGGAGCGTCCCGCAGCACATCTCCCTCCCGAACACTACCTCACCGAGGCCCTGACACACAGACGCACAGAAAATATGACAGACGGCCGTGTGTGCGGTGTGGTGTGGTGTTGGATGGTGTGGCTCACTTGTGTTCAGGAGGACGCCTTTCGGGCGTATCGGGTATGTACGGGCGAACGGCGAGACAGAGCACAGAGCAAAAGCCACCTCACTGCATATGCATACGTACCTCTGACAGGTACGAATGCCACGCCACAGTGGGGCGGGATGTTCTCACCCCCAGAGGACGGCTGCCGACACAGCGAGACCATCAACTCTGTCCCCCCTGTGTGCGACTCCACCGAGCCTTTGACACAGACAAGAACCCACCACCACCACACCACACCACACCACACAAGGCGACCACCCCCTCTGCACACCCTCCATCGAGGCATCTGAACGCCCATCACACACGTCAACACAACAAGAAGCCAGGTATACGAGTGTGTTGTGGCGTGGTGTGGTGTGGGTGGGCAACGTACCTGTGCACAGAAGATGCTTCCTCCTACGGCGGAGGTAGGCGACATAGGCGAACGTCCGAACACCTGTTCGGGTTAGGCGTCGGACAGACGAGACAGTGCATCGGGGTATATCGGGGTATATCGGGGTACATCGGGGTACATCGGGTGCACAGACACCATCCATCCATCCATACGCAACCTGGGACAGAGGCACACACACACGTCAACAGACAGAGTGAACACAGGCGTTGATAGAATCCGTGTGCAGGTGAACGTGTGTGCGTGTGAGCTGCCCTCCTCGCCATCCATGTCACACATCATGTCACACCCACAACACATGACGAATCATCATCACACATCGCAAAAGAGCGAGCCATGGCCCGCCGGCAAAGAAACGGATGGAGAAAGCCACCGAGCACACGCCGCCCGACCAAGAGCGCCCGCCGGAGCGGGCACCCAGCTCCCGGTCTGCAGCCCAACGTCCGAACAAAAGAGCGTCTTGGCCGCCTGAAAACACACACCCAACACAAGGAAGGGCGTGGCAGGCACCCGGTGTGGCCATCCTCCTGCCGATGAGCGTACCGAACTGACATAGCGTCGTTCGAAGTGCGGTGCGTAGTGTCCGCAGGACTGTTTCTCTCCTTGTGGACGTCTGAGAGCCCTGCTTCTCGTCTCTTTCGCCAACGCATCGTCGAGTCACCGTGAAACAGAGCAGGGGTTGTCAGGGAGCAGGTGAAACAGTTATGGGAGCTTTTGACACGGGAGGAAAGCACAAGGAAAAAGAGGCCAAAGGATGCGTCTGCATTGCCATACTCTTTGGATGCAGGACTATTGATCCAAATAGTATAGCAATGGAAAGCAAGACGGAAGTCATTCCCACTGACAGGAACAGACAGGAGGTATTCCTGCACACAGCACAACGACACTCGCCCTATTCACGCTGAGCTGCTTGCCTCACTCACGTGACAATGTTGCTTTCTTTCTGCAATCGCGACAAAATAGGTGATCTCTGCCAATGCAGCGACTGCACACTGGGGTGAGTGTCACTGAGCAAGAGGCAGAAGCACACTCTGACAGCACACCAACTCAGTGTAATGGGCGGTGTTTGTGATGGTTTGGTGATGGCGTGCAGGTGTGATGAGTCCCTGTTCATCCCTCACCCAAGGGATGTTGCTCCTTGCACCCCTGCAGTGCCACCTGTAGCCCCTCAGCCACAGGATGTTGCTCGCGGCTACCCAATCCTGCCACGACAAGCGACTCATCGTGGCGTCGCTTTGGGCAAGAAGGTGCTGCACAGCAAGGGCACATCGGCATCGCAGTCCACTGCCACGGTCAGACGTGCGAAAGGCGTGAAGACAAGCGCTTTGATGTTGTCTCTGTTTCTGCACGTGTCACCGTCAGGCACTGGCTGCTTCCTCTCCCCTTTGTCACCATGAGCCAGTGGTGTCACGCAGCCCACCAGTGCTGCCAGTCAAGCGACCTGGAGATCATCTCGACAGCCCCATCCCCCGCAAGCTTAGGCCGACATGGTCGCCTTCGGTGCTCGACGGGCATCCCCTGCTGCAGAGCCTCCTGCGCAACTTGGATGGCGGCGAAGGAAACGACCACCGGCACAAGCGAGACGCCGCCCGCATGGACTTCCTGAATCTCGACGACAGATCGGCAAGGCCATTGATGATCTATGAGGACAAAGCGGACCTGATGATGGCCAATGTGGCTTGTGACGGAGACCCATCCCACGCCCCTCGACTGGCCATCTTCCCCAGGCTGCTCGACGGCTGCTCCTATGGGGGCGACAAGCAGCCGAACAAGCGCCCGCCGGCTGTGCGCCACGTGTCAGTGAATGTGTTTGCTGCCGTTATCAATGTCGACACGGGGAAAGTGCGCGCCTTCAGGAGTCAGCGGCAGCTGTGCCACGAGGGAGTGAGGGCCCGTGAGTGTGCGTTCAAGCTGACCTACATGAAGGCCAAGATGCCCTCCAAGAAGCAATACGACGACTGCAAGGGGTACGTGTGGAATGGGAGGATGGTGTGAAAAAAGTCCTGTCCTTCGTCTGCATCTGTGGGTGTCTGTGTGTCGGCATGCAGTCGCGAGATGGTCCTGGAGCCGACGGATCTCAATCGCTCGGCGCTGTACATCCAGCGTTTGCCCCTCTGGACTGACGGGAAATGACATGCAGTGCTGGCCGCTTCCGTTCTCTTCTGCAGTTTTTTCAAACACATGAATGCGCAGCGGTTCAGAAAGGCCCAGACAGAACAGACAGAAAGAGACCCGTTTTCTGTCACCATCCCGGGATCGAACTCACCTAGTGTGCGAAGTGACACATTCATTTTCACTTCTATCCTGTTCCCATATAATTCTAGAATGTGTCACTTCGGCGCCTAGGGTGCTCCCTGAAACCGCTGCCTTGGAGAAAGCAAACACCAGTCGTGTCCGTCTGCTTGCGTGCCCACCCCTCTTTTCGTCTGATTATGTTGATTCCCGTCGTGGATCTTTCATCCCTTGCTCTCCCTCTTCCGCAGCGACTCACTGAATGGCTCACACGCGCATCCTCGTTCGCCTTATGCCAAGTGGCCATCCGCAACGCCGCGCAGGACGTCATCCTCGCCCTTTGCCGTCCTCTCCGCTGCTGGGTGGGTCCCTTCAGCATGACTGACGAAGGCATGGACAGCGCCATCAAGTGCCTGGATGGCGGGGCAGCCATGGTGGAGATGACGGCAGATGAGGCGCAGAGGGGCGAGTGGGTCGGCGTGCTGGAGCGGCTTATGGACGGCGTGCCGCCAGAGGCAGTGAAGCGAATCGCGTTGGCTGTGGAGGTGTCACCTGGGGAGAGTGACCACCTGCCTGGTCTGGTCGGTGCGCTGCGGGGCAAAGTGGGCTGGGTCAAGCTGACGAGTCGGCGGGAAGGCATCGACTGGATGGCGCTGGTGGCCTCACTGAAGACCGCGCGAGGCAAGGACGTGCAGGAGGATTACATGCAGCTGGTGGTTGAAGGGGCGGGTGTGGATGGTGATTTGGTGGCGACACTGCAGGGGAAGGACGTCCACGTCATGGCTGGGGCGGCCGTGCCCATGGAAGGTGAGGAGGATGAGCCGATGGAATATGGTCTCCTCTCACACCTCTGTTTTCTCTGTTGTGGGGTGCAGAGGGCCAGCCTTCTGTCTGTTTCTCGTCACTGCTGCCGACAGCCAACGGCGGCAGTGCGCCAGCATCGGGTGGCTCATCCCCCTCGCCATCCCCGCCCTTGGATGCCGTTGAATGCTTCACCAGCTGTCTGACGTGAGCCGACATGAAACACATGACAGGACGGAGGCACTCCTTCCTTCTCTTTCCCATTGCAGCACCGACCGTCCTGACGGCCTCTTCACCACTGTAGTGAGCGACCCCGGCGGCATTGCCCTGGGCCTTGTGTACTCGAGCGTCGAGTCCATTCGTGTGGCGATAGCGCTGCAGAGGGGCGTCTACTGGTCCAGAAGCAGGAAGGGACTGTGGCGAAAGGTGCGATGCAGGAGCGAGAGACGAGTACAGACACACAGAGAGAGAGAGAGAAAGAGAGAGAGCTGGAAGGGCTTAGTGTGTCTGTGTGTGTGGCTGGCTGGTTGTCAGGGTGACACGACAGGTGCGACACAGCGACTGCTCCGCATCGAGCCGGACTGTGATCGGGACGCAGTCAGGTCAGTATATCGACATCCATCCATCGGCTGCTTTCCACTCCCCTTCCCTTCCCTGTGTGTGTCAGGTTCACAGTGGTGCAGCAGGGTGACCCGAAGGCCTTCTGCCACCGCAACACACTCACCTGCTGGGGCCCGCCCACGGGCATCACCGCACTGGAGGAGGTGCTGCAGCGGCGATACCATAGCGCCGCGCCAGGCTCATACACGCAAAAACTCTTCAACGATCCCAACCTCCTCAGGTGGGCACACAAGCATGGGAGGGACGGAGGGAGGGAGGGAGAGAATGGTCGCGTGCGCTTCTGTTTATCATCAGGAACAAGCTGTTGGAGGAGGCCCAGGAGCTGGCTGAGGCGACAGAGCCCGACCACGTGGCAGCCGAGGCGGCAGACCTGATCTACTTCGCACTCACACGGCAAGACACACACACACACACAGACGAACGTAACGGCGACATCTGGGCATTTGTTTTTCAACTCCTGTGTGGTTCCGCAGGTGTGTGGCAGCGGGTGCCACTGTCCATGATGTGGAACGGCATTTGGATCGCCGGCAGCTCAAGGTGAAGCGGCGGGCGGGCAATGCCAAGGCACACCGCATCGAAGCGGCCGACAAGGCACTCAAGGAAATTAGAGATGGGGCGAAAGAGTAGAGGCATGGATTAGTCGTCCGATGGTTTGTTCCGCTTTGTGTCTTTATGCGCCGGCGGGACCTTTATCGTCTGTGTCGTCATGCGATTGACATGACCAGCCAGTCACGCAAACCGTTCGGTCGATGGTCAATGGTCAATGGTCTATGCTACATGAACAAGGCACTAGTTCTGTTTGGGGAAGCTATCGAGGATGTCGTAGGCATCCTTGAGGCCGGCAATGGTCTGCTCCCGGCGCCTTTTCTTCTCTTCGTACGAGTCCGTGATGCACTGGGCCGCCAACGCATTGTCTTGCTTCCGCACTGCATTAGGAAGGAGAGAACACAGACCACCCACAAATGCCAGCATGGTCATGCGGCCTAGTGCCTTACGTTGCTCGAGTTCCTTGCTGAGTTGGTCGTATTCGACGACGGCTTCTTCCTTGCCTTCTCCATCGCCCATTGCCTCGATCTCCTTCTCCTTGCTGTCCAGCGCAGCTTGGGCCTCCTGAAGTTGTACGGCGAGCTGCTGACGCTCCGTCGCGCAAAACTGGCCCTTCGTCTGGTCCTCAGCCTGCAAACCACACCATCCAATTGACTGCTGCAGTGAATGTGAGGCGTCGGGCCATCTCACCTGTGCAGACTGCAGCTTATCGATCAGCTTGGTGATCAGATCTGAGGCGGCAGAGGACAGAAACTCTCAGGACCATCACTGGTGCTCTCGCCCTTGTCGTGTGCTGACCTCTCACGTAATCGAATGTATCCTTGTTCGGAGGCTCAGCGACGGCCCCGCGGCTCACTTGATGTCCCACGCAGCTGCTGCACAGCCCCGACAAGCCAAGGACCAACAGAATGGCAGAGATCTTCATCACACCGTCCCCCGCTCTCGGTGGGAATGAGCGACGGGTGATTGCAAGACGCAGACGCACGGAGTGCCGCGTAGTCTATGGACCTGTCAACCAGGCCTCTCAGCGTTCTGTCTGCACTGCCAAGAAGCCTCCGCGCGGCGCACGTGGGTTCGACCGAGGAGAGTTGCGAGCTCGAATGCCTTGGGGAGAAGAACCGCAAGGTACGCGCCGAGGCGTTCTCTTAGCTTTCTGCGAGTGTCTGAGATCGTTCCATTTGCGATGAGCCTTAAATCGTCCTCCTCCATGTCTGTGTCCACGGCGGCGCCTCAGCCCTCCTCCTCCTCGCCGCTCTTCTCCAGCGACAACTCCCTCGCACCACAGACGCCATCGCACGCCCACAATGGCGTCTGCATCGACGACGGCATGGAGAGATTGGGGATGGCATCAGCTGCGCACGCCAGCCAAGCTGATGAGCCGAAGCGGATGGCGTTGTCGGAGCTTAGAAGTGTGCAGGAGGGCAGGGAGGGAGTGCTGAATGGCCAGCTGGCGGCGTATCGAGAGGCGATGGGCACTGTAGTTGGGGAGCTGGAGCAGGACATCCCTCTACTGACGCAGAGACGGATGCAGCTCATGCAGGTGTGTCTGCAGCATATCAGCAAGCCTCCTGCATCTGTCTGTTCTGCTGTCCTGTTCATGCCTTCAGGAGATTCGCGCGTATCGCCAGGCGCTGGCTTACGACGAGGCTGTCCTTGAGCGGGATAGCACTCACATAGACACGCTACTCAAGGAGAAGAAGAAGCTTAACAGCACAGCTAGCAACAACACCCACGCCATCCCTCCCCGCCAGCGCGCTCGCCCTCCCTTCCTGCATCGCCTGTTTGGGCAGTCGCCCCCTTCCCAGCCCCCCGCTGCCGCAGCTGAGCAGCTGGCTGCTCACGGCGACTCCATCAATCAGCACACAAAAGGCTCCTATGGCACGCACGAGGGCGAGGATAATGGTGAGTTCGGCGTGCAGCGGGAAGAGGAGGTGGCCATGTGTCCTCACGACGAGAGGCCGGCACGTCGCATCAAGACACGCAGCCGGTCGTGCCCATCCTCTGTGCGCAAGAGGGGGAGGCGGCGGTCCAGCCGTCACGGCCAACCGCAGCAGTTCCGCAACTGGCTCATGCAGCACACGCAGGAGCTGCAGCGCCACTACCAGGAGCAGCAGACCGCCATGTGGCCTGCGGAGCTTCGCGTGGCCATCCCCGCCGTCCCCTCGGGGCCGCTCGGGCCACCCGAGTCGCCCAAGAAACGGTCCAAGGGCCAGTCGAGAGAGGACACAACCACTTTTCAGCCATTTGTGTCGATTCCGGTGCGGGTGCCGGCTAATTCATCGTCTTGCGTGCCATCGAGTAGCGGCGGCGCTGTGGTGCACCTGGCCCGGCCTGTGATGGTGTACCCCAGCGAGAGCGCCATGGAATATCGGGTGCCAGGGAAGCGGGGCAAGAGGGATGCAGAAGGTGGGGAGGAAAGGGGCAGGTTACGTAACCGTGGGAGGCGTCCGCACACACGTGCATCTCTGTCCTCTGTCCTGCAGATTCGTTGTCGCCCTCCCTGTCGGACACGTCATCATCGGACGAGCTGGCGTGCCCTTCCTTCCCCCTCCCCCTCTCTGTCTGCCTGCAGCAGCCTGCCGACGGCCCCCAACCTGTGAGCACCCAGCAGCCACCAAGCAAGGAGGCCGACAAGCGGCATTCAACCACCGGGCCTACCACAGCCGCCAGCCACACGCGCTCCCCGTCCCTGTCAGTCCCTCTGACGCCACCCATTGCCCGCCATCCCCTCTCGCCTGGCATCGAGCCCTCCAGGCGGTCGTCTGTGTTGGCGCCAGCCATCCGAGAGGAGAACGGCCACCAGACGGAGGCCGAGCAGCCGGCCAGGAGGACCCGCCGGCGGCTCGGCAGGCGGTATTATGTGTGGCGGTTGCGGGGTGAGGGTGTGAGGGGCTACTGGGACGAGTGTGTGCGTGAGTGGGGGTTCGAATACTGACTGATAGCGAGGGAGGAGACTGGAAACGGACGAGTGAGATAGCTAGATGTGTCATGCACGATGGATGCATGGAGCTTTTGCATATATAGTTGTCGTCGCATAGAGGGGACTGCATGTCTGTGCAGCAGTCGGTGAGTGCGTAATCGCATGGATTCCGGCTCGAGCCCAGTCAATTTACACTACACAACGCGTACGGCAAGCGAACCGTTGTCAGCCAAATTGATTGGTGTCGTCATGCGGCGCTCGTTGGTCCCTCTGCTGTTGCTGTCTGTTGTACTCCTGTCCAGTAGCGTCGCTCACGCCCGGGAGCGGCAGGCAGAGATCACAGCATCGGACCAGCAGCGGCTCGAAGAGCTCATTCAGAAGACACAGAGGTTCTTGAATGACCGACAGCAGAGCCACCAGAACCACGACACCTCGTCGGCAGCAGCGGCTACAGCTGGGCAGAGCAACAGCACTGTGATGCTCGGTGGCCGCAACCGCTCACGGTCGTCGGGTACGAGCACGGGCGTGTGTGGGCAACCACAGAAAGGGAGATTGCATGTGGGTGTGTCTGCAGGTCATGAGCCGGAGCAGTACTTCCCACCAGGCCCACCAACAACTTGCCCTGGTGCACAACTCCAGCCACATTGACAGATGGACGGCGGCATTTTCATGCGTGTGTGCATTGGTATGTGTGCAGGTATGGTCATCGAGAGGAGCTGCACGCAGGCAGGTGACGGCTGCACGACGCCTGAGGGGACTTCTGTGCCGCTGGGGGCTATCCAGCTGAATCAGTACTCGCCGGCGCTTTACGTGTTGGCGGGCGACGCCATCCGCGGGAACGTCTTGTTCTGCTTCCAAGGATCAACGCCAGGAACGTATGTGGGCGCCCGGGCCATCCTCTACACTGGCTGCTTGATCCATCCATGTGTATCTGTTGTCTTCTTTGACGCAGCGGCTCGTTGAATTCCTGCAGTGGTGATGACAACGTTCCGGGGGTGTACGGCAACCCTGTCGTGATCGACACCCGGACAATCGACCAGATTGAAGTGGAGGTGGGTGTCATGCTTGAAGACACGCACGCAGGGACACACGGTCGGTCATGTGAAGTATCCCCTTCCTCTCCTCCTGTCCCGGTGATTGCTGTGCTGCAGGTGCAGTGCGATGTTGGCGGAGGACCGTGTGAATGGGTAAGAAACGAACGAACAATCCACTCATTGTGCAGTACATGTGCCTGCATGCTCGTTGCGTGCGCGCAGAAGCTGCTGGGCTTTCCCCACACCGGCAACTGCGTGCCGAACCTTCCCCCAGCTGCCACCATCCCTGGCGTAGGCACAACTATTGACTTCGACTAAGTCGGCACTGTCATTTCATAGGGCTGATCATTGACCGATCCGGATGTGTGTAGTTGCACAGACGTATCCGTGTCTATGCATGTGTGATCGACATGCGTCTGTTTTTGCCCTGGTTGGTTTATGCGGGGGCCTGTAGATCTATGCACTGAGACAAGATGTGTGTTTGCATATCTATATAGTCCATGACGCGCCCAAAATGCGGCGTACATCTACTTGTCTATCGTAAGTAGTCTTTGTCAGTGGCCAGCCACTGCGCTCACATTCTTCGTATTTTTTGCTGTCCACATGGTGCTTCTCTACTCGTGAGGGAACACGAGTAAGCACGACGCTGTCAGCGGACCAGAGAGATCCGAGAAAGGGATGCAAGGCATATATGCGACGACATGACAGACTGGTCCATGACAGAGAGAGTAGCAGTGCGATCGGCATGCCATACAGTGCCATGAAATGTCCGCATCAAGGACAAATGCAAGACATCTGCGATCATATATTTGTGTGAATATGTACAAAACGATACAAATGCGTCACGTCGATGTATCAATGAAAGGGATCTCAAGCATACCATCTTTCCACGGCCACTCGGGGGCCGACCGACGCACTGCACGGGCCTTAACGCCAGCAGACCCCTGTGTCTCGTCCCGTCGCGTAGCTGCAAAACCCGTTCTTCTCGTGAATGTGGTGTGTGGGGTTGATGGTGAGAATAGCGACGAGCTGGTGGTCGTGGGGGCGTGAGACAGAGGGGGCAGCTTTAGATTGGTCCGCGTGCGCACTTTCCGCTGCTCGCCCATCATCTGGCGCAGCCTGCAGCCATCCATACGACCTCTCAGTCTGCATGGTCTCGTGTCTCTTTCCTCCCCCTCACCTGTGCTTGGTCTCTCCCTTCTGCACGGCGCGCCATCTTGTCAGGAACTCTCTCTCGTGAGCCGTCACGCGGCGGCCGTCAAGCACCTCTGCACACGACAAACACACAACAAGCTCAAGAAATACCGATGTAAGCAGACCTACTCACCCAGTCCCCCATCGGTCTCAGCAGCGGCCAGTATTACCCTGTCTCGATACTTGTGCTGGCTCGTCACCGGGTTGCCGCTAAGATCGACGTGTGTCAGAGACGGGACGGAGTGGAACAACGAGAGCACGTCAGGGAGGGAGGCAAGCTGGTTGCCAGAAGCCAACAGATGTTCTAGGCACTGCAGCTGCACCAGGGGCTCAAGGGCGTCCAAATGATTGGAGGAGGCGTCGAGAGTGTGCAAACTGGCCTGGCAGGAGGGAGACAGAATCGTACTGGGTGATTCTTGCCGTTTTTCAGTTGCTCACTGCAACGGTGCGTATCGACTTGGGGCAGAATGACAGAGGAGCTGATATGCGCTGCTCCTGCACAAACGGGCGCATCCGGTGGGAGGTCAAATTGGTCAGTGCACGACTGCTAGTGTCTTTGTTACCTGGATATACAACTCTTCCAAGCTTTGACACCCCTGCAGCCCCTCCACTCTCTCTATGCAGTTCTCACTCAGATACCTGCACACCACACCACATGTGGGGCACTGTGTGTCAGTGGCATGAATTCTGTTTGTCTCAGCTGACAGTTTGCGCAGCATCCCAAGCCTGTCGAGTCCCTCCATCCTTCTAATGCGGTTGTTTTGCAGATAGAGGTGTGTCAGAGTCTCGGGAAGGTGCTGGATCTTCGTCACTGCGTTGCTGTACAGATACAGTACCTGCAGTTGCCGACAAAGGATGTCGAAATGCTCCTGACAAAGTAACAAGACGCAAACAATATGCATCTGTGCAGGTCCGCCTGCGTCTTCCTGTGTACAATTTTTGCGATGTGCCTCTCTTCCAGCTTCAGATGGGTCAATCTCCCGGCGTATGTCCGCCTGCTCTCGCCTTTCCGTCTTGTCTGTCCCGACACGCCAGACCGACAAAGGAGATCCAGAGAGATTGGCTGAGAGGGACCGTGCGACTGACAGGGCCAACAAAGGAAGACACGCGATCGACGTGAGTGTCTCAGCTGTTGTGCTCACCCTGTATGTTTCTTGCCCGTCCGGCAAGCCAGTTTCTGAAGTGATTGTCTCTGCAGTTGTCTTTCTTGGCTCCAGGGACACCGTCTCGTCCTCGTGGTCATCTCTTTGGGTCGGCTGCAAGTGGCTATGGATTGCATGCAAAAGAATATCACGCTCTGCAGTCAAAACAACAAATTGCGGTCATCAATCACCTCCAAGATCTTCTGTTGTGTACCATTCTTGTCCTGCATGCCAATGGCGAGCAGGTCATCGTGCGTCACTTCACACAGGACATCCCAGTTTGTCAAGAAAGCCGCCTCAAAGGCATTGCAGAACCTCTCCAGTCCAAGCCGTCTCAGCAGCACGTCAGCCGAGGAGTCCTCTACGACTGCCATCTCTCCTTTGGATCGCCTGATGGCAAAGCATGCATGCGCGCGAGCTTAACTCCCCCAAAGCCCCCAGCGAGGATGTCGAGTCCGAGTGAGCGGCCTCCTGTATCATCTCCTTCCTTGCAAGATGGCCGCATTGCCTCATCTCAGTCGTTGGGGAGCAGAAAACGCCTCAAAGCAAAGTAAAAAAAGCAGATGCAACAAGCGACTTGGGATGCTGTTCAAACTCTCCCTTCTTTTACAGGCACGCGCTGCAGAAGCGCCAGACGAAGGAGTTTGCGGCCCTCCAGAAGCGAAATCGATTCGTGAAGGCACGGACGCTGACGTCGACGTCGGACGCCGTCGAGAGCCAAGGCGTCGATACTTCATGCTCCAATTGTGGTGCACTGGTCGATGAATCGTTCCTCACAGAGTGAGCAGACAAGGAGGAGGAGGAAGTACCAGCCATGTTGAGACGTGCGATTGCCTTCAGTTTGATGGATTTTGATGCCCCGTATTGTCGGTCTTGCAAGCGGTTCATGCTGCTCAAGGCTGGTCAGTGGCTGACGAAATTCTCCTACAACACACAAGCTGTCAGCAGCAAGAAATTCAAGGTCAGAATCATCTCCATCACCCCACTTGCGACACATTCTCCATTCCTCTTTGCCTTTGCAGTTCGTCAAGCTGACCTCCGACGGGACGGCCCTGGCCGTGTGCAGTGCCTCTGAAGCACGCACCATGCAGCGGAAGCAGCAGAGCAAGTTGCCAGCTGCGAATCGCCTGGCGAAGATGCTTGCCTTCCGCCGCACCAGGAGCACCACCTCTCACATGTCATCGCAAGGACAGGAGAGCGTTACGGACGAGACAAGACGATGCTTCAGGACGATCAAGTGGAAGAAAGGTGGGCAAGCGCCTGCTGGGCTCGCGATAGATGTATAAGCACATGTGTTGTTTCGGTGGTGTTGGTCGTGTCAGTGTTGCTGGAAGATGTGCTGGGTGTCGTTTTTGGTGCGTACACGTTCACGTTCAAGAGGCTGCAGGCGGACTTCAGGCCGCCACACTGGTGAGGAGAAGGAGAGCGAGATGATCATGCAATTGTTCTGTCCAATTGGTTCTGTTGTCAATGCAGGGCTGCATTTTCTCTTGTCCTGAAATCTCGCACGTATGACTTTTCTTGTGCTCATCGGTCGGCCATCGAGTGTTTCACCATCGGTATGTCTCATCTCATTGTCCACCAAATCTTTGCACCCACACCCATGCTCATATGGTATTTGTTCAGGTCTGCAGGAGCTGTTGCCCGAGGAGGGCAAGCCCTCACTGATGCGCCTGAGGCCGGTGAGACTCGGGCCCTTTCTCTGGATGGTGAGAGCATGACGGAGAAAGAAGACTGCATAGGCTGCACGGTCGACTCAGTGTGGCCGACTCTGCGCTTTGTTCAGTCTGCTCGTCATCGTTTGCATTCGTTGGCGGCGATGGAGGACCTTTCTCTGCCCCTCACGTTGTGGATCGTACTCATACAAAGGTAAAAGCCGGCAGCGGAGAGACACGTGACTGATCGTACCTTCGCAAACGTTTGCAGCGCTCTCCAGTCTCCCAACCTGCACACGAAGGGCATCTGCATCGTCAGTTGGCATACAGAGACATTATAGTCTCCCTGCCGGTCGTCCTCTCTCCATTGCTTAATTTGTTTGTCAGATCGCTGCCCTTCATTTGGAGAAGAAGCACCCTACCAATCTGGAGGACCTGCCGCCTCAGTATCGCAGTCTTCCGTACAGGAAGGCACGAGCCGAACAGGTCTTCCTCAGACGGTCAGCCAGCCAACCAGGGAGAGGAGGAGGGAGACGTGGAGGAAGGTCGTGTGTGTCGTGCGTCCTCGCAGGTTTGGTCTTGGTGTGGCGTCGTTCTTGCCTCGTATGCCGACACTGAGGAGCATTGATGGACGTAAGTCACCTAAACACGAACGAAACTCCAAGGGAAATTCGTGTTCGTGTCCATTCGTGTTCAGAGTCGCCGATCGCCTCCCTCTCTGAGAGCCGACTCAGGAGCAGATCAGGTCCGGCTGAGACATGGTTATTGTTGGCTTTCGTCGACTGCATCTTCTCTTCATATCATCGGGCCTGCCTGCAGTGTTGAGCTCCAGGCCGGGTTTCCTCAGCCCTCGTCGCATGACGGCACCACCCGTCAACCCAGAGGCAACAGACGACCCATCCCGGGCAGCACGCAGCAGCCAGCGACATGAAACATCACCCCCCGAGAGAAGGCCCATCAGAGTGCGTCTCGTCGCCCCAGGTGAAGAGGCGGCCGCTGATGTAGGGCCGGCATCATCATCCGATGCATCCCCACCCGTACCCATACCTCTGAACGTCCGGTCTGTGGCCAAGAGGCGGTATAGTCACCCGCTGAGCGAGGCTGAGTGGGAGGACCTCCGGTCGAGGAGGCGGAAAGTGAGAGAAAGCGCGTCGACAGAGAGGCAGCAAATATCGTCGACGAAGCTGAGAAGTGCTGTCACGTGAGGCGCAGGGAGAAAAAAGACTGCCATATCTCAATGCGTGGCAACCAACATCTGTTCGCCGTCATTTTCTCAGAGGCCCGTTGGAGTTGTCGGATATCGACGAGGAGTCAACCCCGATGTCCCGCCCCCATCTGTCAAATCACCCCGACCAGCCCCTTTCGCCACCTTCATCAGCCATGAAGAGACACGAGGCCACACACGAGGCGGCAAGTGCAGCATCGCCCGTCTCACGCACGTCCCTGACCATCGGTGCCACCTCGGATGCACACTCAGCGTCCTCACCCCAGTCTTCCCCTTCGCCCCTCATCAATGCTCTCGTCCAGCGGGCCGCCATGATGGCTCTTGACACGCCAAGAGCTGAGAGGGAGATGGCCGTGTGGCAGGATGTGTTGAGGCGGCAGCGGGCTGCCACAATGGGCTACCTGCCGTCAAGCGAGAGGCGGAGAGTTGTGGAAAGAAGAAGGCGATTCAGTGCGGGCGACGCTGTGCCGCAGATGAGACACGACGACCATAGACAGGAGCTGTCAAAGCATGACCTGAAAAGGTGAAAACACGGGGCCGATGAGAGATATGAATTTGTTCACGTGTCCTGGCGTGTGTGTGTACAGGTTATTGCGGGAGGAGAGGTGTCACACGCTGCTGGACAGGACGCGCCTTTCGCCAGCAGTGGGCCAGGACATATACTCCACATATACTCCAGCACACACAACACGGGGTAGGAGACACACGATAATGAAGCCACCCAACACAAGCCATCATACGAAACGCATGTCAATCTCAGGGCGCTGGTAGAATGAATGATCTGGATGGATCGCTGTTGGGAGAGGCCGCATTTGTTGCACACGTCGTGTGGATATTTTCAAGTGGTGTGTCTACAAGGGTGTGTTGGTGCGTATGGACGATAGACTCTCACTTTCTCTTGCTGGTGGGACTGTTTGCTTACCTGTCGGTTTTCTTGTGTGTGTGCATGTACATTCATGTGCCCGGGGTCTCGGCTGTCTGACGCGGAATTCCCTCTCTCTCGCCCAAGCACAAGAAACTGATATGGCCCACGGACAACACACTCTGACAGCAGTGGTGGGGGGGTGAGTGTGCAGCGGCACTCCTTTTCGTGTGGATGCGTGTGTCAATATTGCGTGTGGGGTGGGGAGTTCTTGCTGTCGTGGGACGTTTGCTCACTTGTTCATTCTTCCTTCTCTGCATATGTGCACTTGGATTGTTCAAAGGGGAATGTGCTGTCTGACACTCAGTACACTGTCGGCGCATGCATACCCCCAAAGACGAATGTTGAAAACATGTCGTATGAATACGCAGCAACGAAAGACGGCGGTGACAAACCAAAGAACGACTCATTTAGCTGTCATCAGGCAGCACCATGTCTGTATGTATGTCAGCTTCATCGTTCACCTGCACAGACAGATGGAACGATCCGTAACCTTGGGCACACCGAGGCTCCGCTCGCATGTTACCCGCTTCATATTTACCCACACGCGTTGCCAAAGTTGACGGCACCACGATGACCTGTTCAGAACCGGATGGCCATCGATGTGTCTCATGGGGGCGGTGTGGTGGGCGTGACCGGCGAAGCTGAGGGTCTCGCGGCCGTGGCCAGGTGTTTTGCTGAATGTCTTGGAGCCGACGATAGGAAGGCCTCTGTGGGCTGCATTGCTTTGGGGAAATGTGGCGTGCGACGAGGCACTCCGGCTCGATCGAAAACAAGATCTCCTCCTGCACCGCACCTGCCAGGACATACGCAGACACAGCAAGGCGCAGACACACATGCAGATGTGCACTCACATGTTTTCCTGTGCCTGTTTGTGTCTGCGTACCGTAGTCCAGCGTCCCGCCACCGATGGATGCATGATAAGATAGGCGCGACCTTCTGATTTTCTCCGCATATCCACACGAAGAGACACATTGGAGGGTGAACCTTCATTGCTAAGTGAGCGTCTGTTTGAGATCAGGTCTCGCCGACAATGAACATCAGTCTACTGAGATCGCAGGCTTGTTCGACACCAAGTCTTGAAAAAAAGATACAGACACGGCCGCCGACGCCAATCTCCTCTCTCCTGTAAATCATTCCAGCCTCATCTGCCTTGGATGCACCGGTGCCTGACTTCGACTTCAGGCTCCCGCTCAGGCTCCACGGAAGCTGAAGGGTCAACACACGCACAACAGCTTCGTATCCGTTCATCCCTTCTGCTCTCGTCAACAGCAGTCGGCGCCGCGGGCGTATATGCACCTGCACACGACACGATCAGGGTTTTCACACTTTGTCGCCGTGTGTGGGTCAACCGTACAGTGTGTGTGGATGATAAATGGTCTGAGGTGTGACATTCCCAAACCAGTTGCGCCAAACACCTCCCTCAATGTCCTGTCTTCTGCACAATCACCGCAGTTAACGAACTGGATCTCCCTCGCCTCCCTGAATCCCTGAAGAACAACACGACGCTCCTCTGGATGTGTTCCTTGTGTGTGTACTGTCTGTATGGGGCTCGTGCGTACGGCAGTGTAGCCGACGGTCTCCAATATGTACTGCTTGAGGTCCAACACTGTGTGGTCGAGGCTCGGCACAAGAACGCCAAACACGACAGTGTTAGAGCCCCAACGCACTTGGATACACGCCTCGGGCGAGGACGATATTTTCTTTCCCGTTGCGCATTGCGTACGCTGCGTAAATTCAGCGGTCGGACTGGATGGCAGTATCACACTGTTGTGAATGTGTGCACCGAGTGCCTTGCCTTCCTGTCAACAACTCCTGTGCGTGTCTGCCAAGGTCATTCATCCGTTCGTGCGTTCGTTTGTTTGTCGTATATCCATAAAAGACACTCCCAGTCGCTTTCAAACCGACTCTCTCGCCACAACAAATGATTGAGGTCTGCCGCCACACTGCGGCTCTTGCCACGTAAAAAGGACAACCGCTATGACACACACATACACGGATCTGCCTGTCTATTTCGGCAGTCCTATCCGCCTCTTGAGTCTCTCTATCTGAGCCGCAGATGCGATGCTCTCCTTCGACACAACGCCCAGGAACATGCCCTCCTAAATGCACACGTATACACACAGCGGCAGACAGTCAAACGATGTGCGCGGTTTGGTGGGTGTGTCGATCAATCACCTGGTCGAGCACTGGTAGCAGCTGCAGGCCCTCGGCAGACAGAGTCTCCCTCGCTTTCTCGAGCGAATCGCCCTCACGCACGGAAAGCAGCTCACTCGTCATGGCCGCAGACGCCGTCGCCTTGCCCAGCACATCAAACGCAATCGACTCCTGCTGCTGGCCGCTTGCCGCCCTCTCCCTGTCCACAAATCGCTGGATGTCGCCCGCCGTCAGCACGCCCACAATCTCGCTGCTGCCGCCCTGTGCGCGCCAGTCGTACACGCCGGCTGTAGGAGTAATGTCGGCTGACGGCGGCGAGATGACGACGGCCGTGTCGGTCAGCTCGCTCTCCATCAGCTGCGACGCGTCAAGGAGAGGTGTGGAGGGCGTCAGAGCGACGACACGCGGCACCAGGCCTGCTTCCACCTGACAACACACACAGATACAGACACGTGGCGCAGACACACATCCCTGCATGTGTGGTTTCGTACCGGTATGTCGTCGAGGACGCCCCTGATATCGTTTGCGGGCAGCGACAGAGGCAGCGTGTCATCCACCAGCTCGTCAAGCTCCTCTATAATCCGGTCAGGCAGCTCCTTCTCACCCTTGACCGCCGACACAGCAGCGGGCTCGGGCGCCTCCACTGTCTTGGCGGGCGCCTGTGGCTGCGCGACATGGCCAGCGGTGAGTGTGGTTGGCGGCACCGCTGGCAGAGGGGGAAGCGGCACTTGGGGGGCCGGGGGCGGGGGGACGGGAATTGGGGTCGGCCGTGGCTTTGTGCGGATCTGAGAAAGACATCAGAGTAATTGCGAGACGGGTGGAGACGTGTGTGTGGATCTCGTGCACCTGGTCGATGTATCTTCTGGGTCTGTCTGCCAGCTCAGCGAGAAGGCTGCCCAGCCCCGCCGACGCACCAGCCGGCAGCACAATGTCGTAGTTGTGCGTCAGCTCGAACAAGAGAAGCGTGCCGGTCAGGGGAGCACGGTACACTGGACACACAAACACAATGGTGAATGGATGGATGCAGGCCGTAAGTATGTCTCATTCGGCCCACCAGCAGAGAGTACGGACGCGGCCCCCACAAGTGCGTATGCCCCTGCAGGAGCCACGCCCTCACCGCCAAGCACACTCTGGAACAAGGGCAGACCAGCTGCCAAACCGACAACTCTACAGAGAAAGAATTGGATCATGCCAGGGGGTCGGGGCTTGTGCAGTAGTTGCTCACTGTTCTGTGGCTGGCGCGAGGACTTTCTGGTAGGCTGCGCCGGCGACGGCTCCGAGAAAGAGAGATGGGGCAAATGTGCCGCCCACCAAACCACTGAATACTCACACACAGACAAGGGAATGTCAGTCACACAGCACTCATCGATCTGGCTCGCTGGCTGAAGGTCCCACCTGCCGGCAGAGATGGCGGTCATGACCATTTTCAGGAAGAGCAGCAGGATGAGTGAGCTGGCGGGGTCGCTCGCTGACGTGAGCACCTTGTCCAGCGTGCCGTACTGGGAGAAGAGCACCTGTGGGAACCAGAAGCCCACCACGCCGCACAGCAGACCGCCGATGACGGGCTTGAGGATGCGAGGGACACGTTGCATCCACTTGAACCGGGACACAGCACCTGATGCAGCCAACTAATGCGATTGTCGATCATGAATATATCATGAAAGTGTATCCACGCCCACGTACCTTCGAAGGCGAGTTCAGCACTCTCGAGTGCCCTCTTGAATAAAATGGACACAGCACCAGACACAGCACCTGTAGACACACACACAATGACACATATGATCCCACAGAAGAGCACTCCTTCATGCACAACGGGTCAGTCTGTTCCTCTCTCACCAAGGCCCACATAGAGCGGGAGTTCCACCAAAGGGTTCAGCAGCGAGTAGGAGGGGGGAGGCACGAAAGCCAGAGTCTCGGCCAGCCCGATCCGGGCGGTCAGGGCAGACACGACAGCGCACAACACGGTGCCTGCAATGCTCGTTCGCGGCACGCCCACGTTGTCTTTGGCCGCCGTCACAATCTCAAGGGCGAAAAACACACCTGAGCAAGCAACGAAGCATTTGCAATGTTGGGAGGTCCTTGGCCCATTCGCCGTACCTGCCACGGGAGCGTTGAAGCCAGCGGCCACGCCCGCAGCTGCACCAGCACTCAGCAGCTGGCGACGTCTGTCGAGCGACATCGAAAAGAACTGTCGTACACACACACGAATACGACACCATGTTCAGGCAACCTCACGGTTCACTGACATGCCCTTCACTCATACCTGCGACACAAGTCGTGAGCACGAGACGCCAAGCTCGACGGCAGGTCCCTCCGGGCCGAGGGAACACCCTGTGCCCAAAGTCGCCACCCTGATGGCACACTCATACATGAAGGCATGTGCACAGACACGTATCCGCTGATCACATGCAGTGAAGTGCCTCCTCACCCTGCCCCGGATTTGGCGAGTTGCTTTTGGAAGGCACAGTTCTTACGGTTGTCCACCTCGTTCAAGCTGCCCTTCAGACCTGACACAACAGATGGACAGTATGCATCAAGAAGGTGTTCACATTCGCGCATCAGCTCACCTGGGGTGAAGCCCACAAGCTCCCTCAAAATCCCGACAAGCAGGCCGCCCAACGCCGGCACCAACAGCGCAGCTGAGGAACCACACAGACACGACCACTCACGCACCTGTCTGTGTGAGGTGTTTGAAGTTTGCCCACCTCCCAGTATGCCGAGCGACGGCGTGACGACCTTGGCGAGATCCCCGTAGGTCAGGCCCTGCACCAGATTGATCGACCGCTTGAATGCAGTCACCGACAGACCGGTGAGCACACCTGACATACACTCATACCACGCACACAGTGCACTGCAGATCTTGCTGTGATGGACGAACCGCAAGTGCATTCCTCACCTGTTAGAATCGCCGTCGACAAGTACGCACTCTCCGCAGCGAAGCCCTTCCGTGGCCGCCTCGGCCTCGGCAGAAAGAACTTCCTCGCTTTCGGCGCGTTCTCCTCGGCCGCAATATCCTCCTTTTTCTTGAGAGCAGGGTCGGTCTGCGTGGTGGTCGACTGCACAACGCGCCTCCTCTGCAGATGGGGAGCAAAGGGCCGGCTGGGCGAAAGATAGAGAGGCGGAATGAAAGATGAACAGAGAGCGCTGTCGGGCTGGGCCGAGTGCGCGCATTGAATAAACAGGATGGGCAGTATTAGCAATGACAAATGCGGCAGCCTCCGAGATGAGCGAGATCTGGAGAGATCTGATTCAGCAGTGTCACATTGTGGCGATTGCAATGGGTGCGCCCGCCTCAGCGCTTCGTCATCCTCCATGTCTGCGGCCTCCATTTGGAGAATCTCGTGGCTAGCTCGCAGGTTTGGGGGGTCCATGAAACCGCTGCTGCCGCCTTCGAGCTTCCTCCCGAATGAGTCCGCTGGTCATCACGCGTCGAGAGCCATCCATCGAAGAGGAGGAGCATGCCACGCCAGGACCGTCACTTCCCCCAGCATGCAGACGCGTCGGGACCGAACGCGGAAGAACAAATAGCAACGATGCTGCTCTGCATGAGGACGGTGGAGGAGCATCCGGCAGCAATGATGGGCATGACGACGAGCATCTATCTGTTGTGCCGTTCGTGCCGCCACCCGGGGTGGTGGATTTCTATGGCCCAGGGCCGTGGGGCCTCGTCGATGGCATACCATGGCCCAGAGGAGGAGATGGCGACGACTCAGAGGGCTACGTGCGGATGAAATACGGTGTTGATCACGGGGGCAAGACATGGGCGGTGGAGGGAGCAACGTATTACCATCTCAAGGTCTGCTCAGACGGATGGACTGTGACACAAGTGCGCTATGTGTTGTGTGGTCGTCTGTTTCCGGCAGGGCCCGGCCACCGGCAAGTTGGTTGTGATTATGCCTGGTATCACTTCTTTCGCCGCATCAGTGGCTCCACTCGCCGAGTGTCTCATACAACGCAACCACAGGTGCGAAAACATCCGTGCAGCAGAACACATATCACATTGAGACGGTGATCATTCAATTTGGTATCCCTTCAGAGTGCTGCTTTTCGACCTTTTCGGCCGCGGGCGCAGCCCATATCCGCCGTCGCAGCCCCCTTGCTCACACGTGACCCCACACAAGAGATAAACTTCACTTGTGCAGCAGACACACAAGAGAAATTTGTTGCCCGCGTGTGTCTGTCTCAGGTGTTGTTTGCTGATCAGCTGTACCATTTGCTGGACAAGCTGGGTCTTGCTGACGTCAGTGGGGGGATTACTCTGCTGGGCTTGTCGCTTGGGGGCGCCATTGCATTGACGCTTGCTCAAAGGTATGAGCGGGCAACTCTCACATGGTTTTTGTCTCAGGCTTACCTTCATTTTGGTGTGATCATGGCAGGTATCCGAAGCTTGTCCGGCGATTGCTGCTAGTGGCGCCGGCAGGGCTGCCGGGGGTCACCTCACCCCTTCTGAGTGTGCTGAAAGTGCCATGGCTGGGCGAGGCGATCATCAACACACTGGTAAGCATTCCAGGTTCAGATACGTGTTCTGAATCGACAATACGTGCGGCTGTCTTGCCCTTGTAGGGTCGTCTTTTGCTAAGTGCTGTGGTCGGAGACTTTGATGACACTGAGCATCCGGGGTGCCTGCTGATGAGGAGTGTCACGGCATGGCAGGCCGACAACACGCCGGGATACATCAATGTAGGAAGAGACGGGGGACGTACTAGACGTACACACCCGCGATTGTTTTTACATGTTTGCTCACAGGGCTTGCTGTCCACGTTGCGTCACTTTCCTCTGGCGTCGATGGAGGAAGTCTTCAGGGAGGTGGGGCAGTATCCCAGACCGGTGCTGCTGCTCTGGGGTAAGCGGAGGAAGGCATGTCTCTCGTCGTCCAGACAGACGTGCATACCTGCCCCCTCTGTGTGCAGGTGAAGAAGATCAGACGTGCCCATTTGACCCCTGCTGCTTCATTGCTAGCGAGTGCCTGCCCAATGCCACGTGAGTGCTCATCCACGCAAATAGGCATCTACGATACAAATGCCTGTCTGTCCGTCTGTCTGTCTGTCTCTGTGCTCCAGCCTTCGCGTTATCCCAAATGGTGGCCACTGTATGGCTCTCGAGCAGGCGGGGCGGGTCATGATCGAAGTCTTGGGATTCCTCGGACATACCGACCACTTGCCGCACCCACTCCCACCAGACCACCCAGTTATCGACCACTCACCATCCCGCCTGCGCACTCTGATGCGACAACCTGCCCTCCTGCTGTCGCCAATGCCTACATCCAGCGAAGGCAACAGATCGTGTGTCGACGGGGCGATCGAAGAGTATATGAAGGCTGGAGGTCTGGACAGCACTTTTCTCCCAGCACGGCGCGCTCCGGAGAGAGTGGTGGAGAGAGGAAAAAACCGCAGCAGCGGGAGAGACGCCGAGTCTGCGGCTGTGGCTTCCCTTCCGTCACGGAGATCGGACAGCAGCATCCCCGATGAGGACACGTTCGCGAATTGTCCACCATCTGTCTGTCCATTCCATGCTCCATCTGCGGGTCCTTCCTCTTTCCCCCCATACCGCCACTCAAACCGTGTGCCTTTCTCAATCTCCCTCGCCCCGAGACCGCCATTCGTGCACGGTCAGCATTCTGCGTGTCAGCCTGCAGTGACGAGCGCTAGAAGTGAGGCGGCGGGCGATCCACGCTCTGCTGATGGTGTCAAGGCAGATGTAATCGAGTCCTGTATGGGGCGGGACGGGGAAAGAAAGAAACGACATGGGAGTGATGCGTCTCGTGAAGGAGAGAGTGTGTCGCGATGGGGGGTTTTCTGGAAGAGAGTGAAACGACTGCTGCCTGCCAGAGCTTTCATGAGAAGGAAAAGCGTGACCAGTGAAGAAGCGTGAAGGGTGTGCTTCTGCGTGGATGTTTGGGTCGGCAGCGCAAGTTGACTCCATGGATGGATGTTTCACTCGTGCGTCAGGTCAAAATCAAAAGAAAGCTCATTTCACCACTCGCACGACACTTACACATGAATGAGGAGGGCGGCCCACACGCAAGAGCACGAAACAAGTCCATGTAACTCACCTTGCTGGGAAGGCACGTATTCCGACCAGCGCCCCTCTCCTCCAGTTCTCCATCGAGAACGGCGGAGGAAAGTCACGTGGTGGAAGGAATCGATTGAGACGATAAGAGGCCCGCCTCTTCTCGCGAGATAGGCCCGACCGAGCAGCACCTCCAACGAGGCCCTATTTGCAAAGGACAGCCGATCAAATAAATTAATGTGATGCTTGTCTTCTTCTTCTCACCTGTGCTCAGATGGACGGACGGGACGCTACGTACATCGCTCGTTCACAAGAACGATGAGAGAAACGACGAGAGGAACGATGAGAGGAACGAAGAGAGGAAACTGCCTGACGGAGAGGCAGGGAAGAGACGAAAAACGAGGATGAATGTCTGTCTCGGTGCGACTGGACTGACGCAGCCCGAGCAGGAAACGAAATGAGCGGGCGGGAGCGTAGGAGCGTCCCCAGAGATACGTGGCTGGGTGCAACCGACGTGCTCTCTGTCCCCCCGAGGCACTTGCACAGAGGAGAGCCCAACGATGAAAATCGCCCAGCATCCATTGCCTCCATCGAGGCGCCGGCGAGGACCGAACGAGTCCCGCAGGGGGGACGACACGGAAGCCTGAAGAATACACAAAGAGTCACATGCAGAAAAGAAACAGCATTGCAGATGTGCAAACAGAGGTGTGAATGTGCGCATCTGCATGTGGCCGCCCTCCTCGGTAATCCATTCCATTCATGCATCACAATCTTGACTCCTATGCTACGAAGCAGGGGAAGGTACATATGCCTGGTCCAGGTGGTCCAGGATTCTTAACCCCTCTCATGCGCTGCGATTCATCGACGGCCCGCAGTTGCTGTTCTTTCTCGAGAAGACACGTCAAACGAGAGGGGCTGCCGTTGCCCTGCTTCAAATTTGCCCCCGCTGAGATCGCAACTTGAAGGGCCCCACGTGAAAGCGACGAAGAGCACAGAGAGATGAATGGATGGATATTTATTGGAAGAGTGCATTTTTCGTTCACACAGACAACGGATGTTCATCATGCAGCAAAACAAAACGGCGCACCCACCAGCCATTGTCTCACCCGTCGGCCACGCGTCAGCGAGGAACACACAGATAGCAAACATACACATCGACATCTTCCCATCCCCCTGCGTGCAAAAGAGGCCACAGCGCCCTATCGTGGGGCAACATGAAGCACCTGCACATGTCGCGTATTGTACACTGCGTATATCTGCCTGTCTGCCACGTATACCGAGTCATACCCCTGCCCCCGCACGTCTCTCGGCGCTTGGCCGGAAGAGATCACCATGTGCCGCCCCAGGGAGACATTCGCCGTCACCACATAGCCACGACGGCGGGCAAGGCCGTCAGTCGCTCCTATGGAGGTGGCGAAGTAGATGGCCGGTCCGACCACGCCGCTCCCGCCTGGCAGCATCTGGCCAGACTGCTGGATGGACGCCGCTGCATTGCTGTCGGTCTGATGATACAGAGTGCCCATGTCTTGCCTCCAGTCTGATCAGCATGCACAGAGAATGCCTGCATACTTGTCTGGTGTCTGCGTGTGGGTGCTCCATCTCTCTCTCTCACGGATGCTGCTCGGTTGGCGAGGGTGACCCCAGCTGATGTGGACACCGGGAAGCAGCAGTATCGAGGCGGGAACGACGGAGAGGTGAATCGTTCGTAGGACAACGGGCGAAATTCCTTATCCTGTTGCAGGAATAACGCGAGCTCTTCCCATGTGCGTGTGATTGTTTCGTGCGGTGCGTTTTCTCCCGTAGTGCCCATTCGATTCAAAAGAAAACACATCGTGAGTGTCTTCGCTGCAAAAACGAAATGAAGAAAGGTTGATAGCCAACACACCCCATTTCAACCACTCTCTCCCCTGCCCTGTTGCTTCATCTGCACACTGCATGTGGGCTCTAGGACGGACGAATGGGTCGGGCAAGCGAGTACGCAGTGAGCCAGGAGGGAGCAGCCCCCCGACCCGCGCCGTTCTCCACGTCGCGCCCACCCGACCGCCCCAAGCAGCAGACGGGTGACTTCCTGCCCAACACAAGAATGTCTGTAATACAGCTGGCACAGCTCCTCCCCACTGCCTCGCTGAGCCGCCAACTCGCACGTTGCCGTCTGTCCGTCCATCAGACGAAAGGAAAGAAAGAGGACCCCTCAAAGCAATATATTGGTCAGAAAAAATTGTCAGTCAGTCAGTCAGTCAGTCAGTATGCATCATGCATGAACTACATGCGCGCACGCCCTCACATCCGTCTGTCTGTCTGTCTGTGAGGCGGCGCTGTCTGTCGGCATCCCAACCGACGCGAAGAGGAATGAGACCAAGCCGCTGGCAGCGGAAAAATGCCGCAAAAAAGCTGACATGCAAATAAGGGAAAACTCTTCATGTCGCGCACGAACAGTGCGCGTGCATGTATACACACACGCACGTGTACTTACACATGTAATGTACACACAGGGCAGTGAGAAAAAAGATAGTCCGCACGCAAACAGCACACGTACGTACGCAGTGCGCGACTGAGAGCGTGGGAGCGCGCCTACGATCCTACCGCCTTCCTGTCTACTCGCGAAGCAGTGTGGTGTCTGTGTTGGTGGCTGCCTTGCCGATGACGGGCACATTCACCGGCCAGCGCGTCTTGAGCGGCACCCGTGGCTCCGTGGCGATGTGTGTCGGGGCCTCGCTGAGCCGTCGGGTGGCCGGCACCACACCCGAATCGGCATTCACGATGGCGAGAGGCCGCATGCAAGGCGCCGACGACCGCGGACCACCGCGCAGTGACCCATTGCTGGCACCGCGGCCTCCCATGCCTCTGCCCCCGCCTGAGGATCCGAACTGCGACATGCGGGCAGAGTACGGCGGGGGGCTGGACACGCCGGTGTTGCCGTTGAACGCACACGGGTCACGTGCGGCACTGCCTCCGCCTCCCATTGCTGTTGGTGCCTGTCTGCACAGACAGACAAGGCACAAAGGAGCACGAGATGCACACAGATGTCTCCTTTTTCTCCTCACTGTATCCATCCCCAACGACTCACCTCTTTCTCGGTGGTTCGTCTCGCAAGTAGATCTCTCAAGCAACGCCTCTCCGAACAGTCACTCGGTCTGATGTCACACACGAATGAGGGAAAACCAACATTGTGCACTCACTCATGATCGTGTGAGGTCTGTGTGCATCTGTGTTGTCACCTCGCTGGGCTCCAATCGAACGACGGCGACGACCCACACACGGATCTGTGTCGGATCTGTGCATCAATGAACAGGAGAGCACCCACCGTTGCCTTAATGTCAAGCGCATTCCATCCCTTTCTGTGGGGTTCAACCAGTGCTTACCACAGCCGCTTGTGCGTGGCAGGGGGAGCGGAGTGATGATGGATCCGCCTCGAGATCTCTCAAGGACGAGGGATTTCATGTCATGTCCTAAGGAAACCCTGCACCCCATAAACCCTTGACCTACGGTGAAGATAGAAGAGCACCGTGAGTGCTGTGGTTAGCGCGTTTTGATAAGAAGCCTCAGCCTCAGCCGGTAAGCCGAGCACGGTGGATGACGATGCATTCATCTGATGGAAATCTCCCTCTCTTCATTCCATTCTGTGTCCCTCTTGTCAGCATTTGTCTGTTCGACTGACCTGGCGCCATGGCGGCGGTCTCGTCAGCATCTGCCTGCCACTTCAATCTGCCGCATCTGCCGGTGAGCCAATAAGGCACGAGTGCACATGCATCATCACGGTGTGTTGTGGGTACGTGACGACTCGTTTGCTTGATCGTCTCACCCACCAGCTGATGCCACCCTTCACTCGCTACCGAGAGGGCACTCGTGTGCTGATGGTGTCGAAGACCAAGAGGGAGGGCAAGCACAAGTGGGTGACGGCTGTCGTCGATCGCAGACCGGAGGAGACCAGTAGAGGGACCAAGGTGCACATGACGGAGGTTGCCGGTTGCCGTGAGAGGTTTGAGGTGCTGGTGCCGGCAGTGGAGGTGACGATAGCCGAGGAGTGGACCGCCGAGGGCGGTGGTGGGCAGCAGCTCTCGCTGGCCGAGGGAACGAGGGTCCGCATCCAGGAGCGGCACAGCTCGGGATGGACACTTGGCCTGATCGTCCGGCCCGACGACACCCTCGACAACCGACCCGACTCCTGGGGCTGGTTCCCCGACTTCCTCACCGGTCTGCCCCCCTCACGTGACACCACGACGCCTCCAAACAAGAAACCAAAGACACACAAGGTGAGCACTACACGCAGCCCAGCCCGCCCACTTTTATGCCCCCCTCTCCCTCTTTCAGGCCCCTGATGGTTTTGCCGATGACCACCAGGTGTCACTCTTTGGCTTCATGACCCCCCGCGAGCTGTCGGCCATCTTCCCGCACCGCTCCCCCATCCGCAACGGAGCCGTCCACCAGCACACACACGCCACCATAGACGCCGCCACCGATGCAGACCGTCGATTTTGGAGCCAGACGGCAAGCGAGGCGGCATTGAAGTTAGGCAGACGGCTCGTCAATCTGATCACACTCAAGGGTGATGTGTCGTGCCTGGACAACATGATGGCCGTTGTGGAGGGTCATGCGGCTGGGCGACAACACAAGTCGGAGGGTTCGCTCGAGACCATCACCTTCAGCACCGGCAGCACCGGCAACACCAGCATCAGCCGCAGGGCAGAGAAGCGACAGCGTCCCCCTACCCCTCCTCTACTCACCGAGCCCCCCACCCTCCCCTCACTCAAGGCCGTCACAGGAGCCGTCCGCCATCACTCTGACCTGGCCAACAGAGGGTGGCGGATGCCGTCACTCGAAACAGTGGAGCAGACAGGGTGGGGGCCGGATGAGCTGGGCAGCTTCATTAGCTCGTCACGGTGTCTGCAGCGCGTGGGCGGCCAGCTGTGGGGTAAGCAGTGGGCGGCGGTGCTCGAGCACATCCCCAAGGCAGCGGCTGGGCAGCCGGGGCCGCTCCGGCAGCTGCAGAGCATCGGAATGATTGAGCATCGGGATGGACAGACACACCAGCGGTACCAGGCGGGAGTTGAGCGGCTAAAGGTAGGCAGCCATCACACACAAGAGAGGCCGCACACGTGCCTGTGGGTACGCATTTCATGTCTTGTGTTGTTTGTCTTGTAGGATGTGCTCACATCTCGCGGCTGCCGCAAGTCGCTGAAAGAGCTGCACGTGCAGATCCCACCGCTCTACGGCCACACGGCCATCGACTCCCTGGTCGCAGTCGACAGCCTCGTCAAGGAATGCTGCACGCCCGACGCGCGCATCACTGTGACGTCGACACCGCACCCCGTGATTTCGAGGCTGCACCGCTTCGACCTGTCCCTCTTCTACAGCGACGCGATCCCCTCCCACCCCTCCCCCTTCTTCATGATGGCCATCCAGGCGGCCGCAAGGGAGGCCACACAGATCAACTACGTCATCAGCCAGCATGACCTCACCCACCCCGTCGACAGCCCCAGCCAGGCGGCCATCGACATCGCCAAGACACTCACATTCGACAAGGCCGAGCGCGTGATTGTCCGCAACGCCCATGGTTTCGACCCCCCTCCCGGCGCCCCTTCACCGCAGCCCACCATCATCAACCACCTGCAGCAGTTCCTAACGGGCACTGAGCTGTACATCTGCAGTGCTCTTGGCGATTCTTCAGGTCGGCTGCTGGCAGAGAAGATGCCCAGGATGGTCGAGTGGGTGTGGATTGGCCGAGGTGTGAGTTCAGGGGGCATGATAGGCGTGTTGGAGGGCCTCGGGGCGGGGACGGAGGTGGGCAGTGTCAATGTTGATGAGGTCAGTCTCACTGGGGGTGCATTGGACGGCTGGAGGTCGGACGGCTTCCCGTCGATTGGCCGCATAGGCATGCATTTGTCAGGTATGCACCGCACCGGAACAGACGATTCTGGCGGATCATCTTGTGTGCGTGCATTGCTCCCGTGTCTGTCTTATTCCTCAGTGCCCGACGGCTTGGGGGCCTCTGCTGCTGCCGAGCTCATCCGCGGCGGCATCTCGTCCATCGTCGGCGGCGTGCGGAGCCTGCGGAGTTTGACGCTGACCGTGCATGGCAGCGAGGCCGTTCGTGACGCCGTTCGTGAGGCCGTTCGGACAGAGGTCAGTGACAACTTCACCATCGGCACACGCAGTCAATGGGGTTCAGTTGAAGTAACTGCAACGCGTCGTTCCTAGAGTGTGAGGCGGGAAAAGGCAGAGCAATGCATCCACCGTCCGGCCTCATGGTGTGTGTTGGTGTCTGTGTGTGGCCGTTGGGTCAGGCTGTGTGTGGCCGTTGGCCGGGTCAGGCTGTCTGTCGAGGCAACGAGATGGATGGATGGATGGATGTTGCAGTATGTGTCGACTGATGCGGCCCCTCCAACACACCACACCCCCAAAGACACCATACACCAATACACTCGGCTCGTGGGCTCAATGTGCATATGTGGCATATATCCGCCGCGGGCAGCGGCCCAGCCAGCCAGCAGAGAGATAGCTTGCAGCTTGTTGCAGCTCATTGCATGCACAGCAAATTGGATGGATGTGATTGATTAGATGGACGGCACGAGTTCACTTACTGCCGCCCCTTTCGTGTACATGGCCTGCCTTGGTCCACGATCAGAGATGACAGACAGACACACAGACCAGTCACGTTCTCTTCATTGCAATGAAAAACGTCTTGCTACGATCCGACAAGCATGCAGCGTCCGTTAATGCATCCCTCACATCAGCTCACGTGTGCCATCTGCTCACCCGGCGTCCCTAGCTTCCAACAGCCCTAATGACCAACACGACACAGTGCATCCGCGACAACACATTCATGCATCCCCAGTGCACTGTGGATAAACTCGCAAACACTCATAAACACACACGTCGGCTGCCAAATGTGAGCCGCTCGATGGAAGGTCTGTGTTGACCTTCGCACACCATACCACACGCACTGCACGCCAAGTCCCACAACACACAGAAATCTCCGTGTGCCAAAAAACGGAGGCACTGCACGAAGGCGCATAGGCAGCCGTTCGCTGGTAAAAATGTCATCCGTCTGCGAGGCTACGACTGATCTCACACTACGCAAGCCAAACCCACGTACGTCTCTCACACTGCCTGTCCGTCTGGCCGGATGGTGACGACATTAGTGATATTCCCGTGTCGGTCTTCGTCCTTCGGTTTCGTGTATGCACATGTCCACATGCTATCGACGATGAATTTGTAGGTGTGCTTGCCAGGGGGCAGCGAGAGAGGCAGCACGTAGGATTTCTTCTCGGGCGACCAGTGCATCTCGTAACGACTGCGCCAGTCGTCGAAAGAGCCCTTGAGCTCCACCTTAGCGGGCCGACGATGCTTCATCGGCACGTACTCGAATACATGGTTGACCCTGACAACACAGCCAGAAACGCCCCTTTCTTCCCAGCGCTGTGTGTGCCCTCGTCTTTGTGCATGCTCACTTGTTGCCGCCCGCATTGGCCGTGTCGACGTCCATCCTGCCGTGACTCTCCGATGCAGACTTTGCCTGACACACGTACCAACATAAGGGCAGCAACGTGCGAGCTGTCTCCAGCTTGGATCTCACCATAGGCGGCGTCACCATGCCGTATCCGTCACGTTTGTGTGTCGGTGGTCGTGCTGCCAGCCCTTGCCCTCGGCCTTCGGGAGCCGGAGCAGCGGAGGTCGAGGGAGCCGGAGTCGGAGCAAAGACGAGCGATGCAGCAAAGGATGAGGCTGGGGGGGTCTGAGCTGGAGCAGCGTGCAGATATGGCTGGTTCCCCTGTGTGCTTGCTCGTTTGTTGGTTCCTGATTGAAGGGGAGGCTGCACACACGCAAGGACTCAAATCTGATTGACGCAGGCCGGCGTGGAAAAGCGGCTGGTAATACCTTCGGTAGTGGAGGTGGTGTTGTTAGCATCCTTTGCCTTGCGATGGCATCGATGTGTCTGTCTATCCGATGACCACGACATTGTTTGCATTGCCATCTCGATCTTGGTCTGTTGGCTGCTTGCTGGAAAACACCCATCTGCCGTCGACGATGAACTTGTACGTGTACCTGCCGGGCGGCAGCGGGAAGGGCAGCACGAAGCAGTTGTGCTCCCCCGCAGACCAGTGCATCGGATACTCGCCATGCCAGCCGTCGAACGAGCCCTTAAGCTCCACCTTGGAGGGACGAGTGTGCGCCGTCGGCACGTACTTGAAGATGTGATCGATCCTGGCACCACCACCATAGGCACACAGACACAGCCACGATCCGTTCGCTCCGGTCTCTGCGGTGTGTGCGTCTCTGTGGGTGCTTACATGCTGTCGCCACTCTTCTGTGCTGCAGAGAGGAGCGGTGTGGTTTCCTCATCCGTCGCCGCCGCTTTGGCCGTGTCGATGTCCATATCGTCGTCCCCCTCCACGCTGGACTTGGTGTCGGTCGTGTCCTCCATCGGAGCACAGCCACCCTGCCAACCACGGCACAGGAGAGCGAAACACAGACCCACGTCGGTGCTCACGCGCACATATCCACAGCCAACGCACCTCTCTCGGGCTTTCGTCTTCTTTTTGGTCGCCACTCGCCGCCTCGCTCGTCACCTTTGGAGGCGCCGCAGACACTTCCTGCAGACACACACACAAGTGCAGCAATGTATCTGCTGTCTTGCAGCTCCACTTAACGGCTTGGCTCACCTTGTCGTGTTGGCGGGCTTCCTGGGTCTGCGGCGGAGGCATCAAATCGGCCAGTGCGGGTGGATGCCAGTGCTGCTGGAGGGATGGTGGAGGGGATGGAGTGCGAGGCTATGACATACACACACACACAGAGTGTGATCGATTCGCACAGGCGTGTGGAGCAGCTTACCAGTGGTGGTGGGGATGGTCGGCTTCGCTCCATGAGAGTCGTCATGACGGCATCGAACGCCGACATGTGAGGCCCGACCGCCCTCCGTGTGCGCCCATCACACATCAGCTGGACCAGCCCGCCCACCGTGCGGCATCCAGCGTCCTTCAGCCTGTGCATGAAGTCCTCGGCGCCAATGAGGCTCTGCTCGCCTCGCGGGTAGTACTGCAGCTGTCGGCCAGCGAGACTCGCAGCACACCACTGGATGAGGAACTTCCACTGTGGGTCGCCACCAAACACACCGCACCCCCAGTTGCCTGCAGGGACACATACACAGACACAGACTCACCCAGGTGAAGTGTCGCGTGTGTGTGTGTGGCTTTCTCACCCGTCGCGAATGGCATGCCACTGACGACCGTCAGGCTGTTGCAGTGGAAGGCCGTGTATGCCTTGTTGAGCTCCCGCAGCACGCACGTCTCGTCGTACTGCTGACCGCCCCCCTGCTTGCCAAAGTTGACGGCATCGAAGGCCACGATGTACTTGCTCAGAACCGGATGGCCATCGATGTGTCTCATTGTGGCGGTGTCGTGGGCAGGGCCGGCGAAGCGGAGCGGGCCACGGCCGTAGCGCGTCGTCTTGCTGAATGTCTTGGAGCCGACGATCATGAAGGCCTCAGTGGGCCCCATGGGCCTGGGGAATAGGTAACGGGCGACGAGACACTCCGGCTCGGTCGAGAAGAGAATCTCCTCCTCCATCGCACCTGACAGGCCGCACACACACACACACAGCAAGGCGAAGACACACATGCAGATGCGCGCGCAGATGTTTGCCTGTGCATGTGCAGGTCTGCGTGCCTAAACCGTCTTCCAGTGTCCCGCCACCGATGTGGGCATTGGCGAAGTCACCCCGGATGCCATTCGAGGTGAAGATAGATTCACTAGTCCCCTGGATGAAGTGCACGTCCATCAGAGGGGCGGTCAGCCCCGCCAAATCCTGAAGCCCCGCCCCGGGACTGTCGAGTGCTTGGAAGATGACAACTCTCTCCGTCTCGGTGATGTTGCCCTGCCTGATCGCCCTCGCCATGGTGTTGAGGTAGTGGATGAGGCACTCTAGCTTGGCCTTGCCAGAGGGTGTGTGGTTGTCGAAAAGGCGATCGAAGTTGAGGCTGCCATCCGAGTGCTTGTGCAGACAGAGGAAGCCCGCACCGACGAGAGCGAAGCACTGCCGAGCCGTCATCTTTCTCTCCATTGTACTGTGTGGGTGGCTGGATGGGGGCAGCAGGGGGAAGCTGAATTCGCTCTTGGACAGGACGGCGCACAGGACGGGCAGCGTCTCGTCGATGAAGGTGGGCGTCTCGCTGATGAAGGTGGGCGTCTCGCTGATATAGGTGGGCGTCATCATCTTCTCCAAGCCACGGACCTTGGTCGATGAGATTCCCTGAGTCCCCATGACCGACTGCAGCATGCTCAGCAGACGGGTGACGTCCTTGGGCTCCTTGACGCGTCCGTACCTCGTCGCATGGTGGGTGAGGATAGCCTTGACGTTGGCAGGTGAGCCGTGGTCGGGTGGCGGCGGACGTACAAAGGATGAAGATGCTCGGTCCGTCCGCAGCAAGTGCGCCGAGGAACTCGGCAGCTTCTCTGGTGCGGCTCTTGCCGACGCCGCACTGGCCTGGCCGTGCTGGGGTCGGGCTGTGACGAGGGGCATCATGGCGGCCGGCTGGTAAGGAATCACGTCAGGAGGCCCCTGCTGCTGGTGGGGTGGCGCTGACGATGACACTGGTGCGGGTGCGTGAGCTGTTGCTGGTCCAGGAGCCCGGGCAGGCTCAGCAACAGCTGCTGTTGTGGGTGGTGGTGGACCCGCCTCACCCTCGGCTTTCTCTGTCACGGTGTGGAGGTTGGTCTTGCGCTTGGGCGTCGGTGTGGGCGTACGTGTGGGGGCAGGGGGTACGCCCCCCTCCATCGGGAGATTCTGCAGCCGTCCCCGCTGCGGCGGTGCGACGTACGGCTGCATCGTATTTGGAGGCGTCTTGTACGGCTCAGACGGCGCAGTGTTGGCCCGGCCGCTGTGCCTGCTGCGCCAGTCTTGGTCGGGGCTCTGGAGAGCCGTCGACGGCGGGGCCGGATGTATCGCGGATGCATCGCCGCCTCCCTCTGATGCGTCAGATGACCTGGACAGAAGGAGCATGACCGTGACGTGATGACGTGCAGTGACGAGGACTGTGGTTGCTTACCTGTCTGAGTAAGGATCGATCTCCATATTCTGTTCGTCAGCCATGGCGGTGTCACCCTCCAACGCCATCGGCACACCAACGACCCTGACAAAGGAAACGTACAATATTGTCACTCCAATGAGTGCAATTCGCTGCCTTCATCGTCACCTTTGAGTCCCAGGCAGTGGCTGCGAGTCGAGGATCGCCGGCAAAGGCGCTGTCTGCGCCGACGGGGCTGTGACTTCCTCATCAGCACGCAGCGAACAGACCTGAAGGAAACCACAGCAGGTGAAAACTCGCTTTCATGGCCTGTCAGTCGTCACATACGTGTCGGTAGATCCACTTGACGATAGCGGGATTATCAAAGTCATATCGTCGCCCATCGGCCAGCACGGCGTGCATACATCGACGCATCCGTCGAGCGACCTCGTGCTGCCTCTCGAGCGGCAGCCGGGTAAAGGACCTGCCGACCACCTCGCCCACTCGCCCGGCAATCGTGGCGTCGTCGGAGATCATTGGAGCGATGCGCGAACGATTACAACCGCCAAACTGACACGAGAATTCATACCAGACAGGCACAATCGGGTTGGTTGCTATTTTATCAACGTGCAAGTAGCTCACCAGTTGAGCCGGGAATGCGTGTGGCGAGTTGTCTTGGTGTCTGAAGGCCTGATTGACCCAGGCAGAGGCGTGAACGCCATAGATGGGGCACAGCGGATCGATGGCGACGCCCGGGAAGCTCAGCTCATGCAGCTCGCGCGCCAATGGGATCATCTGAAGCACCGAAGACACACCAAATTCTTCAGCGATCTTTCCCCGTGTGTGTCTGCTCACTTTGTCGAATGAGTAGTAGTGATCCACAGTGGGATGGTCGTGGTGCCAGAGGTCGCTGAGGAAACGAATGGAGGAGTTGTGGCCAATCTGGGCTGCGTCGGGCAGAAAGGCCGACCAGATGCCGTCCGCCCCGTGCTTGACAGCTTCCAGAGTGGACGCGCCCGTGTCGTTGGCCGCTGCGCCAGCGTGGGCATGGACGAGCAGCTTGTAGCGGCCGCGAGGGAAATGCGACCTGAATGAAAACAGACAAGAGGCATTTGCAATCCATCAGCCGTGCTGGCAATGCTTCGGCTGACACTTCACCTGAGTAGGGCCGCCACCTCTCCGTATTTCTCGTGCGTCCAATTGCCCCTGAACTCCTCAAAACAGATGTGCGTCACGTTGGGCACCACGGCACTAGCTCCCTTGAGGTAGGCGATGGTGGCATCAGTGGCCGGCGTCCCAATGGGCGCATCGCACAGGTCCACCAGATTGACGTAGATGTGGTAGCGATACTTCCCATCAAGGTTGATTGGAGGTGGCTGCCGCTGCCTGTTGATGGCCTTGAAGTGCTCCAGAATCGACTGAAGGGTCTGCTGGATGTGGGTCTGGGGGCTGACTGATGCGTCGACAGCGCCGCGCTGATTGCGGGGTGAGAGGTAGACGTCGATGAACACATTGGGGATGGACGATGCCCGCAGCTTCGCGAGCGCCGACTGGTCACCTGCAGACAGACACCACAAGACGTAATGAGAAGGTTCAATCACCACAATGCTTGAATGCACTCATGTGCTCAGACCTGCCGGGAACATGACGACGATTCCATTTAGCCGAGGCTCCTCGGCCATCAGCAGCTGCAGGAACTGGTCCTCCACCGGGCAGTAGTCGTCATACCAGGCAAGAGCTGCCACATTCCTCATGCCCAGCTGCCGTATCCGCCTGAAGATCTCCAGCTTGGTCACTGCCGTGTGGCCGAAGGGCGAGTTGGTGACGGGCTCACGGCATGACATGTCCAGAATGTCGCGGGGATCACACGCGCGGAGCGCATCGGCGATGGTCCGGCTGCCTGCTGACGCCATTCCAATGCAGATCGCGCCAGATGTCACACTTCCATGCCCCGTGCGTCGTGTTGCCCTGCTTTGACCTGCCTTGGACCTTAGATTGTGTGCGAGCTTGAAATTCATGTCGACCAAAGCTCGCGTCGTGAAGGAGGAGGAACTGCCAAAGGATAAGGCATTGAGCACGGTTAACGGACCTGTAGATTGCCACAGTGGCGATATCAGCAAATACGGATGAGTTGGTTTGTCGTTTGTGCGGTGCTCGCCGTCATCCGTTTGTCGACCTTCTTGGTCCATCCCCAACACGACCATGCCTCTCGAGCTCTGCTGCTGCAGGGTCTGATGATCAGAAGGACGTGCAGCCGCCATCCCAGCGTTGGCTGAGCAATGGACATTCACTGTGCGTGTACTGTATTGTGTCTAGCTGTGTCCAGCTGTAACCGCTCAACGAACACATCCCCAGTGCATTGGACAAACAATTTATTCACACATCGACAATGTACTGAACCCATCACTTGAAAAACACACAATGATTCCCGCCCTGGTCACTCCTCACTCGCACGACCCACCCCCGCTCTCTCTGTGTTGATATGTGCCCAGAAGTCCGCTGCCATATTGAGGGCGAAGAAGTCAGCACACGAACCACTCGACCAGTAAGGCGACTCGCGCAGCAAAGAGCGCCCCTCGGCCACCTCCCGCGAGCTCCTCGACGGCTGCTTGCCCTCACGGCTCTCGTCGTCCAGCAGCGCCACCACGATGCTCTCGAGCGTCGATCTCTTCACCCATCCAGCCGGCCGATTGCACTCCTGAGACGCCGAATGGGCCCTGCCCGTCCACTCGTTCGGTGCAATCAAGACGGGCCGCACCCCTGCCGCGCACGCAACAGAAGCCGCCACATATCACATCCAGCTGTCTGCCTCCGTCCGTGTGTGTGTGTGTGTATGTGCACCGACCTGTCTTGACAGCGGCCAGAGCATCCTCCATCGGCCGGTCGCCCACATGAGCGATGACGTGCCTCATTGGCGGCTGGTGGAGGCACCTCAAGACACGCTCCTTGAACAGACCCCCCTTGACGCCCTTGGGGCGGTGGAATATCACGCCATGTGGGAAGCCGTGGGCCGCCAGCCATTGTGAGGTCTGCACCTCTGTGCCCGCTCGACGGCCCGATAGATAGACAATGGTGATGGGCGACGAGGGAGGGTCGCCGTCGGCCGGTGGGGAGGGGGCAGTGGGATGGTGTCTGGTCAGCTGGACGAGCTGTTGCAGGAAAGCTGAACGCAGCAGCAGACTCAGCTGTGGGTGCATCGATCATTAGCCAGTCTGCTCGTACCACGGGCTTCAGGAATCGGCTGTCGTGTCGATGACGCGGCACCGCAGCGAAAGATGACAGACAGCACAGAAGGCAGGCAGGCATGTGTATCATGCGAATGGAGCGTCTCGTGTGCCCACGAGTCACTGACTGACCTCATCGAGGTAGTAGTTGTCGCCACTAAGTATCACGTCCCAATCCTTCTGGCTTCGGTGGACCTGACCGCACACACAGTGACAGTGACAACACAACACAGGCAGCACAACAGGACGTCCCGTGTTCCCTCTGTCCTGTCGTGTGTGTCCAGAGACGCACCCGTCTGAGCGCCAGTCGCTTCTCGATCTTCGCCAGGGTGCCGTCGATATCAAACGACACCACCACAGGGCCGAACATCTCTTCGCTGCTGAACTCTCCGCTTTGGCTGATCTCGCCATAGAGTGAGGAATCATCGGGGCTCTCATCTCTGACGTAGCGGTAGTATCTCAAGGACGTGAGGCTCTCGGCGCGTGATACGCCACAGAACCGACCGAATTCGCTTTTGATGAACTCGCTGCACTCATCGGCCGTGCCGTCAGGGTGCGCCAGCATCCACACCACCTGCGAGTCCATTACCTCCTTCATTATCTCGTTGAGCTCGGGCCCCGTCGGCAGACAAGGCAGAACATCCTTGACCGCCTTCCCGCCCAGAGGCGGATCTCGCAGCCACACACCGATGAGGCCGAAGTCATCGACGGCCTCCTCAACGGCCCTGTAGCCGGACATCAGGTGCTGGGCTGACTCGAGGGGCGTTTTGCCGATGGCCCCGGCCATTGCCACCGCCAGGGATGCCTGGGGACACACAATACACACAAGAGGTCGGTAGCGCGAGTGCTGCTTGCTTGCTCTGTGTGTGTGTGTATGTGCGTACCTTCCACAGCTGCCCCGCTCTTCTGACTATGAGGCCCAGATCCACTCGGCCGTACTGCGACCGCTGAGATGCAGCAGAAGATCGGGCGGCTGCGTCGGTCTTTGGAGGCGGCGGGCAGGCTCCCTCGGCCCGCTCCCCGACGAGTCGCTGGAACTCGAGAGCTGTCGACAAGATGAGAGCCACGCTGAATACACAACAAGAAAGGAAGCAGTTGGAGGGTACTCTGGAGGTGCTGTGTGTTGCTCGGTCTGTCGTGGTCTGCTCAGCCTCTCACCGTTGTGCGACCTGTCTTGGCAGCTTGAGACGGCTGCCCAGAAGGTGGCTGATAAGGGGCGCGGGTCTGCCTTTGTCAACCTTATAATGCAGACCTGCACACGCACACAAACGGTAAGTAATCAGACACACACACAGAGAGAGAGACCTGGTCCAGATGAAGCAGTGCGTTCGTTCCAGATGTGTGTGCCTTCACGTGAGTCAATGAGTCTCTGTGTGTGTTCGGACCGGCGAGGGGCGCGTGGAATGCCGCGTAGCTCATCAATTTCTTCTCATCAGGCTCCCACTGCTCAACAAACCTACAAACCCACACACACACACAACACAATCCCCCTTTCTGTGCCCGGAAGTACGTCGAGTGTGCGTCGTTGATGACATACTGTTTCATCACACTGTGCAGATTCTTGACGGTCATCAGGCCATCGCTGAGGACCCCGTCAACACACATCTGGTTGGGCGACTTTGAGGACCTCACGTAGCGGTCGAGCAGCTCGGGGCTCCACTGTATCCTGTCTGGCTGCAAGAAGTGGACGGGGGCCAGCCCGAAGGAGGTGAGCAGCTGCCAGGGACACTGAACAGGGTCGCTGCAGCTCATCATCTTGTCCAGCTCGGCACCTATGCGCTCCCGGGAGACCTGCAGACAGACAGCGTGTGCCCGCCATCAGTCATGTGTGATGTGATATGCCTGTGTGTGCAGTTCGTCACCACCTTACCTTGTCTGCGAGCGCTTGGTGTACCCCCGCATCGCGGCAGGCTGTCTCGAGCTCACGCGAGATGCGAAAACCGAAACGAGACGCAAATCTGCAAAGCCCGATCAAAGCACATATGACATGTGCCGGGTGACTCAGATGCGGCAGCCATCAGATGTCTGTGCGTTCACCTGATGGTCCTGAGCACGCACAGGGGGTTTTCGAGCAGCGCTTTGGCGGGGTCCAGTGGTGTTCGCAGGACACCATCTCTCAGATCCTCGATACCACGACCTGCAGTACAACGCAGCACAGCGCAGCGTGGATCAGTCAGCGGCCTGTCTCTCTGTCCGTCACTCTTTTCACAGACCGACCGGTGAAGTCTTCCACTTTCTTGTCGTGCAGGTTGTAGAAGAGGGCATTGATCGTCAGGTCTCGAGGATAGGCGTCGACCACACAGGCGACAGAAGCTCCTCCAGGTTTGCCTGTCTGGCAAACCGAGGGCATCCCCGAGTCCTCCGTGCCGAAGTCGGTCCTCAGGTTGACGAAATCCACCTGAACACCCTTCAGCCTGAGCGTCGCCCTCTCAGGCTTATTCGACTCGGGGTTCCCCGCCATCACGCCTATCTTGCGGGGCGGGAGCCCACGGGTCTTCAACCAGCTGCATGTGTACACACACACACACACACACACACTGACGGCGGCCCTTCCAGGAGTGCGTCCACTACTCCCTCGCTCACTCACTCATTGAGGTGCTCGGCGAACTGGCGCCCCAGCATTCCCTCCACAGAAATGTCGATGTCGTGCGAGGCGGTGTCCCCCAAGTGCAGCAGCTTGTCCCGTACCCAGCCGCCCGCCACACGCAGCGTGGTGTCAAGATCCTTGTCCCTGACCACATTCAGCAGCAGCTCGAACAGCGACTCCTCCGCCTCCGTGAGCCGCAGATCTTGACATAGGCGGGACTTCGACGGCACCTCCGTGTCTGACGCAATTGTGCTCTCTTCAAGCGCCATCTCCCTTGTGAGGAAACGCTCGGCGAAACAACGAAAACCTTCCTGCACTTGGCTGCTTTCGCTCCTGTCGTGTCGTGTGTGTGTCGTCGGACTTTCCTGGCTGACGTTTTGTCGTGGAGACGAGACCAAACGAGGCTCCCGCACCTGAAACACACGACAGAACGGGTAATGGAATTTCCGCTCCGCCCCTTTCCCTCCCTCCCCTCTCTCCTCCCGAGCGTCAGTGGATCGTCGGGCACTTGCCTTGTCAGCACCAGAGCCATGTCCACCGAGATCTTGGCTTGTGGTGAGATGAATGAAGAGATCTGCAGCAACACAGCAGACACAGCGGCACAACAAGCACACATGAGCTGGGCGGCACCGTATCCATCCATCCAGCTGCGGCAGTCCTGTGATGGATCGCCAGCTATCGCTACAGCTCGCGTTGAGAGGGAGGAAGTAGCGCCCTTCTACACCTTGGTTGGGCTCACGTGAGCAGCGTGAGTGCTGTGGTTAGCGCATTTCGATCAGCAGCCTCACCAGAGAGCCTCTCGCCGGTAAGCCATGGCGATGGATGGATGGATGACCCTTCATGGACACGCACACACGCGCGATTCATGGCTTGACGGATGGCGTGTGTGCTGCAGGTGGGCGGCAGCTGTCGAGTCGAGATGGTCCAGACGACTTAGCCATTCATCGCACAGAGAGAGATCATGTCTGAGAGGGAAACCGCGAAGGTGACGCAAGTCGGCTGCAGCGGAGTGATGATTGTCCTATTGCCCGTTGCTGCTTGTTTCTCACCGGCAGAGGGGTGCTTCGGCTGCTGCTGCTGGTGCTGGTAGTGGTGTGGAGGATGGTGTAGCGGCCAGCGATGAAGAAGTCCAAGAGCGCACTAAAGAGGTGAGGCCGACCAAGGGGGGATCTGCAGCGACTAACTGACAGACTCACTCATTCCTCCGTTGCCTCTGTCTGTGTGTTGTGCAGCTGGCGTCCCGCCGTGGCCCTCAGAGTTACGAGGAGGGCACTCGGCTGTGGATGGTGTCGACTGTCCAGAAGAGGGGCATGGCGCTGGCCGAGGTGTATCTCGTGCAGCCGACTGAGGGAGGGACGGTGGTGTACCTGAGGGCGGTGGAGGCGGTCAACGGGGTGCGGGAGCCGTTCCAGAAGGTCGTCCCGCACAATCAGACCCACACACCACCGCATCAGCAACAGGTACGCACACCCATCAGACACACATCTAGAGGAGAGCTTGGTGTGTGTGTGGTCAGGGCTCTGATGGCGACGGGAGGTTGTTTCGGTGCATCCATCGCGTGGGCGGCGCTGTGAGCTCGGGCGAGACCAACAGAGAAGGGCAGCACTCCAAAGCCGTACGAACACACAGACACAGACAGACACACTGACACACGTGGACCAGGGCTGCGTCTGTCTGTCCAGGTGTGTGTTGGTGATGGCAACAAGCGCGCGCGTGTGGTTGACAGCCCGGCTGGTGCTGGTAGTGGTGGTGCTAGTGTTGTAGAGGACGGTGCAGCGGCGGGCGACGGAGAGCAGCAGCAGCGCATAGAAACGGTGAGACCAGCCAGAGGGGATCTGCAGTGAATGACGGACATACAGACACACCCATCCCTGCCTCTGTGTGTGTTGTGCAGATTTGTTCGTTGGTGATGGAGTGTCTGCCCCTTCATGTGCTCGTCCCCCTCTCCCAGCGGCTGGCCAAGAGCACCAGGCAGATGTGGGCAAAGGCGGCCCCCAGCCACACACGACTCTTCATGGACTGCGCCAAGGGCGACGAGCACTGCTGGCGATCGCCGACCGAGGGCCGCACCTTTTGGCAGAAGATCCCTCTCGACCTCGTCAAGCGAATGGCAGCACGGCTCACCGGCCTCACCCATATCACCCTCTGCCACCCTCGCCAGTACCGCCCTGAGCATCACCCCATGTGGTGCGGTGACGTGCTGGTGACCATCATTGAGACCACGGCCGCCCCGCCCGCCCCCACTCAGCCGCCTCCCGACACCGACCATCCCGACACGCAGGGAGATGCCCCCGCCACCCAGAGGCCCTCCGAGGTGCGACCGTCGGCCAGTCGGCTGGAGACCATCGCATTCGAAGAGGTGCGGATGAGTGCGGCGGAGGGCCGTCAGCTGAGGCGGCAGCGTCCCCCTCTCCCTCCTCGCCTCACCGAGCCCCCCACCCTCCCCTCACTCAAGGCCGTCGCAGGAGCCGTCCGCCAGCACGGTGAGCTGGCCAACAGAGGCTGGCGCATGCCGTCACTCGAGACAGTGGAGCAGACAGGGTGGGGGCCGGATGAGTTGGGCAGCTTCATTAGCTCGTCACGGTGTCTGCAGCGCGTGGGCGGCTATCTGGTGGGTGAGCAGTGGGCCAGTCTGTTCGAGCACATCCCCAAGGCTGAAAAGGGGCAGCAGGGGCCGCTGAGTCAGCTGCAGAGTATCGGGCTGATTGAGCATCGGGATGGACAGACACACGAGGAGTACCAGGGGGGAGTTGAGCAGCTCAAGGTAGGCAGCCATCACACACAAGAGAGGCCGCACACGATCCTGTGGATACGCTCGTCACGTCTTTGTGTTTTTTGTCTTGTAGGATGTGCTCACATCTCGTGGCTGCCGCAAGTCGCTCAAAGAGCTCGACGTGCAGATCCCACCGCTCGGCGACCACACGGCCATCGACTCCCTGCTCGCAGTCGACAGCCTCGTCAAGGAATGCTGCACGCCCAACGCGAACATTACTGTGACGTCGACACCAGGGGCCTGGGAGCTGTCCGAGCAGCACCGCTTCGACCTGTCCCTCTTCAATGCCGACAAATTCCCCTCCCACCCATCCCGCTTCTACAAGATGGCCATCCAGACACTGGTCCGGCAGGCGGCACAGATCAGCTACACCATCAGCCAGCATAGCCTCACTCACCCCGTCGACAGCCCCAGCCAGGCGGCCATCGACATCGCCAAGACACTCACATTCGACAACGTGGAGTCGGTGTGTGTCTTCAACGCCCATGGCTTCGTCCCCCCTCCCGGCGCCCCCTCACCTCAGCCCACCATCATCAACCACCTGCAGCAGTTCCCAAGATCCCGACAGCTCTATTATTCCCGAAGCTCGATGGAAATCAACAGTGCTCTTGGCGGTGCTGCGGGTCGGCTTCTGGCCCAGAAGATGCCCAGGGAGGTGGAGCTGGTGGAGTTCAACTCAGCTGTGAGGGCAGAGGACTGCAGGGCCGTGCTGGGGGCGATGGGCGCGGAGAGGGAAGTGGGCACTGTTGATGTGGGCCATCGGGGGCCTTCGGTCAGTCTCACTGGGGGTGCATTGGACGGCTGGGGGTCGGACAGCTTCCCATCGATGGGCCGCATAGACATGGGGTTGTCATGTAGGCAATATTCTGCAACAAACGATACTGGCTGGCTCCTCTTGTGTGTGTGCATTGCTGCTGTGTGTCTGTTGTTCCTTCCTCAGTGCCCGACGAGTTGGAGCCCTCTGGGGCTGTTGAGGCGGCATCTCATCCATTGTGGATGCCGTGCGGGGCCTGGAGTGTTTGACGCTTAATGTGTGGGGCAGCGGAGCCACTCGCGCTGCCATTCAACAGCACCTTCCCACCGGCACAGCGGTCGGCGACAACTTCACCATCGACACACGTGAGAGACGATGGACAGGGAGCATTGAGCTGGCTGCAACGCGTCGCTCTTAGAGGGTAAGGCAGAGCAATGCATCATTGCCTTCACATAATCTGTGTGTGTGCTGATGTGTGTTCCAGGCTGTGTCGAGAGCATACGACATGACACAGCAGCATCCTGCCGTAACACTCACACCCCGTAGACAGAGAGGGAGCGAGGGACGGTGTAATGTGTGTCTGTCGCATGGCCGCTTCGTGGACGGATGGATGGATGGATGGATCGAGGCCTGGTATGCCATTGTCTGCCTGGCGGCTGTGTTTGCCCATGACTGCGGTGGACAGGTGTGCGCCTCACCCATTCCGCCGCCCTTCTGGTCGGCAACTGCTTGAGCAAATTGGAGAGGGACGGAGAGGGAAAAGAGACACTTCGTGCCATCATCGGGGCTGTGAGTGTGTGTTGGTGGTGCTGAAGTGCTGCCTATCGCTGCCATTCTGGTGTGTGTCTGTGTGTGGGTGTCGCTGGGCTGTCTGCCGAGCGCACACCGGAAGACAGCACAGTACGCAGCTTTAAAGCTGGCTGGCGGGATGTCTTAATGTTGCCGCTGTGTGTCGGCTGACGCGGCCCATCCCACACCACACACACACGCACGGGGCACAATACAATCACCAGCCCTCACGTCAGGAGGCAGGTAGGTGTGGTAGACAAAGCACTGTCACATCGCATGTGTCGCCCACCGCTGCCGACAGATCTGGCATTTTTTCCAGAAACCCTGGTCTTTCGTCGAATGCCGAAAGTAAACATTATTGACAGAAAGGAGACGTGATGCGTGTGAAGGAGTCTTCAAGGAGACATGATGCGTGTGACGGTCAGCCTCGTCTTCCCTTCTGCCCGTCCGTACAATACATAAGCAGCGCACAAATGTCCAGCACGCAGGCCTACTAGGGGGCAGACCAGGGCAGCTAGGGAGCAAGCTAGGGAGCAGATCTTTCTATGTATGCTGCCAAATTGCCATTCACCAAACAACGTGTGTCTGCCCATTCACACTGGGTACACCTGCACAGTCCTGCCTGGACCAGTACCGACATACAAAAACACCATGACATGAAGCGCACTCCACCACCCCGCTTACCCCTACGGAAAAAGGAGACATTTGCATGCTTCCTCTCGAGGCACGGCAAACGCTCGAGGCCTCAGTCGGATTGGTTCAATCGTGTGCCCTTGGCGTTAGCAGCAGCGTGGTGCCGTCTGCACTCCGCAGCGTCACTCGCACCTCGTATCGCGGGGCGAACTCTGACGGCACGGCCAGATGGAAGTCCTGCAGCATGTGCGCAAGGAGGAAGACGCCTTCGACGTAGGCAAGCCGCTTGCCGATGCACGTCCTGGATGGACACATAAAGAGTACGTGCGTCGTGTGCGTGTGTCACTCGGTGGATGCTCAATACCTTTGGCCAAAGCCGAAAGGGAAGTAATTGTCCAGGTCGGCCAAATCGGGGCGTTGCATCCTGAGAGGCATTCACACACACACACACGAGCACATTCGTTGATTGCCTTTCCTGCCCTCTCTGTTTGTCGCACGCCACGCACCTTTCTGGTTTGAATTTCTTGGCATCGGGCCCCCACAGCTCCGTGTTCCAGGCCAGCGCCTGCTGGTTGATCAGAATGCGGGACCCTGCAGGGAGACGATACTTGCCGCCCAGCACAACATCCTCAGACGCCTGCAATGCAACGGAAGGAACCCATAGATAGCATTGCACGACTGACTTATGTATGTGCCAAAGCAGCAATTAAAGTGCATGTACCTCTCGCGGGAATATGTTGACGGTGGGGTGCAGACGCAGAGCCTCTTGGAATGTCTGTGTGGGAAGGGGAGAGAGACGGACAGATGAATGGTGTGCGGCTGCTGGCGTATGAGCTCCGGTGCCCCCTACCATGTATGTGTAGGGCAGCTTGTCTTTGACTTCGGTCAGCGATAGCGACTTGAGATCCACGTCCTTGACCTGTACGAGCAGATGCAACACACTCGGTGCAGTGCACCTGCCTCGTGGTCACTCACGTGCGCATCTCTCTCCTGACTGACCTCTTTGTAGACTTTGTCTTGCACATCTGGGTTGGCCGCCAACTCATACAAGGCCCACGACGTCGTCAGGCCAGTCGTCTCATGACCTGAGTGAGCACACCAACAGCCAGTACCACCATCAGGCCTGCCTCTGTTCCTCCCTCCCTCTCAGCGACCGACTCACCGGCAATCATCAAGGTAATGATTTCATCTTTGACCTCTTTCATAGTCATGTGCTGTCCGCCCTCTGCACACACACACACACACACACACACGCATGGATGGATGGATGGATGGGTGTGTGGATGGGTGTGCGCTGCCTGACCTACCCTGTGCGTTCTTGAGAGCGATCAGCATGTTGAAATCCTTGCTTCCGCGCCCCGATGCATCAGATGAGACTGAGTCACCCTTGTGACGATACACCTCGTACACACGCTTGGTTGCCATTGCGTACGCTGAGAGATAGCGGATGTATCTCGGCGGCCAAAACCTGTCGGCACGCAGAGAGAGGGAAGCAGACACACTCGTGGATGTGTGTATAGTGTGATGTGCTCAGTGCGACTCGCACCGTGCGACTGATGGCTCTGCCACCCGCTTCATGACCTCGTCGAGCAAGACGTCAGAGGCCCTACCAAGACAGGCACACAGGGACACATAAAAGCGTAAGTGCACTAGTCAATGATCACTGCTTCCGACCAACTCACCGCTTGAATCCAAGAGCAGAACGCAACTGATGCGCACACGCATACACCCGTGGGCGTGATGCGAGCCACACGCACGCACATCCGTACCTCATTCGGCTTGAGTGCTTGTGGGCTATCCGGCGGCAGCAGCGCGCGCACAGAGTCAGCCTTCTCTAAACCAAAACCGATCGACGTGATGATGTCCAACGTGACCAAGTTCAGGCACTCTTGCACATCAAACTGACACGACACGAAAAAAAAGAAAAACATGTGTGTGCGTCAATGCACGTTCGTCCCATCTCTTCTGGTGCACGTACCGCTTTCGTTTTGACTTTGTCATTGAAGTGCTGGAGGAGAGAATCGTGCAGCAGCGCACTCTTCTCGTAGAGTGTCGGCCCATACGCTGAACAAACGCCGCACACACACAGGCGCGATGCATCACATCTCTCCTCTTCTGGCAACGACAACGCTTACCAGCCAAAAACTTGTCGCTGAAGAGAGGCGCAATGAGCCGCCGATGCGTTTGCCACTGCCCCTTGTCCGCACGGAGGGCCAGCAAGCCTTGCGGGATGATCGAGTGGAAGCCCACCTTTGGCCTGCTGTGGAAAATGTCCTTCTTGGCCTGCACTTCGCTGATAATGGCCGGATCGGACGTGAACAGAATGAACTCTGATGAAATCGACAGGCAACACAGCACAGTGAGCGCAAGGTCAGTCAAGTGGGGCAGGCGGCGTCCTTGGTACCTTGTTTGCTGAAGCCGGGGAGGAACAGAGGCATGCGCACGCCCCATGTGGGACCAAGCTTGTCAGACAGCTCCTGGATGCCCTGCGACTGGTTCGTCGAGCTGCCAAACACCCTGGACAGAGAAACGAACAACCAAGTGAGTCATTTAGTGGTCTCCCCCGAGAGTCCTTCAGAGGATTCCGCGTCACCTGCGTGTGACGGGCAGGCCCGCGAGAAGTGGGTGCTCATTATCGGGTTGCGGCGTGTCCTGCCACAAACACGCACACAGCGCATCGAATGAGCGGTCTGTCCATTCATCAACTGTACACGTACCTTGAAATGCTCCCTTCTGCGCCGGTTCAAGTCCAGCAGATATGCATAGATAGCAGCCACTGAGGCAGTCCCGCACGCTGCAACCAACACCCATGTGGGGATCTTGAGCTCACGAAGCAGTCCGACGAGAGCCGAGGGAGAGAGATCGGCGCTCTTTATCATTGAATGTCGTCCCAGCGAGCAGATTGACAATCACAGATGCTGTTGTGCCCCAGGTTCGTGAGTCTTTCGTTGTCTTTTGCCGTTGATCGCTTCGCAGAGAGTGCTTCTTTTTCGTGTGTTTCAGTGCAGATGCATGGTGCGAGCATCGCAGTACACCATGCGCCGAATCAGCGATGGCGGGGTGTTGTGAGAGGATCGCCCAACTGCGAGCTTAGCAGTATTTTCTTTCCCTCCCCCCTCCTCCCTTGATCATCGCTGCTGCTGGATGACCTCTGTGCTTTGAATCTTGGAATGCTGCGAATTCCTGTCCCCCCCACTCCTTCGGCATCTCTCCCCTCTTCCCCCACCCAACATCATGGCACCACCCAACAACATCATGGGACTTCCGAGTCCCTGCCGGCCGTGCACTCGCCGACCATGAGTCCGAGGAGCCCTCGCATCAGCAGCCTCGTTTCAGTCGTTGCATCAGCGCAGCGAATCGCTGGCGCCTCAAGCCCACAAGCTGATGGACACCGACCGCTGTTGAAACGACAGGGCAGCACAAGGTGCAAGGCAAGCAGTGCGCAGGTAAGAAAGAAAGCTGTCTAGTGGCCGATGAAGACACCTCTGTTGTTCATTTGCTTGTCTGTTTAGAATTTGGCCCTTCAGCACCGAATTCTCGCGCTGACCAAGGACAAGAGCGCGACCCCCTGGGCATCGGATCTGCCAGCTAACATAGCGCATCGAGTGTGCAATGAACACGCCTTCTTGCCGTCATCGTCTTCATCTGGTCCGCACCCAGCCCCCCCTTTCGTTTTGTTTGCCTTGTCACATTTGGTTGTTTGTGCAGCGACAAGTTCGTCGGCAGAGTCTGGTGAAGAGGGACAAGTCAGGAAGATCATCGCTCGGCAAGCGACGGGCGCCTCTGAAAGGCCCGGCAGCTTCACGAAAATCGATGCAACTGTGCTCGAAGAGGCAAAGACTATCCTGAGGTCAAAGGCGCCCGAAGAGAGAAGTCGCGACGACATTGAAGTCTTGTTCATGGTGTATATGGAAAACGACGATCACACGCACGAAGAACGCTGATGCCTTTTTGTTGTCTTAGGTTGTCCGTGGCAACAAGTTCTTTCGTTCCTTGAGCGTGGCCGTCCGTCAGCTAGTGTGTCGTGAGTTGAGGTTTCTCGAAAAGCGAGAACGAGAAGAGCTGTTTCACCAGGGAGATGAAGGAGATGCATTCTATCTCGTTCTAAAAGGTCCGCAACATGCAACGCATTCGTTTCAATGACGTGTCTCTGTCGGTTCAGGCACTGTGAGTGTGTTCGCTGATTTACCAAGGCAGAAGAGGGGAGACGATGAAGCTGTCATGGAGGGAGGAGACGTCCAAGCAGTGCTGCACCCGGCAGCGAAGGAAGGCGAGAAGCATCTGGCTGATCTGAGTGAGGGCGATTCCTTTGGTGAGTGGGCTTTGATTCGGAACGAGAGGCGGGCTGCCACCATTCGGACCCTGTCTCCGTAAGTCAAGGAGCAAAGAGCTCTGGAAAGCGGTCCTTATTGTCTGTCTCTAATAGGTGTGAGTTTTTGTGGGTGTCCAAGGATTTCTACCAGTCTGTGTTGAAGGAGGCTCGGAGCCTGGCCGTCAAAAAGAGCGCTGCACTGGACATCATGAGATCAAGGTCCCCCCAGGACAGGTACGAGACAGAAAGAGAGATGAGGCATCCACACAACTACCCTTGCTTCATATGTCACAGAGCAATGCAGGACCTGAAGCTTCTGTCTGACTTTTTGGAGACAATGTCTCCTTTCAACGCGATCCCCCGATCAACCCTTTTAGAGGTCTCCCAGTTTGTGGGGGTGCGGTCCGTGAGCGAGCATGATGTGATCATAGAAGACGGTGCACAAGCGGACTTCTTCTATCTGCCGCTCAATGGCGTCCTGGGCGCCTATTGCAGCCTGAGCGGTGGCGGAGAGGAGGAAGGCACTGAGGGGGAAGTCAGTCCGGAGAGTATCTCTGGAGCGAGGAAAGGCAGGGACAACGAAGGGGTAAGGCCTGCAGGGACATAATTGTGCACATTTGCGCAGATGTGTGGGCTGTGTGTTATGTAGGATCATGCTGACGCTGCGTCGAGTATCTCTGGTGTATCGGCAGCCAGCGCTGCCGGTCCGATGCCATACACAGAGGAGGGAGAGCCAATTGAAAGCTTCCTAGAGCTTATTACCCTACTCGAGGAGGGTAAGACGCGTTAGACGCACAGACCTTCACCGAATCGCTACCCAAGAATGTCGCCATCAGGCGATGCCTTTGGCGAGTGGGCACTGGCTCGAGACGGCCCAAGGCTGGGATACGTGGTGGCCATTACATCAGCGATCGTGCTGACGGTCGATCGAGTCACCTACATCAGGCATAATGCAAAATGCCAGACACGCACATGCTATTCCTCCTTCTGTTCATAGATATCTGCGTCACCATCGCAGCCGCCGGTGTTTGCTGGAGGCAGCTGGAGCACTACTCAAGAACAGACTACCTGAACAACGAGGACCGCCAGAGATTGAGCTTTTCGACAGCCTCGTAAGAATTTTGCTGTCTCACTCACCTGCGAGAACACTCACTGGCCAGAATCCACCTTTGCTTGCTTTCTTCAGATAGAGACGCGTCGCGTCTTCAATGCGCTGGGGCGCCGCACGAGACGAGAGCTGTGCAAAGTGTTGCGGCTGAGGACCTTCGAGAAGGGAGAGGTTCTATCAGAGGAGGGACAGACGGGTGACACATTCTTCCTGGTCCTCGCGTAAGACGAGAGTGCATCCACACAGATTGATCCTTGTTAAAGCTGCTTCTTTGGTCAGTGGTCGAGCCGGTGTCTTCAAGCGTCGCAACTGGCGGGAGAAGTGGAAGGAGGCCGTACGAAAGATCAGCCGCATCCTCAAGCTGATGCCTCACGCCTTCGATCGCCCTCAACACACTACCGAGAGATCCTCTCAGAGAGCAGATAATGTCATCACACACAGACGAGGGTCTGTCGGTGTCGATGAGAAGAGCATTCGTGACTACAAAGGCTACAGACGTGTCGCTTCTGTCATCGGGATGGAGAAGAAGGAGAAGCAAGAAGGCACAGCGGAGAGGCCAGACGGTGACAGCGAAGAGACAGCGCAGCAAAGATCGAGCAAGCGTGTGTCCATCGAAATGATTGACGACATGAAGCACGTCGAGAGAGGGGAGAAGCGACAGTATGCCGAGAGGAGTCGGACATCTCCATCTATCCATGCTGTGCGCAAGTCATCGACAAGGGGATCTGTCGTTTCTGCGCTATCTGTGCCAGCAAGCGAAGGAACTGTCAGTCGGGTACAAGAAGCAAGGGTAAGCCATATCGCGTCTCCATGTCTCTCTCCTCACGTCAAGTACACGCATTCAGGTCGGTCTCCAAGTGGGCGAATATGAGGAGGGCGAGAGCTTTGGTGAGTGGGGCCTGGTGCAAGAGGAGAAGCGGCAGGTGTCTGTCAAGGCGCTGTCGAGGTGCCGCGTCATGATTCTTAAGCGGCAGGAGTTCCAGAGGATACTGGCGTTTGTCGCGGGGGTGAGGAACAAAGCGCATTGGACCGGCAGCGAGCCAAGCATTTGCTTGTCTCTTTGTCAGACTGTTGAGGGTGTTGCGCAGACGCAAGCCATAGCCATCCTAAAGACCAAACCTGCTATCGAACGGACAAGGTCAGCACGTGAAAGTATCCACACAAGGCTCACTGCCGTGTCTTCTTGCCTTCAGCGCTGACCTGGCGTCTCTGGACGAGCTGATCAACCAAAACGACATGTTCAAGGGCCTTTCGTACAAAGTCCGATTAGACATTTGTCGGGCGCTGGAGCACCGGGCACTGAATGCAAAAGAAATCCTGTTTCACCAGGTCTCGCACGGACATTTTTCCTCTCTTCGTACACCGCGGTGGCCTGCTGTATTTTCCTCGTCAGGGCGATGTCGCTGACTCTTTCTTCATCATTCTCGACGGCACGGTGGGCGTCTACGTCGACACGGGGCTAGAAAAGAAAGACCCAATGCAGGTCGGCATTCCCACACCAGCGCGCCGCGGCAGCAGGCGCCGCTCCACAGGCATTTCCGACCGCCGCAAAACCGACGGCTCGGTGGCTGTCGAAGTGCTGCTGGAGGGAAAGATGTGTGTGGCACACATGGAAAAGGGAGCAGCCGTCGGGGAGTGGGCGCTGCTGGGACAGGACAAGCGGAGGTAGGGTAGATGAGTAAAGGGTACCAGAGGGCAGAAGTCGGATTGCGCTGTGTCTCCTTCCTGCAGGTCAGCGACCATTGTTTGTCACACAGACTGCGAGTTTGCGTCCCTGGGAAAGTCAGCATACAACCGCATTCTCAAGCAGCACAGAGAGGTGAGACGATCGTGACACGCCATTACTGTCCAAGACGACCGGCTCCTCTCGCACTGCAGGAGACATCTCATCGCGAGATGGCCATTACCGTCCTGAAGCAGCGTACGGCTGGCATGCGGACACCAGTGGAGCTGACCAGTCTGCTTGAGCTTATAAAAAACAACGCCTTCTTCCAGAACCTGTCCCCTGCCATGCGGGTACACAATGGTGCCTCAGTGCTCATTGCACTGCCTTTCATGCCTTTGTGCTTTCAGATTGAGGTGTGTCAGCTGATGTCGTACCGCCATCTGCCCAGAGAGACCATCCTCTTTAACCAGGGCGACGAAGCTGACAACTTCTACATGATCCTCAAAGGGCTCGTAGGCGTCTACATCAGGCAGAAGCCGGACCAGCCGTCGAACAACCAAACCGGCCCCCATCCCGGCCCTCCGCCACCTCCGCCGCGTGCAGGCGGGGCCCGCCAGTCGGTCGCGACACCTGCACTGCCTCCCATACCCACCATTCCTCAGCTGAAGGGTCCCCCGTCCAAACCGACATTCATGACACAGCTTGACGGAGGCATGACACACCGAGAAGGGGAGAGCGCTGGGAGTACGGCGCGTCCGCCGGTGAGCGGCATTACCGTCACAGGAGCGGACGGCGCACTTGTGCTCAGGAGCATGGTCGATGGGTAAAGGGGAAGAGAGAGACACGACAGCAACGGTGGCTTTGATTGGCTTTCGCTCTATGCATGCAGGGAAGCTGTCGACAAGATCCAAGCATGTGAAGAGCATATCAAGAAGCTGAGCAATGACGTCAAGACCTTACGGTGAGATGGCACACATAATCAGACATCCACACTTCGTACGCCCTTGTCATACTGCAACAGGCGGGCCTTGGCGGAGCCCCGCTGGTCACTCTTGACGCGGAGTCCCCTTCAGCTGAGCATCGACGATCGCGTTGAGCATTCTTTTCTGTCATCGAAGCTCAAGACAGCGCAGACAGCGCTTGACGCAGCCATCAGCACACTGCACCTGATGAAAGGTCATCAGCTTCAGTCACGTAGAGAATGCAAATCAGCTTCCATATGTCTGCAGGTTCTCGTCATTCTTCGTCAGCGCATTCGTCGGTCGCAGCGTCAAGTCCTGCCTCGAGAGAGCCAACTGCCCACCAACCTGACGCAGCCAACGAGTAAGTACAGGCAAACACACACAAAAAAAGAAACAAGACACCTACTGCAGTCCACCGCCTTTGCAGGAAGGAAGCGGGCGAGGAGGGCCAAGACGCAGACAGCCAAGAAGCTACCCGCGGCTCCTCTAGCAAACCCCAAGCGAAGGGAAAATGGGGGAAAGCAAAGGCTGTCACAAAGAATCGCAACTCCCTCCTCAACATAGCCGCCGGCACGGCCGAGAAGGGCAGGGGACAGCGAAAGGCGGCAGGCAAAAAAGCTGCACGAAAGGGGAATGTGGAGAGCGGTCCTCGGCTGCAGGGATTCAATTGCGTGACAACACTTATGGAGGGGGAGAGCTTTGGCGAGAAGGGGCTGCTGGAGAACGCCAAGCGTGCTGCTACTATCATGTACACAAGTGACAGACAGGGAGGTGAGATGCTTGTGAGCCCTCCGTGCTCTTCCCTGCACCAGGACTCATACGCCATGCGAGTTTCTTGTTGTTGACAAGAACGCTTTTAATCGAATCTTTGCGGTAAGACAGGAGAGACACAGCTCTGTGCACCATTATGTTGGTGCCTGATCACTTTGTCTTGTCTGCAGGCTGACTTGTCGAATCAGCATCAAGAGAAGTGCAGTTTCCTTCGCAAATGGCTGCCTACAGGGCCCACATTGCGTCTCGACCTTATCAGCAAGTTCTCCTACTACTTCAAACAAGTACGAGAACGCCAGGCCTCATCATTGTGAGTCTAAATGCCCCTCTTTCGCATGCAGGAGACATTCCATCATGGCAGAGTCCTGTTGAAAGAGGGCACTCCCGCGAACCGCCTCTACCTTATACGTGACGGTCAGTGCCGGCTCATGTGCCACGCCAACCAGCCTCCACGTCTGCCCGGTCCCCAAACAACCTTCACGAACCCAGCAAACCTCACCGTGAACAAGCAGGTGCTGCGAAGCAGTGCCAGTCAGGAGAGGGGAATTGTTCGGATGAACACGCTGACCGGTGGGGGAGATTCGGGGCCGCTGCCTGTTGTGACGAGCGAGGCTGAAGGAGGGGAGATCGGGGAGGGTGCAGAAGAGGAGAAGGGCAAGGTCGTGTCAGGAAGCTACGCTGGGGTCAGAGGGACACAGCAGAGAAGGCGCCCTTGGTGCTTTGTAAACATTTGGCCTGTTCTTTGGGGCTCTACATGTGCCTCTCCAGGGAATTACAATGGGTTTGGTCGGGATTGGTCAAGTCTTGGGCCTCTCGGTCCTCACTGGGAAAGCCGAGGTCACATATTTGAAACTTCACCGACTTCATCAACGTACACGTCTTGTCGTATGTGCGTCTGTGCAGCCTTTGTCGGTGATCGTGTCATCCAATCGTCTGGATGTATGGACGGTCACCAAGCTAGATGCCAACACACGGCTGCCGGGGGCTGTGCAGCGAGGTAGCAGCAGGCAACAACGGGATCGACAAGCCGCTCACGTCGTTGTGTCCGTTGTCTCTGACCTTTTTGTGTTTGGCCAAGGCCTGCGCGATTTGTATGCAAAACAGGTCGAATGGCATCATGAGCGGCTGCAACAAATCGAGGTGAACAATCGAAACAACGAAGCAAGAATACGTTCGCGGAGTCTGCTCATGTCTCGCAGGCTGTCCGCAATGACGTCATCATTCGTACCTCTGAGGCATCACACATCGCCAAGGCCGTCCAGACCGGCGATGCGCCGCAGGCAGCACTTGCAGTCATCAACCAGGAGCCGTCTACCGTGCTCAAGGACAGGAAGGGGCTCGTAGCGCCGAAGGCAGCTCCGAGCCTCTCAACGTCTCCTTTCCTGCGGAACAAGCAACGGACTCTCAGATATGCGCCGCAGTTCCAGCTTCTGGCTTCTGTCAACACAAAGTAGGGCAAAGAACACGTGCAGGGGACCTGTCCTCATAACGTTGACTTGTCCTTCAGCTGGATATCGCCTGAAGAAGAGCCTCGCCGTCTGATACACCAGCTTCTTTCATTGCAAGGCCTCGTCATCTCATCGACCGTGCCTGAGCACAAGACATCCCCCACGCAGCCATTACAAGCGCTGCTTCCCATTGAAGACGCCCGGTCTCCAGTGCCAGAGCAGATGAACACCGTAGAGACACCGCGGGTTAAGCGGGAGTCGATCAAGGGATCTGATGTGAATGGCAGCGTCTCGGTCAGAGGTCGGAAGGATGCTAAAAGGGAGGGCGTGAGGATTGCCGATCGTGAGCTCAAAGCGGACCGGCCAGTGAGAATGACAGTGGACGGCGACGTGACTGTTGGCAAGAGGAATACGCGGCTTGATTCAAGGCCTCGGTATGGCGAGAAGAGCGGCAAGAGAGTGAGGCGGGATCTGGGTGAAGGAGGGAACGTATGGCGCCCTTTCACCCCGCCGATTCCTCAACAGAAGCTCTACGTGGGAGGCGACTATTTCTCGCCGACTGAACTCTTCGCACGCTTCAAGAACCTGGCATTCCGAGACTCTTATACCTTCAACAATTACCTTTCCAAGGACACCGCCCTCGAACAGACGACACGAGTGTGTTCTCCAGTCGATGGAATGCCAACGACGACGCAGTCGTGCCCCGTTTCGCCACTTCCATCCGCAAGGAGATCGCGGCGCACGCGCGGATGGGAGAGCGGAAGAGAAAGTTCTGAAGAAGGCGCCACGTCCGACACCAGCACCGAAGGCAGCAAGAGAGAGTGGGGGAAGCCGCTTTTCGAGTGTCCGCTCCTCAAGAATCCCACGGGCCTGCGTCGCGTGCTGGAGAGCCAGAAGCAGCTGCGGCAGGGATGGAAGGACCTTCCGTTCGATGAAGAGGCAAAAGCTGGCAGCAAAGGCAAGAGGGGCCCTCAGCCGAAGAGGCTTCCTGCGCACACCGTATATGGGCGTCTGCTGCAACAACAGTCTACCGGCGCTCCCACTGAGCTGCCAAAAGCCGGCGAGTCTGTGGAGATGGGCGAGAGACCAGCAAGCCTGTCCGAGCAGCTGCAGCCTCATCCTGAGATGATCCTTCGCGTGATCCGTACCGGCAAGAGAGGCGGGGGATGGGGCGGTACAAGGAAGAATAGAATGGGTCGGGCGCTGTTCGATCTGGCCTACTACTTTGGGGCTGAGACCGAGTTGGAGGGATTCGAGCGTATGAAGACTGACGAGCTCCAGGACATCATCGAATTGCAAGACCTCAATCGCGCTCTGGGAACAACCGATGAGGTCCCTCACACGAGCAGCATAGAGGAGCCAGTGCCCGAAGCACCTGTCCCTGTCACTCTTTCGGCTGTGCATGACCTCCCTGCGGCGGCCGCTCCGACACACGCTGCCGAGGAAGGAGACACGGGGCGCGCGTCTATCTCGTCGATTGGTCCCATCCCCCAAGGCGCCTCATTGGGCCTTCGCTTAAGCGTCTTCTCTGACTCGCAGCCGCACCATGACATATTGGCGTCATTGACCGAAGGCGAGGGCCAGATTGATGATGAAGGAGACATGGGTGAGGGAGAGGAAAAACGGCGGGGCTCAACGCTATCGGTCCACACTCTTGAGGGCAGCTCGCTGGCCGAATCTGTCGTCACCAGTCGGAGGGGCAGCGGATGGAAAGAGGGCAAGGGTGTCCTCGACCCCACACGTGGTGCCCTTCAAATGGCCATGAATGAATTGGTCACTGGGGGTAGCGGCAAGGGAGGGGCCGGGGCCGACTCGCGAAGAAGCAGCGTGCGCCGACGGAGCAGCACGTTGTCTCAACACGAGGAGCAGCACGATATCTATGACGATGGCCCAAGGGACGCAGCAGCCTCTCTTGTGACAACAGAACAGACCAATCCGCCGGTGGCCGAAGGGCAAGACACGGTGGATAGCGGGAAGAAACCAGTCATTGGCTTTGTCTCTGTGTCTCAGGTCGCGCCCCCGGTTCCCGGCACTCTTCGCAAGACGACGTCCTCATCACGACCGAGCGCAATTGAATTTGTCAATGTAAGTCAGTCGAATACACGAGACATGCTTATCGCATTCATGACTGGCGGCTGCCCTGTGTGCACAGAGCCTGGCACATATGCTGTCTCCGTCCGCCCCGGAGGCTCCGGAAGTGAAACGACTTCCGCGAGACGTCATGGGGCGGAAGCGCCTGAGCCAAGTGGGGCGTCCGCGCAAAGGCCTCACTCCTTCCTCTGTCCCCCCTGACCGCCATTCGTTGGTCAGTGAGCAGGTTATGCTGGGCTTACGAGGGAGCCGAGGGACACACGTGGGGAAGCGGATGAGTCAGTGACAACCATTGCGAAATGTAGTATACTGTCTGCGAAATGAACATCGATCGTGTAGCATTCATTGGTGTGTACAGTCACTTTGTATGTTGTACAGCTGATGCGTGCTCCGTCTCGCGGTTTCTGACTCGGAGTTTCTGAATGATTTGTATGAACATGCCAGTCCCTTTTCCAATTTGTTCCTGCTCACAGTATCAGGAGTCTCAGCCCTACACCAAACAAAGGACCGCATAAACGAAGCTGCCTCAAGCGCAACGAGCGCCGGTCTGGGTCGTCACACAAGCCCGGCTGCCCAGCACGAAGGCCATCTTGTCCCACTTCCCTGCCAAAAGAACATGTCCCCGCAGGCCTTTTTCGTCAGTTCGCAGACACGGAAGGGGGACTTTTCTTTGTGGGGACATGATTAAGCATGGCGTGAGTGAAGGGCTGCCGCAAGGGTCAGAAGAAAGGGCGTCAGATAACTCATCAAGATGAGTGGGACAGTTGATCGTTTGAATACGGGCTTTGTTGAAAGACTTCATTCACATACATACGGTTGGAGTCACTGCACCATCTAGATAGAGCGACGGGGTGAGTCATGGCGTGCACGGCTTCACACACGCACAACGAAGAAACAAATGAATGTATCATCTGATGTATACGACTGCCCTGACTGCACCATACAGACAGACAGCTCTCCCCTCCCCTCCCCTCCCCTGATCCATTCGTCAAACAACGGACAGCCTCGATTGACAGCTTGAGGCAAATCGATCACAAACTGCCGGCATATTCTACACTCGCATGCACACCCAACACCCTCTCTCTTCTCATAGACCATTTGTTCGTCAGTTGCACGAGCGGCAGCAGGGACGGGCAGGCACAAATCAAGCCGAACGGAAACACCTCAATCAGCCAACTCCACACCACCTGAACGAAGCAGAGACCAGAGCAGACAGACATTCCATATTCCGTCATCTGCCTCGTGCGTGCGTCAATCGGCTTGTTTATTCATATACCAGACGAGTGACATGAGTGTGTATCCGGCGAGCCATCCGTGCCAGTCGGCGCCAAACCAGTGGGGGTTGTTGTGCTCCCCGTGGTCAAAGGGCGACTTGAACTTCTCAACCGGCACGGGGCTGCCGGCCATACTCGCAGGCTCATACGCCGTCGTGTCAACCGACAGACACTGATCGACAGGCAAGGGCGATGTGCTTCTGATGTGTGTGTGAGCGGCTTAGTTTAGGTGGTTTTTTACATACCCGGAGTATGTTTGGTTCGGTGTTGAGCATCATGTCTTTGGTGACAACTGGCTTGGTGGGGATCCACTGGAGCTCGGGGTCGTCCTTGTACTTGAACTCCCACGCATCCTCCAAATACAGCTTGATGTCCTTGGTCAGTTGCTGACATACACACACACACACACACACACACATAAACACGTGGCACGTTGCGCTAAGTGATTGGCGGACTGACCTCTCTGTCGTATTTGGTGATGGCGTATTCGTAGTAGCCGTTGAGCTTCTTGGCGCACGTCGGCATGATGTCCAGCATTGCCGGGGAGTCACTGGACACACACAGACACAGACACAAGGGACAGCTGCATGTGAATGAAGCTAGGCCTTGTAAGCCATGTTTGTGAATGAGGTGTGTGGGGATGGTTGGCCCGACCTGCCCACAAGGTGGGTGATGGTCATGCTCTTGCGAATCTTGCGAAGGAGCTTGTACATGGTGTCTGACCACACAGGCACACCCATGCAGATACCACAGACATCTCTCGCCAAGCCGCGTGCATGCGTGTGCCGCCTCTCCCTCCCTCCCTCCCTCCCTCTCTCCCTCTCTCCCTCCTTACCTGGTCTCTGGTATCTGAAGATATTGTCTTCACACACGATGACCGACTTGACGCCCGACACACGGCTGGCATCCTCAGCCACCGTTCTCGCCATCCCAGGCTGAGCCGCCACCAACACGTGGGTCTGAACGAACCAGCGCACAGACCAATAATTACGTGCGTGTGCCCCTTCCCTCCCTCCCTCCCTCCCTCCCTCTGTGTGTGGCTGGCTTCTCGGCTTACATCTCCCTCTTTCATTTCGAGTGCGGCCCTGATGGCGCTGAGGGTCGAGGGCACCAGCTTCTTCGTGTCATGCTCAGCAACCACTACCGTACTGAAAAATCGATGCCCGGCCGCTGTTTGTTGAGGCGGCCACAGCACCGCGCCACGGCCGGCGTGCTGAACAGCACACGCCTGAGCGGACAGACAGACAGACAAGTGGAAACGAAGCCTGATCTGCATCTGCCTCCCCGCCCCTCGTGCGCTGCCTTCGCTTCTGTGTGTTTTGCTTACCCTTCTGGCCGCAGCCAGGCGCATCAGCATGGCGGAAGACGCAGGCGGCCGCACGCTGACAATTCACTTCAGTCGACGCCAATCTTCCCCCGTAAAACCATTTGCGAGCTGAGGGGAAGTGGAGGAGGAGAAGGAAAGCAGGTATCGGCGGGCGCGATGACGCTCGCCCGGTGTGTGGCGCGGCGTGGGTCGCCGTTGCTGCTCAGTCCACGGTACGGCTGCAACATGCCGGTGACGTCCCACAGGTTCACCCAGAAGTCAACGCAGTGCTGGCCGGGGCAGGTGCGAGATAGTCTGCGGCCCTGGAAGGGACTCGATATGGACAAACTCGTCATGTCATGCCCCTTCTTCTCGGAGTGAGTCAGCACAGACAGACAGACCACAACACGCCACGCAGATCAGGCAGCGACAGGCAAGGAGGCGCTGCAGGGCGGCGTCAGGCAGGCCGGCAGGGAGGCCCCACGTGAAGGGCACAGCGACGCAGAGAGGGCGGAGCTGCTGCGTGTCTCGTGATCTCTGGTCACCTGTCCGTGCTTGTGTCTGTGTCTGTGTCTGTGTGATCAATTTCTCAGTCCGTACAAGCCTCATGAGCCGATGCACACCGGGTGTGAGCACCACGGGGCCAACCTCAACTATGGTGGATGGCTCAACTCCATGACGGAAGGTAAGGTACCTGAAGGAGGGGAGTCGAAAAGACAGAGATCCCAACTGCTTGTCGTGTGTGTCGACAGATGAGTTGACGACGTATTTCGACCTGTCGTTTTGGTGGCAGAAGTATGACTGGAAGATTATCATGACGGCCGTCTTCGCCTACTCGCGCTCCATGTACTGGACGGGCTCCTGGGTCTTTTACGTAAGTATACAGCACACTTGCCAGCCAGACAAACGGGCAGGCAGGCAGGCAGGCAGAGAGGTGCACGCCCGGCCGATCGATCGTGCCGACAAACGCCCCTGTGTTGTGTGTTGTGTGTGCGGTATGTACTGTGTAGACATTCGGACCCACCATCGTCATCGCGTTCGTGATGCAGGCGCGCGAGCCCAACGACGGGCGCCTCGATGCCGACGAGTATTTCGAGAACTACTGGTGGATCCAGTACGGCCAGAGCTATGGTCAGTGGGCCGATCAACGTATAAGACATCTTAGCTGCATTCCTGGAGGATGTCATGTGTTTCCTTCTTTCTTTGTGTGTGTGTGAATGTCGTGTGTTTCTGTATGTCAGACCACCATCGGTACATGCAGTGGCTCGAGGCTCGCCGTTCGCGCCGCTGGCGAGGGCTCATCTACGAGAATTCACTCGAAATACCCAACGTACGTATCAAAGACAGACACCCATTGAGAGCAGAAACACGCCACGCATTGCATCCTCTCTCACTCTCCCTGTGTGTGTGTGTGTGTGTGTGTGTGTAGGTCAACACGGACCCGCATCTCAGCAAGGTTTGCCCCGACTTCCACAAGCCCAAGGAGCTCACGTTCATCCTGCCAGAGGACCTCCCAGAGGACCTCAGACCAGACCCACCCGTCGGCTCGTGATGATAATACATGGACCCTACCACGAGTGGGGGAAGGCCTGGATGGATGGCTGGATGGCGTGGCTGCCTTGTCTTGTGTGGGGCTCGGCTGTCTGTACGATATCCGTACGAATGTCTCGGCTGTTGACGTCTGGCCGGCTGGATGTGCATGGATGCGTGGGTGCGTTTTTTGGCCTGGAAGGGCGGCTCGCGCAACTGTTTGTTTCACCCAGAGACACCCCGGGGGGAGGGTTTGGTTGTGTTGCTACTCTCTCTCTGACCCCTAGCACACACAGGCGTTTCCTTCCCATCCACCATCGCCTTCGGCCGCACATTCGGTGCCAAGCTGACAAGCTTGTCACTAAAGGTACGTTGTCGGCATGGTGGACGGCGCGGAAATGACAGTCAGTGTGCGGGGGCACAAGAGCGAGATGCATGTGGACCGTACACTTGGTTGTGAGAATGGTGTTGTGCTGATTGCTACATATGGATGGATGGAGCCCTTGTGTCGGTGTGCGTCCGTCGGAGCGCCGGTGATGCAGATGGCCGCGCAGTGACACAGCCGTATCCCGCTGTGTCGCAGCATCGGCCATCTGCTCTACCAGGCCACCGATGGTTGGCGAAGCACTGCTTGTTGTGCTCGGCCTTGTATGAGTGCGTGAGTGAGTACTTACTGTAGTGGCTGGCTGGCTGGCTGGCTGGAATTGAGGGATAGGTAGACGTCATGCATGGAATGAATGCATGCATGGTAAGACAGTGCAATCCCCCTGCATCTGACATGAAGAAAGGCTTTGAAAAATGCACACACACGCCTGTCTTCAAAAAGTACCCATCAATCAATCATTGTCGTCTTCTTCTTGCCCCCCCTCCTGCTCGCCTTCGCCTTCCTCTTCATCGGGCTGTTCTTCTTCCCCTTCCTCTTCTTCTGCCTCCTCTTCCTCTTCCTCATCGCCCTCACCGTAGTCGTATTCTTCTTCCTCTTCCTCTTCCCCCTCATACCCCGCTTCATCGTCTGCCTGCTCCCCCAACAGATCGGCATTTTCCGGCTCCACCTCCGCATGGTCTTCCTCCTCGTCCGATGGCCGGCCGATACGCGTCGGGGATATGTCTGGCGATACGTCAGGGCCTTCGGGCAGCAGCTGTGCAGAGGGGTCAAGTAACCTGAGGGCGCGACGCAAGAGAGAGAGGGTGACACGCATGATGCCTCGGTGTGCTGCTGTGGGTGATGGTCACCTTTGTTGTGCCTCGTCCTGCTGTCCTAAGGAAAGGAGCAGTGACTTCCTGTTGCCCATTTTGGGTGTCGTCACACCGATCAGCGGCAGGCTGAGGTAGTCGGGTGTCTCCCCGGACGGCAACGCGTACCGATCTACACAAGGGAATGACACTGTCAGCAGACCGAGAGAGCCACGTCTTCTGGTCTCACCGTCGAGTGGCGCCACGTCAAATTCCGTCAGATATTTGCCACACAGGGCGCGAAGGGCAACTAAGAACGGACAGGCAGAAAGAATGAGAGACAGACGACAGGCAATGTGTGTAGGTCTTTCACCCAGCTTGAGAAGAATTCTTCTCTTCTTCGGGTTCATGAGCACCAGTTCCTGGCGGCGAGCCCGCAGAGCTTTCTGGAGCTGAAATGACAACACAAATCCAATCAGCCATTAACCATCAGGCTGACGCCACATTGTCCTTTCTTACAGGGATGAGGACTCCCTCGAGTGCTGGATGCGGCAAGTAGGACATCTGGCCGACGCACACAGCCCCGCCGCCCAGCTAATTTCGGGTCTTCCTGTGTTTGGCTGGTCGCTCACCGCTTTGACTTCGGCGTAGAGGTCGGTGATGTCCTCGAGCACGTCAACCACGGTCCAGTGGAATGGACTGATTTTACGCACGCACACATGAGTGTATGCTGTCGCCATGTCCAGTCCTTGTTTCTCCTCACTGGTCGTATTTCCTGGTGGCGTTAAGGTGGTACTCGAGGTTCTGCATCATCGCCTGCACCCTGTCGACGGGGATGTAGCGACGGTTGGTCACGCCATACTGCAAAACACACATTCCAAGCCACATCGTTCCTGCATGTCTCCCCTTGTACGTGGGTGTCTGACCTCTTCGAGCATCCTCTTTGCCAGCTGCAGGTCGTGCACAACGTCTTCGTGCTCTGACCAGGCGACAAACACACAGACAGGCGCCTTCCACAGTGAGTGCTGGCTTCATCAGCCCCTTCCATGTCTCACCCATGGCGATCTCGTCCGCATCTTCGAGTGTGACGGGCCAGAGGCCGCGAAGGGCACTGCGGCCCATACAGATCAACAGCACTATCTGCAGGCAGAGACAGACCAGCGCGGATGTGCTGCGTGCCGTTGCCACGAGTGTGTCTGTACAGCTTACCCCAATGAAGATGCCGATGGCCATGTGGATGCTGATCAGGATCAGCGACACTGCCAGACGCGCAGATAGCATTCATGTGCGGTTTTGGGATGGATGGAATGCTTGTTACGTGTTGCGTCGACGAGGAAGACGGAGTTGTATCCCTCGACAGTTTTGATGGCGGCGATGAGGGAGTAGGCGCACATGTTCCAGAAGAAGGCCTGCTGCAGCAACCAAGTGCTGTAACACCTGCATCCAGACACACACACGGGAGCAAAAATGAACAAACACCGCAGAATTGCGTGGTGGTCATTATTCATTTCAGATTCCGTCACCTGTAGAGCTTGCGCACCCATGTGAGTATCGTGACGAACAACAGGGCAACGCACACGATCATCGCCTGTGTCATGTTCCGCTCGCTCTGCGGGATGAAAGACAGCGTCGGAAAACACGAGTACACGAGCACCATGATGAACTTGACGGCAAACAAAATCGGGCGGTGGTACACCCTGCACACACACACACACACACACACGGCAAGAAGGCTTCTTTCCGTCTTTGGTCCTTTGTTTGTGTTGCGTGCCTGAGGAGGCTTCGCTTGTATGATGAGAAGAGCCAGATGTGTCCGTGGTCCCAGTGGCTGTTCAGGTCCAACAGATACTCTGTCTCCTTCAAACGAAGATACCTGCACAGACAGACAGCAGCGTCCACGTCTCATCGCCAGCCTGCCGTTCGCCCACCGTTCGTGTGCTTCGTTGTCGTCGGCCACAATCTGTCTGTGAATGAGTTTGAAGACGAGCACGGGCACACATACGGCCATTCCGACGCAGTACACCCCAAGCACCATCCTCAATATGAAATACCACCACGGATCGCACCCGTCCCAATCGTCCTGACACACAGCAGAATCCAGACACCCAGCCAACCATCGTTTGTGTCTCGTGTGGCTGTTGGTGAGCAGGTCGCACACTTGGCAGAAGACGATTGGGAGTGTGCCCATGAGGAACCACGTGTAGGTTATCATGCAGGCAAGCAGCAGCCACCGCTCGCTGCTCGCCTTCATGTCTTCATTCACCGACACGCCCATACACAGGCACCGAGAGAGAAGACCCTGTGTCTGTTTGCTCTCTGTCTGCCTTGCTGTCTTGGTTCCCTCACCAGGTGTGTAAATGCCTCTCTTCACCCTGGACTTGACATACAGGTGGCGCAGCCCGAGCAAAACAAGAGGATATGCAGCCCAAACGAACAGGTACACAACCCTGGACACATGTACACAGAGACACATAAAGATAGGGACACAAACAGACCAACAATGAGGTTTCTCGTGTCTCACCTTTCCCATCTATTCAATGTCAGCTCATTCACTCGGCGGTGACCTATAGACAAAGAGACAAGGACACGTCTGCTGCGAGCAGTAGTTGTGTGATTTGTCTGTCCGGCCAGCCCACCCGGCAGCGGTCTGAACTCCGAGTTGGCAATGTCCATATTGAACCAGACGGAGAACTTGGTGCGGTAGTTCCACTGATAAGGCAGGTAAGGCTGAAACATCACCCAACACAAACCCCATATCTGATATGCACACACAGAGACACACATTCACAAAGAGAGACACAAAGAGACAGACAGACAGACGGACAGACAGACAGAGAGAGACACAGAGACAGAGAGAGAGATAGCCTCAGGTCAGATCCATCGATCGATGGACACCTACCTGAGCAGCATCCCAAATGAGGAGGATCTTCTCGAGCCAGAAGAGGTCCACCGACCGCTTGGCGCTCACGTAACGCCACCCCACATTCGAAGCCCTCCTCACCAACACCATGTCATCCCTGTCGGACGGCCTCGTCAGGCCAAACCCCGCATCCTCCTCCTGTTCCCCCTCCTCTATCCCGGTCAGCGGCTCAATCCGCATTTCCTCCCCCGGCGGCCCCTCCCTCTGTGAGCTCATCCGCCGGCTCAGCCGAGACATCTGGTGGCTCAGTTGGGAAGACAGCCGCGATGCGGCGCTCCCGAGCCGCTCAAACACCTGCTGCGGGTCGACACCCAGGCCGGCATCGAGGTTTGGCGGCAGGCCGCTGGAGCCGCGCCTTGCCGCACCCAGCCACTCCCTCCTCTGCTCCTCCATGGAGGCGGGGGAGGCATCAGCACCGGCACCGGGTGAGGCCTCCCCACCAAAGCTCGACCTGAGCAGCGATGCTGCCTTCTTGAGGGGCGAGAAGCTGCCCTGCTGACTGCTCGGCGACCTGATTTCGGCGACGTTGTGGAAGGGCGCTCCAGACAATTTGGAGCCTCTTGCAGAGCCCGGCACAGAGCCGGCTGCTGTGCCTTCACCAGGCGCCATGACTTCTCCTCTTGATGGAGAGCTGCAAGCTTAGCCCGAGCCAAACCCTGCAACCCAAACCCTGAAGGTGAGGTCATTTGCTGTCTTACCGGTTGGGTATTGTGAAGGGACGGTCCTCCATCATCAACGATGTGGAGTCGCAGCCTTATTCGTCTTGCTGCCCGCAAGCGCAAGTGGCAGTCCGGCCCTCCCGAAGGACAGAAGCAGCCGGTGCCCAAAACCTGGCCTCAGAACTGGCAGCAGCAACAACAGTTCGGGGGAGGACCTCCGCCACCTCCGCCGCCTTTTGGCACTCAGCTGTGGGTTTCAATCGTGAGTCTCTTCGGAGCGGTGAGCGGAGCACAATGGACGAATGGACGGCACACATGCTGTCTGACGCCCGTTTGCTGTCTGGTTATTTGTCAGTACATCGGCATTGCCCTCGTGTTTCGGCTCTTCGGTGGCGCGAGATACAGAGTGGTGAGGAAGCAGCCCACACATGACATGTGCCACAAGCAAGGCAAACAGACGTGGTGTTTTGTTCTCTTGCCAGGTGCACGTAGATGACCAGGGGCGGCGCATTAACCCTCGCACGGGCAAGCCCATGGACGACCAGCAGGGCTACCCAGGCAGCATGCCAGGCAGCATCGTCATCTATCCGGGCGGTGTCCCGCCGCCTCCCCCTTCTCCATCCCAGCAACCTCCCCCTCCCCCCCAGCAGTCGTATAGCGGATCTAGCGACAACTGGCAGCAGCAGCAGCCGTGGCGATAAGGAAAGGGCATGAACTGGGCAGACAGGGAGGGGGCTGGAGGAGGAAAACGTTTCTGTAGTGAGCGGACGCGGCATGTTGCTCTGCGTTGTGATGTGCACATGAGAGTGTTGCTCTCGTCGACACACAGAGAGGCCAGCTGCCTCGCTTGTTCTCTCTTCGTGTCCTTGGGAGGATCACGGCATGTGTACACAACACGTAAGTCGTGTGTCGCAAGGCAAAGCCATTTGTGTGTCCTGAGGAGCATCTGTGTTTTTGACTGAGGGGTGGTCCAGTTGTGTGGTTGGCTGTGTGTGTGTGGACAACACTGCTGACGTGCCTGTATATATGCAGTCGGGTGAAAGCACAAACTGCCCCTAGCGATGGAGCTCTCATCACCACTTCATGATGCTGACATGGATAGACACACACGCACATTCCAGTCAGTCAGGCAGCCACGAAACGACAAAAAGACGCAAAACTGCACGCATACCACTGGCAGAGTCAATTCTCAGGCAGGTCTAGGAAGCTATGAACACGAGGGCACACTGCAGACTAGAGAGGGCTGGCAAGGATGTCTAGACCAGCACCCCCATCCACCCATCATGACCAGAAGGGGTCCACCTCCTCCTCTTCCCACGGCTGCTGGCGATTGCCCCCGCCGTATGTGACGTCCCGGCCGGTCGAATACCCCTCGCGCACATCGCTCCTGAGCACGTGTGCCAATGGCACCGGCTCGCTGCCTTGTTTGCGCCAGTGACCCTCCATATTGTAGTACTCCTGCAGTTCGGCCATCAACACATATAATCGACTCAGACGGATCAGTCCATGAGATTGTGCGTGGGGATAAGTTACCCTACCCTCTTCTTCGGTGTCATTATGTTGACAAGGATGGAGCCGTAGTCCAGCACCAGCCAGCCGCCATCAACACTGCCGTCTCTCCTCTTGGCCTCGATGCCATGCTTCCGGGCCATGGCGTCCTCTATGGCATTGGCAATGGCCTTGTTCTGCGGCACCGAGTGCCCGTGCATCAGCACAATAAAGTCGGTCACATCGCTGCAGTACTTGACGCGCATCGCGGAGATGCCATCCGCCTTGTGCAAGTCACCTGCATGGTCAGCCACATCACACAACAAAGGTGGCAGCAGACCACACACACACATACACCCGCACACGCGCTGGGACAGAGGAGCCAGGCTCTGTTATGTTTGTGCGTTTGGCTGACCAGCTTCTGCAATCGTGTAGATGGTCGGCACCTGCGGGTCGTGGCTGACCGGATCTGCCTCCCTCTCCTCCTCCTTCCTCCTCAGCTCCAGCTGCCTCGTCTCCTCTATCAGCTTTGGCAGCTCACGCCGCACCTTCCGAGGCAGCATCACCAGCGCACCGGAGAACGTCGATGTGTCCACCTTCCGCCGCCGCGAGCGCTTCGTCAAGGCATGCAGAGAAGTCTGAGCTCCTCGCAGGTCTGATGAGGGAGAAAGAACCTGAAAGGCTGCGGAGATCGACATGCACAGCGAGAGGAGGACGGCTGCGAGTGACGTAGAGACCATAATGAACAAGGGACGGCGTGGATCACGTTTGCGAGCTCAGACCGGAGGCGAGCTCAGCGTCTTTTCGGTGCCTCCCAGGGCAGATCTTGCAGATCTTGCTGCCGTCAGTCTGATCCCTGAAGTTCTCTGCAGATTCGAAAGATTTTGGTCACCCGACTGCATTTGCGAGATGGCTGCCGAGTATCTGGAGGCCTTTTCAGAGGCCCATCACGACACGCCCTTCCTCTCGTATTGGAGAATCCAGGAGGTGAGCGTCACGAAAAAAAGCCGCCATCTGCCGTTGCATTTCGTGTTTTCGTGTCTGTTTCTGCTGCAGGACAAGTCTCTTTTGTGCACGTCATACACACGCGGGGCGATATGGCGGCTGGCGCAGCAGGCGGCGCACACGCTGCGGTCCTACGGCATTGCACACGGCGACAGGGTGACCCACTTCATGACGGCAAACAGGATGGAAGATGTGGTCTTTCGAGTCGCCGCGGTGCTCACGGGCATGGTGCCCGTCACTGTCAACTGGCAGGCCGACAGGTGGGCAGAGCTGAGAGAGCGGGACATGGAGAGCACCGTGCTGTGTCTGTGCCTGCGTCTTTGGTCAGTTTGGATCGTGTCAAGTACAAGATATCATCGACGGGCAGCAAGGTGGTGCTGGTGGATGAGGGCGTCGCGGAGGCAGACGTGGCTGCCCTGCAGCAGATGGACGGTGTCAAAGTAAACAACGACACACATCACTCCTTTCTTGGCCCACAGGAGCCCGACTGCCTGTGTGTCTGTTTCGCTCAGGTACATCGTTTGTCTGGGTTGAATGGCTTGGAAAAGGATCAGAATGGTGATGTGACGAACGGCGTCAACGGCCCCACCGTCACGGGGGCTGATGACAGGATGGTAGGTCAGATGGGAAGCCCGAAGCGGGTACACAGCTGGATTGACTGAATGCGGTTGCTGCAGATCATCTTCACTTCTGGCACCACAGGGAACCCCAAGGGCGCCAGACTCACTTATCAGTATGCGACGCGATGCGAGAAGAGAACAACACACGGACACGGACAGATGCTCTTGTTCTCTGTCCATCCAGCAACTACGAGGTGAATCGCAAGACGTTTGAGAGCTTCTTGGAGGTGTCGCCGAGCACCCTGCTGACAGTGGTGCTGGTGAACCCCTTCCACCACACCAACTCCACTGCTGTGGGCGACTGGGCGATACGCAGACCAAACACACTGCTGCACGTTGTTGAAAGGTGCAAAGAGAGGGCAGGCACAAGGGCGATGAGATGTCTGTCTGGTTGATGTGAGATCCGGTGTCCATGTGTGTGTGTGTGTGTGTGCGTTGGCAAAGGTACACCACCCCTTATTGGAAGGTGCTCAGCGATGCGGCCGAATCAGCGCGGTTGAAGGAAACAGGGAATGACTGGAAGGTATGTGTCAGCGATCCGCTGCGCAACACATGGATCCATCCTCACTTGTCTGTGTCCGCTGCCTGTCGTCAGGTGGTGGCTCCCATGGTGTCCCGTCACATCGATTTTCTAGATGGCATGTTCGAAGGAGACGCACAGGCTCTCCCAGTGAGCCAAGAGAAGCTGCGCGAGACCCTCAGCCACAGACAGGTCATCTTTTTGCTTGGATCAGCGCCTGTCGGGCCAACCACAGGTGCCCTACTTGACGACAGAGCCGATGCAGGCACCACTCATCACACCGTCTCTCTCTGTGTCTGTGTCTGTGTGTGTCATTTAGTGGGTCGGCTGCAGCGTCATCTGCAAGGGAAGCTACCGACGGTCCGTTTCGGGTCGACCGAGACGTGCCTGCAGGTGATGGGCACCCCCCTCTCCCTCACACCAGAGGGCCTCGTGGCGGCCTTCCGTCGAGGCTGGGAGCACACGACCCCTTCGGGCGAGCCACACAAGGGCTACTACATCGGCCGCCCCCACCACCCATTCACCGAGGTCATGGTGGTCAAGTCCCTCAAGGACGATCCCCTGGTCGAGAGTGCCGAGGGCGAGACGGGGTGGCTGGTGTGCCGGGGGGGCAACATCATGACCGGCTACGCCAACAGCCCCACCCACCCCTTCACAGCTGACAACTGGTACACCAACCTGGGCGATGTCGGCTTCTGGCTGATGAGCGCTGATGGAGGGGCGAAGGACATCTACTGGCAGAGTCGTGATGCGGCGCTGGTCATTAAGGGCGGGGCCAACTATGCGTGCGAGCAGATCAACGAGGAGATCAAGGCCTTTGTGGTCAAAGAATACGGCCTACCAGAAAAGGCCGTTGCTGTCGCCTCCATTGGTGCGTGGGGGTGGGTGGAGGGAGGGAGAGAGAGGAGGGGAGGTGGGGGACTTGTTTATCTGTGTGTGTGTGTGTGTGTGTCAGGTATGAAGGTGCAGAGTGAGCATGAGGACGACTGCTGTGTGTGCCTGGAGCTGACCACCGACGAGGCCAAGGCACGCCAACAGGACATCCAAGCGACCTTCATCCAGAGAGCAAGTAACCAAGCCATCTCACACACACGCACATCCCATCCGTTCATTTGGGTGGCTATGTATTGTTGTCTCGTCCACACACAGAGGCGTGCAAGATGATCTCCAAGGGCTCCAAGCCCGACCGTCTGCTCATCGACCACATCCCCCGTAACTTCAAGGGCGCTATCAGCCTCCCCGACCTGCAGGCAATTATCACATACAACACACCACAGGACAACACACATTGACGGATGTGTGTGTGTGGTGTGTGTGTGGCTGCATGCAGGACAAATTCAAGGCCGCGCTGGGGTCGTGATGGGTGATGGTGTGAGCCTCATCAATTGGTGTACCCGCTGTGTGAGTGCCTCTTTCGGCGTCACACCGTGTTGGCCGTTGTGTGAGTGGGCAGATTTTGGTCCATTTCAGTGTGCAATGTGTTTATGATGACTGGGCCTTCACTGCAAGGACCATTGACGTGGCTGCACGAGTCCAATTCACCTCGATAACATGCAACAACAGACATGTACAGGAATCCATGAGGCCGTGAAATCCATCATCCATCCAGCCAGCCTGCCAGCATCCATGAATCCAGGCTCACTCCCGAGCCACCACCGAGCGATCAGACAAACCGCCAGCAGGAAGACAAAAAAACACGACGAGCGTGTGACGTGTACACCCACATCTGCTCTGCTCTGCTCCGCTCTCCCATCGCTGTGGTGCACGGCAAGGGCACCAAGCATCGATCCGTCGCAGAGCAGCATCGATGACCGCCACAGCTGCCGATAGCTGCCAGTGCCACAAACAATCGTCTGCAGCTATCGGCAGCAAAGCTACCTGCAGACGCTTTTGCGACTGATGTCTTGAACTGACCACCGGTCCTTGAAAAAATTCGCCCATAGAATAAACGCAAAGGCACAGAAACGTGTCTCTTCCTGACTTCAAACGGCACAGCCCCTCACTTCGACACACGCCATTGCCCGCCTGTCTCATTTGTGGTTGATCGGTATCTCTCTGCCTGTCGCCATGTCACGAATTTTCCTCAGCCTGACCTGCTCCTGACTATACACGATGTACTCATCGCCCGTGGGCATGCCTATCACGTGCACTGAGTCGTAGCCGGACCCTGTGAGGCTGTCAAAGGTGTACTGCCCGGGCCAGAGGGCGGAAACCTGAAGGATGTTGCCCAGGTACACTCGCGCCTCGATCATGCAGCCTCGATGGTGCGCCTTGCCCATGGTGATCTGCTCAGACGCCGCACTGACGAGACACACACACGGTGGCGGAGATGAGACGGAGACAGCCTGGCCGGTCGTCTGCTTACAAGTAGATGCCGCCCCCAACGATGCCTCCTGTTCCCCGCTTCATGTTGCGGCCCGACGCGATGGCCTGACCAGACGGTAGGTCTGTCTGGTGGTAGAGGGTAAAGCTCCCGGGGTGTGTGCACTCGCTGGCCCAGTGGTCGCTGTCCTCGTCGCCGCACAGACGGCAGTAGTGCCGCCTGTGCTTCGTCTTGCAGCCGGGCACGCGACAGCCCCTCGTCTGAGCACAGTGTCACACGCACAATAAAAGAGAGAATCGTCCAGGATGCATCCTGGCGAGCAGTCCGTTATGGGCCCATATACCGTGCGTACCTGCAACATGACTCGCTGCTTCCCGTGAATGCCTTACGAGCCGAGGAATGGCGTTTTCTTGGGCGTCGGTTGGTTGGTTAGTGTGTTTAACGAGACTCGTGTCTGTAACCCCGGAGGGATCCTGTTGTCTCACGCACTAAACTAGCAGCATGTACATGCAAAGCATGCACACGGCCTGTCTACCCCTCCCTGCACTGGCGTCGGATAAGATCTGCAACTTGAAGCTCGCAGATCTGGAGCAGCCCTTTTTTGACACAGCATGAAGGAAGAGAACGATGTCAAAACGCTGTGTTGCTGTTGTGCTGCGCCTTGTTTGCAGACCTTTGGATCCTCAAAGATCTCGGCTGTGTTCGGCTCTTCAGAGGTCGGTCAGCAATGCGCCGCGAGTATCGCTCGATTGTCTCCAAGACGACGCAAAGGCCAGCAGGGAACAAAAAACAGCGACGCTCTCGAGGACAGGACAAGCCGACAGGATGCCACAGGAATTATGGATCACCTGGTTTCACAGATGGGTCTCGACCTACAGGAATACATTAGCAGGTATGCCTGTTGCCTGTCCTGCTGCATTTCCTCAGCTGCTGAGCCGTCTTGGTCCGCTCGCCATCTCCCGCGCTTCATTCTTTGGTCCGCCAAGCGAAGAGAGCGAGAAGAGGCACAGAGGGCCATACTTCCTGATCTGCCCTGCAAAGGACACAGCCATGGTGAGAGCAACCACCCTACCAGCATCCAGCGATTGGACTTGTCCCATCGTGTGTGTGTGTGCAGCATTGGCTTGGTATGACTTGCCGCGTCCCTGGCTGCACGGAGCAGCACACAACGCACTTCTGCAAGTGGTGTAAGGACAAGAACTCCAACCACTTCTCGCGTGACTGCTGGTACGGCCCCGGTGGACACACGTCAGCCACACAGCCGGTGAGTAAGCAAGAACACGAGGGCACTGCTGCCTGGGTGAAATTGGTGTGTCCGGCTGGAGCTGCTGTGCTCGGCTGCGCTGTGTAGGTGCATTCATCGTTTTGGTCGTCTTCGTCATCGTCTCGCCAGTCGCCTGCCCATCACGGCTTACCTGCCAACGTCAAGGCCATCCTCGCCAACTATGCGACGGATTATGGACGCGCAAAGGAGCCCAGGGATGTCACTCGTCTGCTGAGCTCGCTGCAGTCGGCCATGGGCGGGCGGGGGGGCAGCTTGCATGGCGTGGAGAAGGTGATGACCTCTACCTTCATCAACGAGACGCTGCCCGTCCTGTGTGACGTCCTCTCCAAGAGCGACCTCAGCTTCCCCCTGCTGCCCCCGTCCAGCCACTCTTACAGCGGCACGGAGGCACACATGACTGCCCGCCAGTGCTTCGTCCTCATCGGTGCGGACTTCCTCTGTCTGCACAAGCACGGCCACCCGGGCAGCCTCAACTTCGACCGCCTGTTCGACAACAAGACACCCTCTGCCAAGGCCAAGCTGCAGTGCTTCATCCACTACCTGGACACCATGGCGCGGGCGATCAAGCAGGGCAAGACCACCGAGACAGAGCGTGTGGTCATCTTCCGAGCCCTGGACGGCCCCGGGGCGGGACTTGACGAGTGGGCGAGGTCGACAATCCCCCTGATGGACGTGCACTTGATGATTGGGAAGGATGCGTCCATCTTCGACTCGAAGGGCATCAGGGGCGACTTCGCCAATGCCCACATCGGTGGCGGGACGCTGGGAAACGGTAAACAGACACAGACAGGCACAGACACGCACTGATCCATGTGGACCTGTCTCTGCCAAGCTTGCTGCGTCTGTGTGAGTATTTCAGGTGCGGTGCAGGAGGAGATCTTGTTTTCCATCGAGCCGGAGTGCCTCGTCGCCCAGCACCTCTTTCCCAGACCCATGGGATCGACTGAGGCCTTCATGATCGTCGGCTCCAGGACGTTCAGCACGACGACCGGCTACGGCCGCGACACCCTCAGCTTCGCTGGCCATGCCCACGACACCGCCCCCATGAGACATACCAACGGCCATTCCGTCCTGGGCAAGTACATCGTGGCCTTCGATGCCGTCAACTTTGGCAAGCACAGGAAGAACCACCAGTACGACGAGACGTCTGTGGTGCGTGATCTCAACAAGGCACACACGGCGTTCCACAGCAATGGCCTGACGGTCGTCGATGGTATGCCCTTCGCGACGGGTGAGTGGATACCACGCACACACACAGGAATGATGGCTGTTCATGATTCGTCTGCGTCCATTCGTGTGTGTGTGCGTGTGTGTGTATGGCCGTTCAGGCAACTGGGGCTGCGGTGTGTTTGGTGGCGATCCCCAGTGGAAGTTTCTCATCCAGTGGTGCGCTGCCAGTCGGGCGGGTCGACGGCTGCACTACTACACGCGGGGCGAGCAGAGTCTCATAGGCGCCAAGGACTTCATGCACAGCCTGAAGGATGCTGGGTGCTCCACGGTGGGCCATCTGGTGCAGCTGATGTGTGATGGGCGCACACGTGGGGCGATCGGGGGGTGGACTCGCATGTCGGCGTTCGATGCCGTCATGGCGGCTCTCATGGAGCGAAGCCGACCACCCCCACCACCACTGGTAAGCTGCCCCGCACGCCTGTCCGAATCGATCACACTGGATGTGTGTGTGTGTGTGTGTGTGTGTGTCACAGCCTCGCACACCATCCCCTCCACCATCCCTCCAACAGCACTGGCATCTGCCCGCACTGGCCGATTTGACCCGGGAAGCCCGCCAACACGCCAAGGTGAGCCAAGCCGTCAAGTGGAGCTGCAAGACAGCAGATACGTTGCTGCACTTGTGTGTGTGTCTGCAGGAAGTGTCTGCGGCGCCTCAAACGGTGACGAACGAGGCGGCGAGTGGCGACCAAAAAGAAGACAAAAACCCGAGAGAGGTGGGTTGGCTGTGGATATGTACGCGTGAGCGCCGACGGTATGGATCTGTTTCGCTGTCCTGTGCCATGGTTGGCAGGATGCCTGTGCTCCGATGGAGGACACGAGCGACACCAAGTCCAGCATGGAGGGGGACGACGATATGGACATCGACACGGCCAAAGCGGTGGCGGCGGATGAGGAGACCACACCGCTCCTCTCTGCAGCAGAGAAGAGTGGCGACAGCAAGTAACCACCCACAGAGACAGACGCACACACCGCACTAAGAGCAGCGGCCAGATCGTGGCTGTGTGCCTATGGTGGTGGTGTCAGGATCGATCACATCTTCAAGTACGTGCCGACGGCGCACACTCGTCCCTCCAAGGTGGAGCTTAAGGGCTCATTCGACGGCTGGCATGGCGGATATCCGATGTACTGGTCTGCGGGGGAGCACAACTGCTTCGTGCTGCCCTTGTCGCTGCCGCCCGGCAGGTACATGTACAAGTTCATGGTCGACGGCAGGTGGGTGTGCTCCAGCAGGCAGCCAACAGACCAAGATGAAGCTGGCCATACCAACAATGTGGCGAACATCGGATAGACAGACACAGACAGTCATGGGCGGAGGGGCGGGCGGGGTCACATGCAGGGCAATACATGAGACGGGCCTGGCTGGCTGGCTGGTGTAGTGTGGGATCAGCGATAGCTCCGTAGGTATACGAGGGGCGCCCGGGCTCTCATGGGCAGAGCAGCGAGGCTTCTACTCGTCACTTTCTATGAAGACACTTTGGTTAAGTCCGTGTGTGTCGTGTGTGAGGGAGTTGAGCTGACACCTCTCTGCAAGTCGTCGAGGAAGTCAGACTTGCAGACACAGCACTGGATATGCGAGGGCGGGTTGGTTCTGATGGGCAGGGCAGGAGGTAATGCGATTGGGAGTGTGCCGGCATCCTCGTGGACTTTGGTGAGACACTTCGGTTAAGTCGGTGCATTTGGCCAAGGCAGACACAGGGTGCTGCATGGTACATGTCTAAATGGATTGTTTAAACGATGCTGCTGAAAACATAAAATGAAGGCAACGATTGCAGGCAAGTAATGATTTAGATATATCACCGGCCAGCATTGCGTCTCTGAGCTGGTACCCACTGAGATGGCCGTTAAAAGTCCGTCTCTCCCCAACACCCACACCTGATCTCCCTCCCCCAGCCTTAGCGCCATTAATCCATTCATCAATGTGTTGTGCTTTGTGCACCATGGCGGCCACTCCCCACACAGCCCACATGAACACACATTGACGCCATCCATATACGTGTCAGTCAGCCCACGACGCGAGTGTTGCTGTACTGTGCCTTGGCGTACGTGGGACGAGCCGCATCAGCCGCCCCGCCCGTCCAGCCAACATCCATCCATTCATTCAGCCAACAATTGTCGGGGCCAACGCTACGTACGGTGGTGTCTTGATGTGCACTCGACAGACAGCCTGGAAGACACACGCACACACATGGCGTGAGGCCGACGGGTGCACTGCTCTGCCTGCCCCTGCTCACCATCTAAGAGCGACGAACAGCGGTCAGATGAATACTCTGAGCAGTGTCGACCGCTGATAAACCCCAATTATTGTGTGTGTTGATGGTGAAGCTAATGCCGACGTCCCTGCGCAGCTGCCGGATGGCAGCGCAAACGGGCTCGCTGCCACGCACGTCCACCTCTAAACGCTCCAGGCCTCGCACTCGCACGCTATCCACAATGGATGAGATGCCGTCGCGGATGCGCTCGGCAGCACCAGAGGCCTCCAAGTTGTTGGGGACTGAGGAATAAGACAGACACACACGGCAACGATGCACACAAAAGATGAACCAGCCAGATTCCTCCATGCTTACCTGACAACCACATTGCTATGGTGTGGATTGACGGCAAGCCGTCCGATCGCCAGCCGTCAAATGGGCCCCTAGTGAGACTGACCGCATCATCCCCACGGCCGACAAAGACAGTCTGCACCTCCCTCTCTGGTTCCAGCCCCTCCAGCACGCCGATCATGCCCTCCGAGCTCACATCTCGCCCAAACCTCACGAGCCCCACCTTGCTCGGCATCTTCTCTGCCAGCAGCCGGGCCATAACGCCGCCCACAGCACTGGCGACATACAGCTCTCGGGCCCTTGGGAACTGTTGCAGGTGTTCGATGATGGCGGGGTGGGGCGGGGTGAAAGGGTGTCAGGAGGGGGAACGAAGCCATCGGCGTTGAGGATCGCCACGTACCGCGCCCTGCCGAATGTGAGTATCTTGGCGACGTCGATGGCCGCCTGGCTGGGGTCGTCGACGGGGTGGGTGAGGGCATGCTGGCTGATGATGTAGCTGATCTGTGCCGCCTGCCGGACCAGTGTCTGGATGGCCATCTTGAAGAGGGGGGAGGGGCTGGAGGGAAGGTCGTCGCTGTAGAACAACGAGAGATCGAAATTGTCGACATATATGGCCTCGAAGACGACTTCAGCGCCGGGTCGGCAGCACGAGCTGTGCAGCGACTCAAGGGAATGCAAGAGGGGAAGGGCACGACTGTCCACTCTGATAGAGGTGGCCGATTGACGAGGGCTCATCAACACCACCAGCTGAGTCAGCGATTCAAGGCAGCCACGCGATTCGAGCACAGCCTATAGCACACACGAACAGCATAGACGTTTGGTGAGAGATCACATCCAAACTTGGTCTGTCTTGCTTGTCAACCATTACTGATGAATTACCTGCAGTCTGTCGACCTTTGCACGGGCATATTCGAAAACGTTGTGGTTGCCGTGGTAGAAATTGCCGGCCAGCTCGATGGTGCCGATACTTTGCAGGCGTGCAAGTGGCCCTCTCTGCCCAGCAGCTGCCTCAGGCATGCGCTCAAACACACGGACCCACTCCTCGTCCACCAGATCACCGCCGACGTGCTGCAGCGACCGTGACGAGCTGATGAGGCGGCGCAACTCGCCCACATTATGCCACCTCACCTGAAGCTCCACGCGCTCAAGTGTCGGCATCCGCCAGCCTCTGTTGGCCAGGCAACGATGGTTGTCGAGGAGGCCAGTGATGGTAGTGAGCGACGAGAGGCTGGGGGACTCGGTGAGGCGAGGAGGGAGAGGGGGACGCTGCCGCTCCAGCTGCAGCTCCACCGCCGCACCCAGCTGCATCGTTTCGAAGGCGATGATCTCCAGGCGGCTGGCCGACTGTCGCACCTCGGAGGGCCTCTGGGTGGCGGGCTGGCCGGTGTTGGGGAGCGGCTGAGTGGGGGCGGGTGGCGTGGCTGTGGTCTCGATGATGGTCACCAAGACATCAGCACACCACATGGGGTGATGCTCAGGGTGGCAGAGGGTGATATGGGTGAGGCCGGTGAGCCGTGCCGCCATCTGCTTGACGAGGTCGAGAGGGATCTTCTGCCAAAAGGTGCGGCCCTCGGTCGGCGATCGCCAGCAGTGCTCGTCGCCCTTGGTGGCACAGTCGATGAAGAGTCGTGTGTGGCTGGGGGCCGCCTTTGCCCACATCTGCTTGGTGCTCCTGGCCAGCCGCTGGGAGAGGGGGATGAGCACATGAAGGGGAAGGAACTCCATCACCAACGAACAAATCTGCACAACACACACACACAGAGAGGTAGGGAGGCAGGCAGGGATGGGTGAGTCTGTCAGCCATTCTCAGCGTATTCCCTCTGGCCGGTCTCACCGTTTCTATGCGCTGTTGCTGCTCTGCATCGCCGTCCTCCACAGCACCAGCAGCAGCAGCAGCCGGGCTGGCAGCCACACGTGCTCGCTTGTGGCCATCACCAACACACACCTGGTCAGACAGACAGACACAGGCACGAGCTGGTCCATGTATGTGTGTGTGTGTGTGTGTGTGTGTGTATGTGTGCTTACGCTTTTGGAGGGCTGCGCTTCTGTGTTGGTCTCGCCCGAACTCACAGCGCCGCCTGCGCGATGGATGCACCGAAACAACCTCCCGTCGCCATCAGACGCCTGACCACACACACACCAAGCTCTCCCCTCTCGACACGTTGCCGCTGTGCATTTGTACCTGTTGCTGATACGGTGGTGTGTGGGTCTGATTGTGCGGCACGACCTTCTGGAACGGCTCCCTGCCGCCCACTTCTCTCAAGTTCACCACCGTCCCTCCCTCTGTCGGCCTTCTGTCAACCACCTCGGCCAGCGCCATGCCCCTCGTCTCAACGGCCGACACCATCCACAGCCGAGTGCCCTCCTCGTAACTCTGAGGGCCACGGCGGGACACCAGCTGATGAAACGAGCAAGCATTCGGGTGAATCACGTACCCACAACACACAATGACAGAGTGCGCTGTGCCTTGACTGACCGGCATCTGCGGCTGAGACCGAGCAGCAGAAGAAGCCATGGCGCCAATGAATGGCTGGAGTTCGAATCACACCGTCTGTGAATGGCTACACTCGGATGGACGAGTGGGTGGAGAGAGAGCCCTCTCCGACGGCACGGAGTAAGGAATAATCGGGGGTCGGGTTTGTGCAGGGTTTCAAACCCCACGAGAACCCTGGCACACATGGGAATTGCGAATTGAATGAGGATGGATGACGTTGTGTGGCGTCAATTCGAAGAAGAATCCGTCGCCAGGTGAAACATTGACCATTCTCTTTCACGCATGATCCCCCGCCATTCATCCATCTCATGACATGATGTGTGTGCAGATTCTCGTCTCTTCTCAACCTTGCTGTCGTCTCGTGCGAGCGGTCGTCTGCCCTCAGCCTGCAGGTGGGTGCATCACTGCCGGAGCAGCCAAACACACAGATCTCGTCACATCTATTGATCTCTGTTCACACACAGGTTCTTCAGGGGCACTTCGCCCGCCTCAAGTCATCCTTCGACGGTGAAACGGCAAGACTACTGAGCGAAATCTATCCAGGTCAGCAGAAGGAAGCAAACACGCCGTTCAGTCGACTCAACAGCTATGTGGCGTATCTTCCTTCGCAGATGTGCTCACCCTGCGTGAGTCCGAGGGCTGCCTGGACTTTCGTTTCGTGACTGACGCACCGCAGTCATCCTCTGATGCGCCGAGGAAGCTCTCGGTGGCGGAGAAAGTGTCGCTCATCAAGGAGCACCGCGCCAACTTCCATGCCAAGCTGAAGCAGCTCATCGATGCCAGGCGGCAGAGTGGCGAGGGGCCGCCACGGCTCGTCGGTGACCAGCCGACCAAGGCAGAGGAGGAGGCCGATGACGACAACAACAGAGATGAGAGTGCGGCTGCGAGCGCAGCGCCCAGGAGGTCGCGAGGGAAAGCCAAGGCCAAGGCCAAGGGCAAGGCCAAGGCGCGCCGAGGTCGGCTCAAGAAGGCACAGGGGGACGACGGCGACGATGATGTCAGTGAATACGACGACATGGACGTCGATTCTGAGGACAAGAAGCAGCCACGGAAGAAGCGAAAGGCCGCCAAACGTGAGTGCACCACGTGAGAGGCAGACGGAGAGGCAGGCGAGCAGGAAAGCACTCAGTGACGGACATTCTCGCACCACTTCATGGATAAGAGGATGCGTTGCTGCAGCCGTCAGACACAGACACACATGCTCTCACGTTTTATCAGCAGAGAGGCCCGCTTGCAATGATTGATTGCATCAGTGCCCCTCAAAAAGCACCAGAGCACACGCATCACTCCCTCTGTGTGTCTGCGTGTCCCTCCGTCCGTCAGGCTCACGTCGTGTGGACTCATCAGAAGACGAGAGCAATGGGGCAGCAGCCAAGGGGGAGGGAGAGAGGGAGGAGGAGGAGCAGCACGTGTTTGACGAGCCCGAGGTCACGCCGGCCAACTTCCTCCGCTTCATCAAGTCCACCAAGGAATACAAGTCTCAGATCACACACATAGAGGTAGGTGACAGGCGCGCAGAAACCAACACGTAACCAAACTCGCCAATGAAATCTGTGTGTGAGTTCGTTTCAGCATTTTGCCGCCCGCCCGGCGCAGTATGGTGACATGTCGGTGGCCTTCAGCCCCCCCGTGCAGGCTGCCCTGGCGGAGGAGGGCATCGAGAAGCTCTTCTCACACCAGATCGAGGCTGTCCACGCGGTCGGTACACCCACACGAATACCACGCAGAGGCATCGACACTCATAAATGCGGGTATGCACATGCGTGTGTGTGCTTGCGCAGGTGCTGAAGGAGCAGAAGAACCTGATCATCACGACAAGGACGGCCTCCGGCAAGTCGCTCGGGTATATCCTGCCCATCATTGAGCACGCCCGAATCGACCCCACCGCTCGATTCTTTCTCCTCTTTCCTACCAAAGCCCTCGCCCAAGGTACCCAGCACACGACACCACTTTTCGCACGCAAAACATCCTCCACATGTCGTATGTGTCCTCAGACCAGCTGGCGGGTCTCCGTCGGTTCTCGAAGGTGGCGTGCAACGGATTGAAGATAGCGTGTTACGACGGCGACACGCCCCGTCCGGACCGGCCGATCATCCGTGCGGAGGGCAACGTGTTCCTGACCAACCCCGATATGATCCACGCATCTGTGCTGCCGTTGCACAGGAAGGAGGGCTGGGGCAAGGTGCTCCAGAACCTGAAACTCATCGTCCTGGATGAGGCACACACATACAGGTGGGTGGGTGGGTGGTGGGTCACACACAGTGTGGGTGGATGCACCTGTCTGTCTGTCTGTCTTGTCTGTCTGTGTCTGTGTGTGTCAAGGGGTGCGTTCGGCTCTCACGTTGCCCTTGTGGTCCGTCGCCTCCGCCGCGTGTGTGCGCACTACTGTGCCACCCCGCTGTTCGTCCTCTGCTCCGCCACCATCGCCAACCCACTCGAACACACACAAAACCTCACAGGTAAAGCACAGAAATGCGTCGCATCACACATACATCCGCGGACCTCACATATCTCATCCCTTGTCAGGTCTGCCCGAGTCGTCCATCCGCGTGATCGACGAGGACGGTGCGCCAAGGGGTGCCAAGGACTTCGCCTTGTGGAATCCTCCGATCCTCGAGCGGCTAGAGCTGGAAGACAGCAGCAGCGACGAGGACGAGGGCAAACCTCCTGCTGCAGCAGCAGCAGCAGTAGCAACCGGCAAGGAGCAGGAAGAGGACGCCAAGTTCGAGGGCACCTACGACGACTTCCACACCACGCAGCGGACGGCCGGCAAGAAGAGACCCGGCAGAGAGAACAAAGGCCGCGGCGATGAGAGCAGCAGTAGCAGCAGCAGCAGCAGCAGTGGGTATGACAGCGACATTGCCAAGATTGACCAGTTCGCCAACCCCAAGGCCAAGCCCAAGGCCGCCAAGCCGAAGGCGAAGCACAAGGTGGCGGCGAAGGGCAAGGCGCGTGCCAGCAGCCGGGCTGTGGACAAGCAGGAGCAGAGGGGTGTGAAGCGGAGAAGGGGGCGAGGGCTCAATGCACTGCTGGGAGAGAACTACGTTAAGAGCACACCCAGGGGGCCACGGAAGAGGTCGGACATGCACACACACCGCACACAGACAGACAACAGCCAGCCATGTGAGCGTGTGTGTCTGTGTTTGTTCCAGGGAGAGCCCCTACACGGAGGCAGCGGTGTTGTTGGCGTACTTGGTGCAGCACAACATCCGCACCATCGCGTTCGTCAAGGTGCGGACGGTGGCCGACCTCATTCTCAATCGCTGCAGAGAGCGGCTCGAGGAAGAACTCAAAGACAAGGTAACCTGACTCAAAGACACCATCTCAAAGGCCGGACACCTGATTTCAAGATTGTGTACGTATGTGTATCTGTGTGCAGGTGGCGTCGTACAAGGGTGGCTATGTTCCTGCCGAGCGGCGACGGCTCGAGAAGCTCCTTCACGACGGGACACTCAGAGGTGAGAAGCCACACAAGCGCCGACATGTTAGTCTCTTGCCCCGTCCATCATCGTGCCTGCCGTTGTCTTGCTGCGCAGGGGTCGTGACGACGAATGCGTTGGAGTTGGGTGTGGACATCGGCCACCTGGACGCGTCAATTCATGTGGGCTACCCCGGGACGCTCTGCTCACTCTGGCAGCAGGTAGGGACAGTACACACCATCTCACAACAAAGACACGCTCTCCACGGCCGAACATGTCCCGTCTTTTCTTTTCCGTTGTGATCGTCAGGCTGGCCGTGCCGGCCGCACCGGTCGCCCTTCGTTGGCCATACTGATTGCTCTCGACTCGCCGCTGGACCAGCACTTCATGGTGTCGCCTCAGTCATTGTTCGGCCGTCCTCTTGAGAAGGCCATCATCGACCCTACAAACCCCGTACGTAACACAAAACACAGACAGGCAGGCAGACTCGTACTGTGGGTGCTTCCCCCCTGTGTGCCTGCCTGTCTGTGTGCAGGTGCTGTTGGAGGCTCATCTCAACTGCGCTGCGTCGGAGCTGCCCATCCAAGCCTCCACACACGACATGATGCTCCACACAACCAAAACCGAAGAGGACGACAGCAACAACCCACCCGCTGCCGCCGCCACAGACGAGAAGGCGAGCAGTGAGCTGTGGCGCATCTTTGGTCGCCGTGCGGCGCGCCTGACGGGCACAACGTGCTGCAAGACGGCAGGTCTGCTCAAGTTCGAGCCTGAGGGTGGGATGAAGGAGGGCTCGTTGCGGCCTTTCTGGATGCCCACTGAGGACATGACGGCCGACACTGTCGAGACGATCAGCGGCACCGTGCAGTTCATCGGTAAACAAACGTGGCCAGGGAATATTCAATGTGCATGTGTGCGAGTGCAGGTGTTGAGAATCCCTCCCGTGGTGTGAATCTGCGGAGCATCGACAATGAGAAGTTCAGCGTCATAGAAAAGGCCACAGGTGCGCAGACAGGCAGACAGACAGACAGACGGACAGACGGACAGACGGACAGACACAGTGGCGGAGCCAACTTAACACGGCGAGAGGTGCATACTGTGTGTGTGTGCGTGTTGGCTCACTGGTTGTGCAGGTCAGCTGCTGGAGACGTACGAGGCGTGGATTGCCTACTTCAAAGTCTACAAAGGGGCCGTATACATGCACCAGGTGAGTGCGGGTGGATGGATGGATGGATAGACGGATGAGAGAAACGCTTCACCGTCGATCTGTCATCAGGGGCAGACCTACATCGTGATAGAGCTCGATATCTCCCAGAAGATGGCTCTCGTGCAAAAGGGAGAAGGTGCGCGACCACACACACAGAGAGAGAATGCATCGACCACACACATGTGAGCCGTTGTCCCTCCTTTCGTCCATCAGTCGACTTCTACACCGAGACCCGCGACCACACTCTGGTGACTCTGCTGGGCCAGACACACGTCAAGAGCCTCCCTCTGCCCATTCCCATCCCACAGCACCACACCCTGCCCTTCGACTTCACCAGCAGCCCATCAGACACTCACACGGCCGTGCGGCAACGGGTGCTCACACTCAAGAACGGCCTGGTGGCTGAAATATGGACTGGGTGGGTCGGATGATAGACAAACACGCGCCTTGGGTGCGTTGATGGATGGATGGACGTCTGGTTCAGCCCCGTGACGGTTGCGCGTCGTCTGCACGGTTATCGCAAGCGTGACAAGAAGACCTGTGAGGTCAGGGACGTCATCGACTGCACGCTGCCGCCCCTCGAGTTCTCCACCTATGCAGTGTGGCTGCGCATACCCAATGAGGTACGGATATAACACACCATACATTGAATAGAGGCACAGAGAGCAACATGGACTCAATCCTGCCGTCGGTTCGATGGCTGCTGTGCGTGCAAAAGGTTCGCGAGGAGGTGATTGGTGCTCATGGCGGCGAGAAGCACCAGCACCAATACGACCGGGGAGGACTGGTGAGCCGCAACAACAATGCCTGCATGCCCACCTGTCTGATGTGATGGCCCTTCCTGGTGTGTGCGTGCATCAGCATTCCATCGAGCACACCGTGCTGGCCCTAGCGCCTCTCGTCGTCATGTGCGGTAAGCACACAGACACACAGACACACAGACAGACCCCATCCCCATCTCATACTCATCCGAGTGTCGTTCATGTGCTGTCCGTCAGACCCCGGCGACCTGTCATGTCAGCACACCCGGCGCGACTCTGACGCCAACAGGCACCTTCTGCTCATCTACGAGACCAAGCGGGGCGGTCTCGGCCTGGTGCAGCGGGTGGCGGAGCGGCTGGAAGTCCTCCTCTACGCCGCACGACACGTCATCGCCAGCTGCTCCTGTGGGGCAACCACCCTCCCCACCGACCAGCCGTCAGCATCAGTGCCGATGGAGACGTCTGACGGCCCTCAAGTCAAGCAAGAACAGGAGGGGCCGGCCGCCGCACCACCAGCGATGGATGGCCCGGCCATCAAGCACGAGGAGGGAGGGGAGGGGGCGGCACATCCAGGTCCACGTGCGCCATCAGCGGGCGATGTGAAGCCGCCTGTGGGTGGTGGTGGTGGTGGTGGCGGTGGTGGTGGGATCAGGGCGACCAAGAAGAAGCGCAGCAAGGCCGAGAAGGAGCGGGAGCGGCTCAAGAGTGGGTGCCCCAGCTGTATACAGATATCGGGCTGCGGCGAGTACAACCTGGGGCTCAACAAGCTGGCCGCTCTGGACATTCTCGACTTGCTGCTGGACAAGGGAGGGTAGTGGTGACGATGGGAGATGCATGTCGGCATGGGTGTACATGTGCTTGTGACTGAGAGACCTTTATCGAATGGTTGATGCGCCCAATGTCATTGTGAATTGATGAGAGCTAGCTTGCTTCAAAAACTCAATTATCAGTCAGCTACCCATCCCGTCACCATACTCATGCACACACACACACACATACTACCGTTGTCTCGACCAACCGAAGAATCGGTCAATGGTCTCACAAATATGAGCCCTCACCCGTCCATGCGTCCGTCCATTCACTACGAGAAAAACCACCTCGCTCACACTCACTCATGCGCAGATGCGTACGTTACGTACCATCAACAGCAAGCCACACTCCACCATGCGACTCTCGCCTCTCCCCTGCCCAGTGTGTCTTGTCACTCCACCCGGGATTATCGACAGCAAAGGGGGCGGTGGACCCAGACATGACATCACTCGAGAGCCGAGAAAAAGAGCTGTCCGTCCAAGGGGGGCAGGGCGACTGACAAGCCAAGGCAACGATAAATGCCGCGGCTGGCTGTTCCCAAATCCGACGCTGTCATCAGCAAATAGCGTACACGTGTGGTTGCAGAGCGTCCGGCTGATTGCCACAGCGGCCTGGCCAGCTGTCTGTCTGTGGTCTTCCTTCAGACGTTGAAGCTCTGTCCACAGCCACATTCGGACTTCTTGTTAGGGTTGTCGAAGACGAATTCTGAGCCGATGTCGGTCTCCACGAAGTTCATCTGAGTGCCGACGAGGAACATGACAGCCTTGGCGTCCACCACCACCGTCACCCCCTTGTCCTCAACCACCTCGTCGCCCTTCTTGATGTCCTCCTTGTTGGTGTAATTCATCGTGTACGTCAGCCCATTACACCCTCGCCTCCGCAGCCCGATCTTGACCCCGACCACTTCCTCTCCTTTGCTCTTCATCAGCGTCTTGATCCGCTCCGCGGCGGTTTCACTCACAGACATGATCTGCTTGGGCGCCTTCTTCGCCAAAGCCCAGAGGCTGCGACGCATAGCGGTGGGATGCGCTCTGCGACGTCTGATCAGCCGTCGAGGCCGTCGAGTCAGAAAGTCAGCGGCGAGGAGCGTGGAAGCCTTCGATTCACTTCGACAGCCTTTGAGTTGTTGTTCTGGTCAACGCACACGGGAATCCATGCGTTTCTTCAGCTCACGTCGTGTTTGAGCTCGCAGATATAAGCTCGCGCGGTGAGTCTCGACAACAGCCTTTAACTTGGAGCATCTGACGAGTCATTCTGATAGCATACCTGTTGCCATTCGTAGTTGTTTGAGTCCGACAAGATGGACTGTCCCTTCCCTTGAGTGACAATGCCGCAGCAAAAGTACGTCAAGAAGACAACCGTATCACACACCCAGGCGTCGCCGAGTCCGTCGTCGCGCCTCGTCCCCTCCACACCACGGGAGAGACGCCCACCGCACAACGACGGGCCGCCTAGTGACGCGGGAGCCTTTGGGGAGCAGCGGAGAGGAGACGACGGTCGTCGGCTGGCGATGGAGGCAGGCATGCCCGCCACCAATGAAGAAATGGCAAGGTGAGGCCGGGAACCGGGAGGCACATACACGTAGCGACTGACTGACGTGGAAGGAACACAGGGAGTCAAGGGGTGGCTGTTTGGTGTCTGTGTGTGTGGCGTGCAGGTACGTACAGTCGCGGGTGAGGTCTCACGTCGAAGAGTTCGTGCGCACCAACGGCAAGAGGGTGGTTGACTTGAGCTCTGAAGTTGTGAGGACACTCCCACCGGGCACACACGACATCAGCCAGATCATGGTGAGGCGACGGCACGGCCACTGAGAGAGACAAGACGGGGAGGGAAGACTCTCATCTCTGTGTGTGTCATTGTTGTGTCTGCAGAACGATGTGCTACCCGGTATCCTGATTGAGGGGCTCCCGAAGTTCATCATGGTACACAGACGCTCGCGATCACACACAAAGACACACACCTCCTTGCGCCAACATGACACCGATTGATTGCGTGCGTCTTGCGCTTTGTCTACCAGATTGGCTTCACCACGGCCATGCAGCTGACGACCAAGGACTTCTGCCTAGACAGCCGCGTGCAGCAGCTCACCAACGCCTTCAGCAACTTGGGGTTCAATCTCGCAATCAGTCTCGCGCACGCCAACATCACAACCGCATGGATTAAAGACACCTCTGGTACGTACAGGCACACACAACACCACACCCACACACAGCCCAACGGACGCACAGACACTCACTTGTGGTCTGTCCCTGCTGTTTGTGCGTCTGGTCATTCAGAGGCGTTGGCGGCGCGTCATCAGCTGCCGATGGGCGTGTCGGCTCAGCGGCTGGAGGACGCCATCAGAACCGCCGTGGCCGACAACATCCCTGCCGTGATGGACACGTGCTCCAGCATCATGGCGAGCGTCGTGTCGGCCCCGGAATGGACCAATGCGCATCTGCACCGCTCCCTTTTCGCCCGTCACCACCATGACCCCCAGTTAGCGGCCACTCGCAACGGCACACTGGGGAGGGGCGTCCGGCGGCGCGAGGAGCGGTTGATCAACACGGTGGTCAACGGGCACTTCTGCGACCCCTTCGGCGTCGGTTTCACCAACTACAAGCGCATCACCGAGCTGGGGGGGGCCATTCGACCGCCCATGCAGCTCAGCGTCCAGGACAGCCGCATGAAGGGCCTCATCTACTTCAACCGCACAGTCACCGACGCGGCCGTGCAGAGGCCATCAGCTCCCCTCGCCTCCCCCCGCACCACCAAGTGGCAAGGCTGGCACAAGCGAGCAGCACCCGATACAGCACCAGACCAACACGGCGGGCGTGAGGCGGACACCAACCCCCTCCCGGCTGCGTGCGTCGAGGCCGCACTGAGGGAGACCAGGGAGACCACCACGGCAGGGGGACGGCACAGCCGGCCGCCCTTCCACCGGCCGTATCCCTGCCCGCCATGGCAGCGCCGAGACCAGCAGCAGTACGAGAGGAGGGGTTTACTGCCGACCCTGGACACTTCCCTCTTCGAGACTCGTGCGTCAAGATGGTCGACAGCCGTGCCGCCATCGACGGGCCCGCTCCTCCCTCCCCCCGCCCCCTCCTCGTCTCACAAGTGGTCACCATCAACCCGTCTGTACAGCGGCAGCGCCAAGAGCGGCATCCACACCTTCCAGCCGCGTGACGAGGAGTCCCCATCCTCTTCTGGCACCTTCCTGCCCTCGGGCAGGTCGGCATCCTTCCCCTCGAGCGACCAGCCGGTCGCTGCGGCCGAAGAGGACAAGACAGGCATACCTGTGCCGAGGGGTGAGGTGCGGGGAGGTGAGGAGGACAGTAGAGGGGGGCGGGATGGCGAGACTGACCAGCTCATGAAGACACTGGAGAACGTGTACGAGTCGGTGGTCGCCCCCCCGCCCAGCGACCGGCCCTGTTCGCCCATCTCGAGCGACGCCGTACCCCCGCCGCCCCCCGTCGCCCCTCCCCTCTCGTCAGCCCCGACGCGCGACCTGCCCCCTCTTCACCTCAGCCAGTACGCCGCAGCAGAACACCAGTATGGCGAGGCCAGCGAAGACGAGACCCCAATGCCCGCCAATGCGGTCCCGTCAATCGGTTTTGCGCCAGTGGTCCAGCAGACCAGCCCGCTGCCCAGTCCGAGTGGTGGTGCAGAGCCAACGCCTTGTGCAGGACTGCGTGATGGGGTCAAGGTGACTGACGCGCCGGCAGGGACGGACAAGGGTGATGAGGGTGCTGGCGTCGACGCTGGGAAGGGCCGGGGGGAGCGGCGGGATGGGTCAGATGATTCGAGTGTGGCGGGGGCGCCGTCAGTGGATGCGGCCAGGAGCGACAGCACCGTCCTGAAGCACCAGCTCAACCCGTTTGCTAAGGACTTCGTGCCCGGTGGCGCCACAGCAGCACTGGCCATGACTCAGCAGCAGCAGCAGCAGCAGCAGCCACAGCAGCCACAGCAGCCACAGCAGCAGCCACAGCAGCCCGCCCCCACCCTCCCAGCAATCCCTGTCATCAGCGGCCCGGTATCGCCGGCATACAAGATGGGCATGGCCGCATCGTACAAGGGCACCACACCGGCCGAGCTGGCGAAAAGGGCGGATGCCATGGTCAAGGAGGCCATACACAAGGACAGGGAGGAGCGGAAGCTGCTGCTCATGGCGCAGAGCATCAAGCCGCCCTTCACGTCCCTGCGCAGCGCTCTGAGCCAAGAAGGCCGGAGAGAGATCGACCGCCGACCGCTTGTCCGCCCCTTCCAGCAACCAAGCGACGAGACAGCCGAGTGGCCATCTGGTGCTGGTGAGGCGTCGGGCAGCTTCCTGCACCGGCTGATGGGCGAGGCCCCCCGCTTTGACAAGATGCCTGAGGCGTTGCGCGTTATCTGCGAGGTGGAGCGCGAAGGAATGCCGCCATCCCCCCGTCCCGAGTATGACTGGGCGCAACTGAAGGCTGCTGGGGGTGTGCGGCGTCTGGCTGGGGCGGGCATGCCCTGGCGTCCGACATCTGCTGCCACTGCTGCACCACCGGCACCACCCCTGATGAATCCGCCGCTGCCATCGTCTGGGGCGGCTGGAGCTGAGATGCGTGTGTCGTCTGCCCCCATCCCTGCGGCCATGCCCAGCGAGGGTCGAGGACCTCTGCCAATCGTGGCTAACGGCAGCCAAGGGGGCGAGGTCAACGTCAATGAGGACCGTGTGGTGACCGTGATAGTGCCCCAGCCCCTCCTACCGTCTCCCGTTGCTGCGCCTGCATCCGTTGGTGTGCCGATTGCGGCGATCGGTGTGCCACCCGCCATGCCGCCACCAAGCGTGATGACGTCATCGCACGAGGGCCCTGAAAGTCGACGGCCAGACTCGGCTTTCGGCTCCCTGGACTCGCCGGAGTCGCCGGTGGTCGGCCCGCCTGACGTGTTTGGAGGTCCTGTGGTGGCCAACGGGGCTGGTGCTGCTGCTATGGAGATGCCCGAGCGTCCCCCTGTCTTCGCGTCAGCACACCCCCACGCCCACTCCATTCCGCCGCCCCCGCGTGAGCCGCCAACGTACATTGGTCAGCCAGGCGAGGACGACCACGCCCACATGCGCCCACGACTGCCAATGACATCTGTGGGTGCGCCTCCACCCCTGTTCGCCCATCGCCCTGCCATCCCCCCCGCCAGCAGGCCGTCCATCCCTCCTCTGATGATCGACACCGCCTGGAGTCCGACTGCCTTTCCGAGAGGTGGGGGGATGCCCCGCTACGGGCCTGGCAGCAGGGACATGTCGGCGGGCCTGCTGCAGGCGCCACCCAAGCGGGCTGAGGTCATCATGAGCATGATTCCGAGCCAGCCGCCGCCCGCAATTGATGCTGGACGAATGGTGATGATGGAGCAACAGTTCAACCACAGCCAGCAGCAGCAGCACCACCACCACCACAACCACCACCAGCAGCACCAGCACGGGGGCGGAAGACCTGCCGGGGCGGCCACTGCTCGGCACACGGATCGCGGCCCGCCGCCCTACCCCACTGTGTCGTCACAGACGTCGTCAGCCCATCGTCAGGTGCGCCAGACCGACACCCGCCCCCCGGTCACCCGGGAGCCGGCAGAGGAGAGCCAGGCTTCAGGACCAAGTCGCCAGCGGGCCGTTGGCCGAGGGCTGGGCATCTCGCCGCCGCCAGCAAGCATCCCGCCATCTCGACCGCCCATGCGACACGGGTCTGCTGGCACACCCTCACAGAGCCCTTACAACGACAGCTATGGGCCCGAGTCGTCCCCCAGTCCGTCTCCCCTCGCTCAAAGCGCCCCCAGCGGCGCCCTGTCCACACACCGGGCACAGGCGAGGCAGGAAGTGGGCAGCGGGAGTCGCCGCACACCGGGCCAGCAATACGGGCCTGATTTGGGAGCGGAGAGGGGGAGGGAGGGGGAGAGAGACGAGCCCGTGACCCCCAATACCGACAGAGATGCGACTGGGTGGCCCGGCGACCTGGGCCAAGAGTGGTCCCCATACCAGCCCCCACACCAGCACCAGCAGCAGCCCCCGCAGCACCACTACTACCAACCCACACACGGACCACCGCCCCCGTATCGAGGCAGCAGAGGGGGCCGACCTCCCCAAAGGTCATACAGGCGGCGTGTGCAAGAGGGCGGAGACGACAGCCCCCGACAAGCGGACTGGGAGGAGCCCAGCAGCAGCGGCTACGGGCATGTCAAGCGAAGGACGGGGCGGGGCGGCGGGGAGGCGTCGAGTGCGGACCGACCTGACATGGCGAATGGCTCGCACAACCACGCCACCGGGGCGGCCGTGGCGAATGGCCCGCACAACCACGCTACCGGGGCGGCCGTGGACGAGTCGTCCGAGTACTCTGCCGGCGGGCTCAGCCGCAAGAGCACCACCGACCCCCCCTCCCTCCCAGCGCCGGACCCTTCCCTCACCAACCACAGAGGCGGGTCTATGTCGATTTCGTATGGGCGTGGCGGGGTGCCTCCTCCCCCGCCACCCATGCGAGGAGGGAAGCTGCCACCGAAGAACCCGACATTGGCTGACTTCATGCGTGTCGACCGGCGGGGCAACCGACATCGCAAAGAGATGAGGCGCAAGCACAGGGAAGAGGGGCGGGGAGGGGGCGGTGACGACTTCATGACGGACGTCACCAACGGCAATGGGGGCGAAGGTGAGCAGAGACCGACAAGAGAGGCATGGCTGGTCGAGTGATAGATACATGGATGTGTTTTGTGTGGGTGTGGTGTTGTGTTGGTTGCAGAGGTGTGTTATGGGTCGCCTGTGGACGGCTCAGTGGACGTGAAGGGACAGGCTATCGCTGAGGCAGAAGATACCTGACGTACAGGTAAACAGACACACCATGTCCACCACCGCCACCACCGCCACCACCACCACCACCACACCATTGTTTTCCTGCTCACATACAGTCTCTCTCTCTCTCTCTCCTGTGTGTCATCTCAGTAGTGTGTGGAGCTGACCGCTCTCCCATCATCGTTTCTCATTTAAGATCTACCTACCGAGCCACCTACCTAGTACGGTGCCGAGTGGGCATGTGTGTGGCTCCACAGCCACAAAAGCACACCTACATAACTACGTGCATCGATTCACACGTGCATCTACTGGCTGTCTGGCTGTCTGACTGGCTGGATGACGGCTGTCTGCGTGACGAGTCGGGCGCCTGGCGTGCATACAAGCAAGTGGATTATCTTTTTGACTGGCGTGTGTGTCGCGTCTGCACATATACATAGATACATAGCCTTGCGTGCCGTCGGGACATGCCGTCTGTGTGTGAAGGGACGAAGGGAGGGACGGAGGGAGGGAGAGGGGAGAAAGCCAGAGGGCAGGGCAGGGCAGTGCGGGGCGTGCTCGCGACTGTGAGGACAAGATCCGTCGGCTGTTTTCCGTCCGTCTGTGTGCGTATGCGTCTGTCTGGCCGGCAAGCATGCTCGTGCCGTCGCCTGTCTGGCGTTTTGGCCTTCTTTTTGGCACTGTGATGAAGGTGCCTGCCCATGTGTGTCTTGTGTGGATGGATGGATGTCTGGGTGTACTGTGTAGATACGTGTACAAGGGTGGGTGGGTGTGATCGGGCGGGTGGGAGCCAGGAAGGGGGAATCGGTGCAGTGAGAGAGGTCCGTGTGTCCCGCCTTACAGAAGAAAGAGAGACTGAGTGATCGGTCCGGGCAGCGATTTGAGCTGCTCATGATCGGCTGGCCGATTGATACCCACAGAACACCCTGCACCACACAACCATATTCACATCACTTTCCCACACACAGCCATGACCGAATACACACGACACGCCACGCCACACCACACCACAACACCCCACCCCACGCCCCTGACTGACTGACTGACTGACTGACTTGCGTGCATGCAAATCCCGTGGTGTGTATGTCAGTATGTCCGTCCAGCTGTCTGCCTTCCTGTCTGTCTGCCTATGCACATTTTTCCTTTGTGTGCTTGCCTGGCTGGCCGGCCGCCGGGGTACGTATTTCCCCTTCTGCGTGTCGATGGATGGACGGACGGACGGATGGATGGATGGATGGCCATGCGAAATGGATGGTGAATGGATGGACGGCGTGTGTGAGGGGGTGGGATGGATGGGGGTGATCGGACTGCCGTGAGTGCCCGTGTGTGAGAGAATGGGACCGTTCGTGTACATACGCCTGTCTGTCTGTCTGTCTGTCTGAGTGTGTGTATTGACATTCACGAGACTTTCAGAGAGAGCATCAACCGTCTGTCTGGGGTTCTTTTCACTGACACACTTGATTGACCTGAGCCAACCTGACAGACAGACAAGGGGTCTTTTGACGCACTTTTGTGTGAATGCGTTGCGCACGCTGTGTACGCTATGTAGATATGGGGAGGGTAAGTACGCGTGTGTATCCATCCATGTGAATGAGTGTACTCATGGGCTCCGCATCACATACACTTGACCTGCTACCACCGCAGCGACGTGTTTTGTTTTTGGTCGATTGGCATTGGTTCCTCTCTGTAATCTGACGGCCGTCAGGGCCGCCATTCGTCAGGGTCACTCTGACGAAAGGAGGCCGGCCAAGTCAGCAGCTGACGTGAGGATCGGGTCGGATTGGGTGAGCGTTTCTGTTCTTACTCAGCTGTCATATGTACCCGTCTATTTGTCTTCAAGCGCCGTCCGTCGGTCGACACACTTTTTTGCCAATCCCCGTCTTTCTTTGCACGCGCTACGTACGCTTGTGTCAGTTTGTCGTCGAGCGGACGGATTTGGAACGATGCCGATATACACATACGTTCGAGGATGAGGTACACACAAACGGGAGGGAGAGGTTCGATGGATGTCTGCATGCCATGCGTCACCTGCCTGCCTGCACAGTCACCCCGTTTCAAGCACTCACTAACTGGCTGGCTCTCTCGTGCCTCTTTCACGTGTGTGACTCGTGGACACATCCGTGCAGACCGTCATATAAATGGTTGCACAAGAAAAGAACACCAATCAAAGCGGCACTCATACACGACGGCACACAGGTCGGTGACAACTTCACCATCAGCATCACACGCTAGCAACTACATAATTCACTGCCAGCTATCCTCCCATGTGCATGCCACCTCCGCACCGCGACCAACACGACAGAGTGCACCATGGATAAACTCGCAAGCATCCAGAAACACACACGCCGGCTGCCAAATCCGACCTTCGCATGCCACAGCACACGCACTGCACGAAGGCACATAGGTAGGTAGCACTTCGTTGATAAATATGCACAACAGACAACGCAGCATCATGCAAGGGAAGCAAAAAGGTGTCTGCAGCGACGCTTTGTTGTCGCAGCGATGGTACTGCGATGTCTGGCTGTGTGCTCTACAAACAGCCTGGAAGACACACACATCCCAGGCTCACTGCCCTGCTCACTCTCTAACAGCGACGAATTGCAGCGAGCACAATGGTCGATGGTACCTCCCAGATAGTGCCGATAGTGAAATTGTTGCCGATATCCGTGCCGGTGGGAAGCAGCCGCTGAACGGCGGTGCGAGCGGCTTCGGCGCCACGCACAAACATGGTCAGCTCCTCCAGGCCTCCCACCGCACCGACGACAGACTCGATGCCGCCGCAGATGAGCTCGACAGCAGCAGTGGCCTCCAACTCGCGAGGCACTGAATGACAAACACACGGCAACAATGCACACACAAGAAAGCACAGATGACCTGAACCAGCCAGCCAGCCGACGAACACTTCCCCTGCACTGCACTGCGTACCTGCTAAGTCCATGACTATACACTCAATTGAGGGGAAACTATTCGATCGCCAGCCGTCGAATGCACCCTCAGTGAGACTTACCGAAGAACGCCCCCCCATCGCGAAACGGACGGTGCTCACCTGCCTCTCTTCCCCCAGGCCTTCTAACACGCCCCTTCTGTCTTCTGGACTCACACTTCTCGTGAAGCTCACGCTCACCTTCCTGCGCATCTTCTGTGTCAGCAGTCGACCCGCAGCACCGCCAACAGGGCTGCGAATGTGCAGCTCAGTGTCCGTTGGCAACGGCTGCAGGTACTCGATGATGGCGGGGCGGGGTGAGGGCGTGTCGGCAGGGAGGACGAAGCCAGGGGCATTACGGACACACACTTGTTGGTCGTCGAATGCGGTATGCGCGTTGTCGAATTTGAGTGTCTTGGCGATGTCGATGGCCGCTTGGCTGGGGCTGTCGACGGGGTGGGTGAGGTCGTGCTGGCTGATGATGTAGAGCACCTGTCTCGCCTTCCGTGCGACCGCCTGCATGGCCATCATGAAGAGGGGGGAGGGGCTGTGGGGAAAGTCGTCGCTGTAGAAGAGCGACAGGTCGAAACTCTCCACACGTCGGGCCTCGAAGACGACATCGGCGTCGGCTCGGCAGCACGAGCTGTGCAGCGACTCGACGGACTGCAAGACGGGAAGGACACTGCTGTTGATGCGGCAGAAGCTCATCGCCACCACCAGCTGAGTGAGAGATCGCCGGCAGCCACGCGATGTGAGGACATCCTACAGCACACAGGAACAGCACACACACACACACGGTGAGGTCACATGCAAGCTTGAATTCTCTGGCCCGTGCATCTAGTGCTGCTGAGTTACCCGCAGTCTGTCCACCGCTGCACGATTCTCTTCAGGATTGCCGCCCAGCTCGATGGTGCCGATTCTCTGCAGACCCGCAAGTGGCCGCCGCTGGGATGAGGGCGAGGCCAGATGTGTCGCAGATGCATCTCCGTCTTCCGCGGATGCGTCAGATGACCTGAGAAAGGGGCATGAGCGTGAGATGATGGACGTGCAGTGACGAGGACTGTGTTTGCTCACCTGTTTGTTTGCGGAGCGATCTCTATATTCTGTTCACCAGCCATGGCCGTGTCGATGTCCGTATGGTCACCGTCCGACGCCAACGGAACACTAGGGACCCTGACAAGAACATAGGCGATGTATTCACTCGGATGAAGCAATTCGCCACTCTCATCGTCACCTTTGAGTCGCAGGCACTGGCTGCGAGTCGCGGATCGCCGGCAAAGGCTCTGTCTGCGCCGATGGAGCTGCAACTTCCTCATCAGCACGCAGCAAAGAGACCTGAAAGACACCACAGGAGGTACAAGCTCGACTTGATGGCCTGTCAGTTGTCACATACGTGTTGATAGATCCACTTGACGATCTCGGGATGATCGAAGTCATAGCGTCGCCCATCAGCCAGCACGGCGTGCATACACCGACGTATCCGTCGAGCGACCTCTTGCTGCCTCTCGAGTGGCAGCCCGGTAAAAGACGTGCCGACCACCTCGCCCACTCGCCCGGCAATTGTGGTGTCGTCGGAGATCATTGGAGCGATCCGCGATCGATTAAAGCCGCCAAACTGACACAAAAATGCACAGCAGACAGGCACAATCGTGTCGTGTGCTATTACTTCAACGTGCATGTGGCCCACCGCTTCGGCCGGGAACGCGTGTGGCGAGTTGTCCTGGTGTCTGAAGGCCTGATTGACCCAGGCAGCCGCATGGGCGCCGTAGATGGGGCACCGCGGATCGATAGGGACGCCCGGAAAGCTCAGCTCATGGAGCTCGCGGGCCAGTGGGATCATCTGAAGCACCAAATTCACACCAAAGTGCTCAGCGATCTTTGCCCGTGTGTGTCTGCTCACTTTGTCGAATGAGTAGAAGTGATCCACAGTGGGATGGTCGAAGCGCCAGAGGTCACTGAGGAAACGAATGGAGGCGTTGTGGCCAACCTGGGCGGCGTCGGGCAAAAAGGCCGACCAGATGCCGTCCGCCCCGTGCTTGACAGCTTCCAAAGTGCACGCGCCCGTGTCGTTGGCCACTGCGCCAGCGTGGGCGTGGACGAGCAGCTTATAGCGGCCGCGAGGGAAATGTGACCTGAATGGAGACAAACAAGAAGCCTTCAATCCATCAGTCAGTCGTGCTGCCTCGTCTGAGACTTCACCTGAGTAAGGCCGCCACCTCGCCGTATTTCTCGTGCGTCCAGTCGCCCCTGAACTCCTCAAAGCAGATGTGCGTCACGTTGGGGATGTTGGCATGCTTGAGGTAGGCGATAACGGCATCAGTGGCCGGCGTGCCGATGGGCGCATCGCATAGATCCACCAGGTTGACGTAGATGTGGTAGCGGTACTTCCAATCAAGGTTCACACCACAATTTGGAGGTGGCTGCCGCTGCCCGCTGATGGCCTTGAAGTGCTCCAGAATCGACTGGAGGGTCTGCTGCAGGTGGGTCTGGGGGCCGGACGATGCGTCAACAGCGCCGCGCTGATTGCGGGGTGAGAGGTAGACGTCGATGAACACGTTGGGGATGGACGATGCCCGCAGCTTGGCGAGCGCGGACTGGTCACCTGCAGACAGACACCACAAGACGTAATGAGAAGGCTCGATCACCGCAATGCAATGAAATCGTGTGTGCGCACCTGTCGGGAACATGACGACGATCCCATTCAACAGAGGTTCCTCGGCCACCAGCAGCTCGAGGAATTGGTCCTCCACCGGAGAGTAGTCGTCATACCAGGCAAGAGCTGCCACATTCCTCATCCCCAGCTGCCGAATCCGCCTGAAGATCTCCAGCTTGGTCACTGCCGTGTGGCCGAAGGGCGAGTTGGTGACGGGCTCACGGCATGACATGTCCAGAATGTCGCGGGAATTACACCTGCGGAGCGCATCAGCGATGGTCCGGCTGCCTGCTGCTGACGCCATCGCACCGCAGATCACGAAAGATCTCCAACTTCCATCGTCGTCGAATCGACGCTGCGAGCTCGAAGAAAAGCGGCTTCCTGGAATATCCAAGTGATGGGCGGGTAGAATAGCTGGCCAGCTGGCCCCCCTCTGAAGAGGAGAATTGCATTCATAGTGAGATTCATTCATCCGTGATGGCAGAACAAGCAGGTTTCCCTGATGAGCATGAGCATCTGGCGTGCACCATCTGTCATGCTGCCTTCGAGAGCAGTGCAAGGCACGAGCCGCGACAACTCAGATGCGGTAAGGCAAAGAAACATCGTGTGAGTCCAGTCACATGCAACAGCTCTTAATTTGTGTGTGTGTGTGTGTGTATTTCGCTTGTGTGTCCAGGTCACTCGTTCTGCGCAGGGGTGAGAAGCGCCAGAGGCAGCCAGCTGCTGTAATGCTCGCCTTGGTTCGTTCTTTCCTGTCGTGTACTGCATGTGTGCAGTGTGTCATGGATCTGCAGCGGCACGCCAGGAATGGCGCCATCACGTGCCCATACAGATGCCGGTAGGGGTGGAGAAAAGGGCTAAGGGCTGTGATGCTTCTCTCTGTACCCAGGGTGACCACTCCGGCCAATGAGGAGGTGCCCAAGAACTACGCACTGGCAGCAGCAGTCGAAGCCCACGTGCGATCAGGTCACCTGCACACACACGAACCAACGAAGGCAGTCTGTGGATGCACTCTGCGTGTCTGTTGGCATTTGTGCAGTAGCCCAGATGAATGATCAAAGGGGTGGGTATCTATACACACACACCCACACACCCACACACATACAGACACACACGCGCCGCAGAATAGGCGATATGTCATCGTTTGGTTGGTCAGAGCGGGACGACATAGCTCTGCTCCACAAGTGCGCCACAGCTGCCTATTCGCTGACCCTGGCCGACATCGGCAAGGTCGTCGAGGTGTGGGGCCTGCAGGATGACATCGACATGGAGGCGGGACTGTCATCGATGAGACGACAAGTGCACGACTTCATGACGGTAGGTAGGTACCTGGAACAGGGTGATTGACGAGAGGGTCTCTCTATGACTGACTTGTGTCAGTGAGTCACCACGCTCTCTTTTCTTTCATGTCATGTGTGTGGTTGCAGGCGCTGGTGCCCCAGAGCACGCTGACCACGGTGCAGGACATGCTCATCAGATACTGGATGAACGCAGACAACTCTCTTCGATCCCTATATCGGTACGCACAAGCGCAGCCGCCATCCCGGTGCTCTCTGCATCTCGCTCTCTCCTTCATCAGTTCCACACGTGATGGGCCATCGTATGACGATCTGCTGCGCTGCGTTGGCAACACGGAGGAACTGGTGTTCGTCATTCGCGCGAATCAGTACCTCTTCGGCGCATGGATCAGTGCCGGCATCACCCTGCCGGATGAGCCCACTGCTGTCAACACCTACGAGTGTGATGTGAGCCATTTTTCTCTAGCTGGCCACTTTGACACACCGCGAAGGATCGATGTGAACCAGACCAGAACGGGGGTGGATGTGGCTGGCAGACAGGGGGCGGTGTTTGGGGTAGCGAGACTGCAGATTGGCCACTGGGATCTGTGGCTGGGCTGTGGCCCAGCCGCAGATATGCGCAGCTGCAGTCAGTCTATCGACAGTCGGTACGTGCCAGAAGGCTATCGTGGGGCAAGAGACGAACATGATAACGCTGTGTTGGGAGGGCACTTTTCGTTTGTTGCCGACGAGCTGGAGGTGCTCACTTTTTTTTAGCTCTGCTCTCTCGTGTCTTGTATGTATGTACAGCGACGATTGTATGTTTGTGTGTGAGGATGAATGGACGCCCTTGGCATCCGTGTGTCCGATAGACGCACACACGACTGCGTGATTATGCATCCATCCAATCTTGAGGCTGTGCGTGACAATGGCATTGCCCAAGAGGTGGGCAGTCATGTGGCCGTCAAGTCAGTGGATGTCACGCCTTCAGATGCACGTGGGCTCCATCATCGCATTCGTGCATTCTGTCTCTTGGCCCGTGTGTGTGTCGCGTGGGACGGGCCGCATCAGCCGACAACCAAGCTTTGAACCAACCAGATGCCCCCGCTCACTGAGGCAAATCCCTGTCAGTCAGAGCTACCCCGAGATGTACTCACATGGCCGCACACACATGCCTGCCTGTCTGCCTGCCTGCCTGCCTGCCTTGTGACCCGTGTCTACATAAGTACATGTGTCAAGACTCTTCGGCGGCTCTCTTCTTAAACGAATAATTTCCATGGACAATATGTGGATGGTAGCGTGGATTTGGCGGACAACTATTGATTGAACCACACGTGCATCCAAAGAAACATCGAGTCGGTCGGTCTCTCATCACTCTCACTCTGCCTATACACACCTTCCTCTGCCTCCTTTCTCTCTAAAACGACTGCACAGCAATTGCATTCCCCTCTCAGTCGGATTTTCTCACTCACTCACTCACTCGGCCCATCATCAGCGATGGATCAGGCCATCCTGTCTTCCCTCCTCTGCCTGATGTCCTCCCTCCAATTCAGCACCCTCTTGAGCAGCTCGATGCACACACGCTGCTGCGTGTTGTGCAGCATGTGCAGCGCTATGCACCGCACGATCTCGTGGGCCTCCTCCTCAACCCAGCCCCATATCACACCCTGACCGAACGCCGTCAAGATGCGATTGGCGTAGATGCATCTCTCCAGTGTCCGCCCATCGAGCTTGCGCCGCCTCTTTCTCCGCGCAGCACGGCCAGCGGGGAGGGCGGCGTCGCTGCTGGCTGCCCGGGCAGGCGCCAGCTCGATGGGCCCTGGCTCCTGGTGGTGAGGGATGGAGAAGATGATGGACGTGAGCAGTACACGCAGCAGCCGACATGGGGGCGAGTCGATGAAGGCCAGGGGCATCCTCCGATGGTCGTCAGACGAGCGCGCCCATCTCTTTCTCCTCTGCCTTGAGTTGGCCTTGTCATGATTGCCCCGCAGACGTCTCAGCCACCGCACAATGGCCGCACCAAAGCCGCGAGGATCGTCCCCAGACAGCCACATTGCCGCCAGCCTGGGCAGCTGGCGCAGGAGGCCCTCCTGCAGCAGCCATCTGAACTCCAGCTCCTCCAGGATGGGTGCGATGAGCGCCGACTGGATGGGGATCTGAGTGGTGAAGAGCTCGCGGATCTTGACGTGCTGCCAGTTGTGCCACCGAATGCATCGGTTGACCCACCACGGAAGCCGCACAGCCATGCCCCGCTGGGAGAGCTCGAAGTTGAGGTAGGTGCCGCCGATACTCACCAGCTCTTGCAGCAGATAGTAGCGGATAAGACGCCTTCTCGCGTCCCCGGTGAATGAGCGCTGCAGGTGGTGCACAGCTTGCCTGACCTTGGGGCGGTTCAGCCACTGGGGAAGATGAGCTGATGCGCAGCACCGATGCCGAGCGCTGTTGCCCCATAAGGCCGGTCTCCTTCTCTCCAGCAACCGCCTCCGTGACCTCCCGGCAGAGCACAGCGACGCTTCAAGCGTGAAGATGAGGATGCAGGCGGACACCACGAAGCGCATGGAAACGCTGAAGGGCCTCTTCAATGAGTAACACGGCTGGGAGCTGGCAGAGGCAGATCTGCAGAGGTCGGGATGACAATCAAGATGCTTTCTTCTCATTGGATGGTTGAACAAGGAGAATGGGATCCCTGCGGATGTCGTAATGGTGGCAGATCTGGCGCCAGGAATGTGCGAGCCTCGGAAGTCCTCTGCCTGTGGGGCCATCCCGATCATCCAGGATGTATCCCTTTCCGGCGTTTCCTGTTCTCTTTCTGAGCTGCCTGCACCTCATCTCTGCCGGACAAACGTCTTTCTTCAGCCGACGCTGCCGTGGCACATCTACTGCTGCCGCTGCTGCCAAGCCCTGCCGTCCTAGTCAGCGGCCATCGTGCGAGAGCGCAGCTGCGTCGTTGCGGCCTGTCAAGGCATCGCAGTGCAGCGCCAAGCACGACTTGGAGCTTTGCGAGGTGTGCCAGCTGGAGCGGCTCATCTGCCAGCAGCTGGTTGAGGTTCGCGCGCTCAAGAAGTGCCACAAGGAGCCGCCGGCCGGCCTCGCAAAGGCGGAGAAACTGCTCAAGGAGGACCTGAGGGAGATCCGCAAGCACAAGCACAGCCTCGAGCTGCAGCAGTTCGAGCGGCTCATCATGCACTATCTCACCGAGCTGCCCGCCCTCCCTGTCATCCTGGGCGCGGCCATTGCTCAGGAGCTATCGCGGCACGGACATGCCGTACGCATCTTTGGCGCAGCTGGGGGGATCATCGGGTGGTTGCGTGGCCGGCAGAGAGCCCTGATCCACAGTCTGACACCGAAGTCGCCTCACTACTCGATGCTGAGTGGAGTGGTGATCGCGCCGATTGTGGAGGAGATCGAGTGTCGCCTGCTGGTGCAGGAGCTGCTGCTGAGGCGGCTGCCACTGAGCATCATCCGCCGCCACACCAGAAGGAGGAAGGAGCGGCGAGAGGCACTCCAGGCAATGGTGGAGGCGGCAAGACGGCGGCCGCTGCTCAGCCGCCTGTGGAGGCGAGAACCGAGACAAGAACAGCAGCAAGAAGAGGTGGACGAGGCGCAGCAGCTGATCGACTCGCCTGTGATGCGCTTCGTGCGGGTCATGGTCAGCACATTCGTTTGCGCGTGCCTGCACGAGAGCTATGGGATGGAGAGCACGTTCGGCGTGACGGAGGCCGAGTGGCTCGAGCGACTCGAGAAGGAGGAGGAGACGATCGACTACCAGACGTATGTGAACTGCATGGCGGACAATGAGAGTCTGCGGGCCATCGGTCTGTCCATCAGCATGGCCATGCTCATGGAGAAGGTACACACGTGCACACACAAGAGGACCTACACACAGGCTGTCCTTTCATCCATCTGTGTGCATGTGCAGTATCACTCGGGTCTGTTCTGCATGGCGCTTCACGTCCTCAACAATGCCGCCGCTGCCTTCAAGAACACAAAGGCGACCAGCTGACCTGCCGACGATGCTGATGCTGAGAAAGAAGCCGCGAGTTACCGAAGATCCCAGCTGTTTTTGGTGGTGGCTGCTGCCTGTTTGAGATAGAGGGAAGTGTACAGATGGGGTGTGACCTGCTGGCTCTTTCTAGCTCTTTCTTCCTGTGTAAATGTGGTACTCTGTAGCAGCAGTTGTACGTTTCCATCTGCATGACTTTAACGCATGTGAAGTGAACGAACGAGGAGGGCAGCTCACACACACGAACCTGCACGAACCTGCACACACACACACACAATCGACACCCATCTGTACACATCCTCTCTTTCTGTCCCTTTCTGTCTGTGTTGTGTGTGTGTGTGTGTGTGTATTTCAGGCATCCGCCCAGCCCCGGCCTTCGCCGGTTTTATAGACTTAAATAAGGTGTCCCTCCCAGGTCTCGATGGAGACAGGGAGGGCTGCCTATGAGTGTGGGTTCTCCTCTGTGCAAGTGCCCCGTTGGGGGTTGCGCAGGGGGGACAGAGATGACGCCGTCGCGCTCTCTGGGGAGTGGCACTGAAGCATGCTGAACGCACAAGCGGAAGGCATTACGGAAGTGCCATCCCACCCGGTTACATGTGCACATGAATGCAGTGGTAGCTAGGTAGGCCCATATCAGACAGGCGATCCTTATCTCTCTACAACAACAAAAGTCAGTAATGCTGGGCGCCTTCATAATGCCTAGCGAGGCGCACGCTAGGCGTCATGAGGCGCCCAGACGAACTGGCGCCACATCTATTCTTCCTTCCTGTAGGCAGGACAGACAGACAGACAGGCACATAGATTAGCGATTCGAAAAAGATAAAAGGATCCCTTCCCGCACATGTAAGGATGGACACACACCGTGCTCACTGTCGGCCGTCCTTGTGTGTATCCCTCTTTGGTGTGTGTGGGTGCGTGCGTGCAGGGGCTCGATGGAGACAGTGCCGGAGGGGGGGGCACGTGCCTGTCGGCTGGCCCCTTCGGCTTCGAATTTCCTCTCAGCACAAGTAAGCGTCACAGAGTGATGAGACGCACACCGATGCACGCATCCCATCATCGTCCATGCGTGGATTTCTCCGTGTGTTGTCGTGTGTGTCGTGTCGTCAGGTGCCTCGATGAAGGTCGTGCTGGGGGAACCCCTGAGGTCCTTCGACCACCTGTGCAGCATCAACCAGGTCCTTGGACCAACCCGCTTTCCGAGCGGCAACAAACCTGCCCAACATTCGGTGAGTGAGAGGAGGTGGGTGTGCGTGTGTGGGGTGTGTGGTGAGCTGCCCTCCTCGTTCATGATGCGTATGGTGCATGAAGCGTGGCTGCATGACGACAGTGGGCTCAAGCATCTGTGTGGTTGAGTGAATGCATATGGATGAAACAGTCGATCCGACAGGTCCCCCATCATGCATTCAGGCAAACGGGCGCGTCTCACTCGTCGTCTGTCTGTGGGCAGGCCGTGTGTGACGGATATATTCACAACCATTCCGACAGCCTGACTGGTGTGTGTATGGTGTGTGTTTCGTTGGTCGCCTGTCTAGCTCCCGGCCGGCCTGGCGACACAACGAGAGACAAACGGCACACCGAACACCACAACAAGCGACACTGCCGCATAAAGCAGGGTTGAGCCGTGAGGACAGAACGCAACCAGCAACGCCACGACACGTCACGCCGCTCACCGCACGCAGCCACGCCCAGTGTGACCACCCACTCCACAACAAAGAACAGATCAGTGCTCCCAATGTGTGGACACCCAATCCGCATTGCATCTAGTGGGAGCTCCGACACATTGAAAAATGGAAGGCATGGAGCTCTTGTGATAATGGCATGCGCACGACAAATACGAAATAAAGACATCAGCTGAAAAAGAGCCGCAAGCATAGTGCAAAGCCACATGACGACCCATCCGCCACCGAACAATACGGCCAAAAGAAGGGTCATAAAGAGCGTCAGGACAGCGCAGAGAAAGAGCCAGGCGCCGTCACCCGACAGTGAGCACCTCCAGATCGTCGGCTGTGAAGAACTCCCCGTGTGGGGACTCCAGCTGGTCACTGCCGGCAAGCAGCGCATTGTTATCGCCGTCCGCCTTGCCCCGGTACCCATCAGGCATGTCATAGCCCACGATGCGGCCGCAGGAATGATTGCAGCTGCTCACGTCCTGGCCGTCGACACCGAACGTCAGGCCGTCGACCCTCAGCATCGGTGCATTCTGCCCGCCAGCCACCTCCAGCCGCCCGAATTCAGGATCAATGTCGTCCATGAGTGTTGGCGTGTCGAAATGGCCGGCGAGAGAAAACTCCCACATGGCACAGCCGTACTCGTTGACAGCGGCCGGGTTATCGGGCGGCCGGATGGCAGCGCTGGCGAAGACGCCGAACATGTAGATGTCCCTCTTGACGACGAACACCAGCGGCTTCGCATTCCCAACGCACCGCAGAAGATCGGCGTGCGACGGCCCGTCACGCGTGACCCTGCCAAACACATACAGACAGAGAGGTGTCTTCCGATGGGTGTCTGGTGCATGTGTGGCGCACGTCCGTCCGCCCGGTCGTCTGTTTACCGGGAGAGCAGTCGGAGGGGTCTGTGTGTTGGGATCCAGCGGCAGATGAGCAGGCCCTGCAGCCTCGTCAACATGCTGCCCGCAATCAACGACTGCAGTGCGAGAGCAACGCGTCACTGGGCTGCCATGAAGTGGATGACGAAGAGTCGTACCTACCGTCATGAGTGTGTGCAGCTGCCGCCGCATCGATGACAGCCCCGCCTCCGCATCGATCTCTTGGTCCAGGTGGCCCATTTCCACGACCATGGCGACCTCCAACAGACTCAGCGAGCAGGCACCGCTGGCGCATTTGCGCAAAACAGTCACCCGGTGTTGGTCTGCACTCAATCAAACGAGCCAGGGTACATTGATGCATTCACGTGTCCTCGTGGTCCGTCCATGTGTGTGTCTGTGTACCATCCTGCTCCTTGTCCGCCACTGCTTTCAGCAGGGTGTAGTTCTTGACACCGCTCTCTCCTGGATCGACTGGCGTGGTCTCCCTGACAGACAGACAGACAGACAGAGGGAAGGAAGGAAACAGACAGACGAGGGAAGGAAGGAACAGGCAGGTCCAGTACTGGTAGAGCAAGGTGATCCATAAAGGCATTGTCCTCACTCGCATCGGTTTGGGCACTCGATTCTCCCGTTTTCAGCACGCCGCTGCAGCTCTCGGATGCACTACAAACACACACACAGAGCACCAGCAAAAGCAGACGCGTGAAGCAGATGGGCACTTCTGTCTTGTGTCTTACATGCGCACAGAAGGTGTGGCCTGCATGACGGATGGATGGACGGACAAACAGAATAGGCAGAGGATGCGTGAGCGAGTGAGTGAGATCCATCATTCACTGTGCGTGTTCACCGTGCGTACCGCATCTCAACACGCGAGGTTCCCGCAAGCGCAAGTCGTATGGACAGCTCGTATACGGGTTGCTGCACACGGCACATGTGAAAGCGTCCTCATCCATTTGTGCCTTCACTTGGTGTCGGCTTAGCTCGCAGAGGTGTCGACCCGGCTCGCATCTGAAAAACAGGAGAGGTGGTGAGAAATCTGGCATCCAGAGGCACCCTCATTGATTGCAGCACCTGTAGGGTCAGTTTTGAGAAGAAAGGATGAGTCGTTTTGTCGTCACGCCAGTGCTCATAGCCATCTGTCTGTCGGCCTCATCGACAGCGTTGGCCTTCATTGCACCTTCCCAACACAGCCATTATGCCCCTCTGCTGCAGCGGCTGGCGGCGAGAAGGCCACATGAGAAGACGTGTGGGCTGTTGACAAGACGGCTGGCGGCCGGAGGGGACTCGTTGAGTGAGGAGACCATCTCGCTGCTCACTGAGCAGAACAAGCAGCTGTTGAGTCAGCTCGAGGAGGCCAACAGAGTCAGCAACAAACACAGGGCTCAGAGGGATGAGTGGAAGAAGAAATGGGAACACTCTCAGCGGGCCAGAGGAGCTTTTGTCGACTCGTTGGGTCTATCAGACGGGCAATACGGCGCTCTATGCGGCTGGGTCAATGCCACCGAGCTCAAGCTGCTCTACAGGTACAGTACACACATCCTCGAGCCCCGACACACTCTTTTTCCAAAGTTCTTTTGTCCGTCATTATAGCGGATCTCTGGATGGTTGGCAGTACAAGGACGTTCTTCGGTGTGTGGGCGACGAGGCGAAACCTCTGCTTTTCATCGTTGGCGTGGGCGAGTACGTTTTCGGAGCCTACATCAACGAGTCCCTCAAGCTGCCCGATGGGTTCTCGGATGACGGAAGGTCATGGGATAACCCTAGAGTTTGGTCGTACGATCTTCAACGAGGATATCACTTTCGGTGTGATGTGTGGTATTTCTCTCTGGCCGGCCACTTCGACGAGCCGACCAGAATGGATTCGCCACATCTGCGCGAGTCCATGATGACCATGGCGGCAGATGCTCTGCCGCCGTGGGAATGGGAACCGGAAGACGATGGCTATAAGTGCAGAAAATGTGGAACGTTCACTGAAAGATCGAACGAGAGGGAGATGCTGACAATCAAAGATCTATGCTTGGGTGATGAGAGGGACATGAGTCACTGCCAGTTTACGTGCAATCCTCGTGACTGGCCTGATGGATGGCCTGCGGGCTATCGCGGGGTGAACGATTCTTATGGCCGTGTGTATCTCGGTGGCAACTGGTATTTCAGAGCCGACGAATTGGAAGTGCTGACGGTCTCAAACAGGCAGCTCCTCGATTGACAGTGCATGTGTGTGTGAGTGTGGGAACTTTGAATCACTTCAGCAAACAGTGATGGTCACTTCACCCCGTCTCCCTCCCGTTCTCACAGAGAGATTCAACAAACTCAAAGCCCCTTCAACATTGACAAACCCGCTACAGACATCCAAACGCAAAGAAACGAATGTCATTCTGACACAATCAAGAAAATGACACAAGTTTCTCCATCTCTTCACAGCCCCCACTGCCTCCCCGCCCCTGTGTGGTTGCATTCATGGCCTGTCTGCCTTCCCGTCGATTTCACATTTCTCGCCCTCACTTGATTCCATTTGCGTGCACTCACACACAGAAACACGCACACACATGTACTGTTCCCCCCCGCCCACATTCACTCCCTCATGCTCCCCCTGGATTGGGGGCAGTCCTTGGTCATGTGGCTGTTGATTTTGCCGCACTGTCGGCACTTGTGCGTTGAGTGGTCCTCCCGGCAGCCACGCAGCCCGCACGACTGGCGACGAGGCGACGGGGAGCGGCCCCGGTGGCGAGGCGAGTCACCGCCCTGCTGCTGCTGCTGCCCCGATAGGAAGAGGTTGCTGAAGAGCATGGCTGCGGCCAGCACACGCGGGTCACACACAGGGGCGGCCTGAAGTGGACATACAAATACATGGTCAGAGGCGGAGGAAGTGCTTGCAGTGGCAGTGGGGTGTGTGCGTACCAGGGCTGCATTGGCGTTCTGGTTGGTCTGCTGATTGGTGTTCTGATCGGCCGTCTGGTCGGTGTTGTCCTGCTGGCCAGCTCCCGTGGCAGGAGCAGGGGGTGGCGGAGGCGGCTGCATCATCGACGTCAGCAACTGCGCCGCAATTTGCTGGAACAACACACCATTGGTGTACACGAGCAGTTCCTTGCCGAGGAGCGTACCTGCATCATGGGCTGCATGATTTGGCTGCTGCCCGTTGAGGCAGCCGACGTGCTGCCTCGCGATCGAGATGCCCGACGGGACGACCGAGATGCACGAGGCTGACACATACGGACAACAGCACCAGCCATGCATAGGAAGTCAGTGCTCTCTCCCACCCATGCACCCTGCCCCACGTTGTCATCCGATTCGTTGCCGTCATCTGCGCCGGTCGAACGCGGTGCGAAGCGGCAATCGCGGGCGAAGTGGTCGGAGTCCGTCTCCTTGCACCACTTGCAATAGTGGCGGCCTGTTCGGCGGCAGTTGGCGAAGGTGCAGCAGGGGACTCGGCAGCGCGTTGTGCCTCCACTGCTCAAACCGAACCACGACGCCGACTGCACAGACACAAGAGGACGGCTCACGACCACAGGAAGTGCGCACTCAAAAGCGGGTGCCGCTCACCATGACTTGGTCGGTAGCATGCCGCTCAGGGCCTGCGCGAAGTATTCCTACTCCAAATCACAGGGAAAAAACTCATCATTTCTCTTTGATTTTTGGGTTATGTCTTCCTTCGCATACCTGTGCGCCAAGCAGGAGGGCGAGTCGTCAAGAAACCCTGGGGAAAGCACCCGATCGCAGTGAAGCTCGCAGACGGATAGTCCCGCCCTGCGCACAGATCTGCCGCATCCAGATGCTCTGTACGATGGCTGTTTGTGCGTGTGTTGTCTGCAGACCTGTTCTCTCCCGAAGTCTCTGCCGCTGCCCGCTGTTCAGTGTGCACGACGGTCAATGACGACGGTCGATGACGACTGCCCGCCAGCGCCTCACTGGCTCGCCGTCGTGGTGCCCAAGATGACGAAAAGGTAGGCACGAGGACAGAAAGATCGCACAAGTTGATACTCCTCAAAAAATCAGGAATTCCTCGGATACGAGACCGTAATAGGAATGAGGAATACTGGCGATTCACCGTTCGTCTGGCCGCTTTCTGCGCATCACGATGACTATCAGGCGCACCACGATGAAAAGTAAGCCATCTAGATCACTTTAGCGTTGCCCCGTGTATGTATGTATGTCTGTCTGTGCCTGTCTGTGTTGTCTGTCTGTCTGTCAGGTCCTCCGCATTATGTCCATCGGGCTGACCAGCCGGCTCGCCAGCTGACGGAAGACGGTCACGATCCCCGCACCACCCGACGGATGTCGACGGCACACGTGGCGCCACCTCGGTGTTTGTCGGTCAACAGGTCGGCCCCTGGCCCGCCACCGCAACCCATCATCGGTGCAGGAGGTCGCATATCCCGTCCGGCACTGCTATGCGCCCTTCACGACAACTGGGCTGCCCTCAAGCTTGACCACCACCGCTCTCCCTCTCGGGCCGACCCACTGCATATGACCGCCCCGCCAGAGTATCGCTACGTGTGGCTCACTGCCGCCAGCACCGAGCTCATTATGGGTCAGCCGGGATGGGCCATAGCTCTCCTGCCGGCCGCAATCAACGAAGGTGGCCGCCCGCGGACCTTCCGCAATCTGTATCGCCTGCAAGTCTTCCGCAGGCCAGCCAAGTACATGGACGAGGCGGCGACGACGTACAGCGGCCAGTGTGGCGTGTTCTTGTATCGTGGAGGGCAGCTGGTGGACGCTCCAACCTATGTGCCGGTCACCAAGAGCAAGGGCGACAAGCTGTGCGCCACGTGTGTGGCGTGGTGTGCTAAAACGGGGCGTATGTGCGGCAAACAGAACACCTACCGCAATGTGGTGAACTCTCACCTGCGCAAGACACACAAGCTGACAGAGGACGACCTGCAGGTGCCAGACAGCGAGGACCGGGGGGTCAGTCGACAGAAAGATGCACACACGACAGCTCTCATTGTTGTTGCTGTGTATCTTGGTGTCTTTAGGGGTGTGCTGCCTTGCCGAATCTGACGAACAGGGGTACGCAGTGTGGTGTGTCCCTGAGTGTTTTATGCGCCCATTGCACCTCTTCGTGTCTGTCTGTCTGTCTGTCTGCAGCTGCCCCCAGCAGTGACGATGAATCGTGAGGAGTCACATGGCATTCAGCAGATGGAGTGACGTGTAGTAATGCCCATTTTTTTTTGTATGCATTCAGGCCTTCCCCGAATGTTTTGCCCATCGACGTCGAGAACCTACACGGCTGGTCCGCTGCGCCCGCAGCCGGCTGCAACACCCAGGTAGGCACGACACGGTACTGGCTCGTGAAGGACGCAATATCTGCCCGCCCGTATCCCTCCCTGTGCGTGTGCGTCCAGGGGGGGAAGATTGACATGGAGTTGGTCTAATGGCACCATCAATGCCCCTTATGACATGAGGCCGTCTTCTCCCGCTCGATCAGTGGGCCAGGATCGTCTGTTTTTGTATCAAGCACCAACGACGTGGTTGCTCTGTGACGCTTTGAAGATGAAGAGCCTGCAGCAATTGTAACAGTTGTCGTGTTTTCTGTGATTTGGTCAAGACAAGTGTGCATCCTTTTTCCCGACACGTGTGTTGGTGTGCGTCAAGACACCTGGTGCCGTGAGTGTCAGTGATTTTTATTGAGACTCACTGAGGGGCATGAAGTGTTCCCAGTGATGTGTGTGAGTGGATGCATGCGCTGTGTGGGCCCTGGCTGATGTACTCATTTCGCAGCGTACTCAGTTTTTGAAGTTTACGCGTGTGTATGTGTGTGTGTGCTTGACAGAGACATGGATGCACCTCGAATGCAAGTCCACGCAGGCAGACAGCTGACGTCCACTTCACCAAAATGACGGCACGTACCACAAACACACGCACACACAGAAGGCAGCACCACATCGACCCGTCTTCAAAGCAGCATCGGAAGCGGGCTTCCAGCGATGGAGGCGTATCACGAGCCGCCGCCTCAGTCGTGCACAGGTAGATTCTCCCCTTCTTCATCCACACGTGGGCCGCGACACCGCGTGGATTCGTTCACACACACACTCGCGAAGGGCAGTGCGCACCGCTTCCGGCATGTTACCGCGAGCTGGAAACACAGACAAGAGAGCACCAGTCCGTTTGCTATGTCGCCTGCTTGATGCAACCACCACACTTACCACTGCGTCAGAGGATGTCACCGTCGTGCTCGATGGCAAGCACCTCCAAATCCTCCGCAAAGAACACCTCACTACCCCCGAAGACAGCATCGCCACGCTGATTCCGTTCCCCTCGGTAGCCATCAGGCACGTCGGCACAAGGGATGTACTGACGGCAACTGCGCAGATCTTCGTGAGGACCTTTCCCACTGGCGTCATAGCCCAGGCTCAGCCGCCCATTGTCGAGCTGCACATTCGCTGGCCAGGTCGGTCCCGCCTCGAACAACCAGGCGAACAACCAGCCTTCCTCGACTCGGATATCCGTCGGCTCGTCGAAGTGCCCGCCGAGAGAGAACTGCCGACAGCGGTATTCGTTGAAGCCGGTCGGCCTGTTGGGCAGCTTGATGCCTTCGCTTGTGTAGGCGCCAAACACGCACTGCGTCTCGTTATGGGTCTTGTGAAGAAGAAACACCAGGCCCTTGGCATCACCCACGCACCGAAGCATATCGCCGTATTTCCACCCGTGTTTTGAGGCCCTGCAAGCCATGAGATGGAGAAATACACCAAGGGTGGAAACAAAAGAAAGACCTACTTGTACAGCAGTCGCAGCGTGAGTTTCCCCGTCAATTCGAGGTTGATCCTGAAAAGCGGCTGAGTGCCGCACGCTGCATTAGACTCAAATTCGTCCCTTCGATCAGCTGCAGACGAGCCAAAGGCCACATGGGCACCAGGCAATGACACAGTGGTCTTAACGGGTCGTATCTGACCTGTAGTGGCCGCAGCACTAAGAGGCCCTCGACATGGATGACCTCCAACTCGTCAGCAGTGAAGCTAAGACCGCCCCCAAACACCGCCAGGAATCCATTCGCCCATTCATCCCTCGGTCCCCGATAGCCGTCGGGCAGATACACACTGTGAAGGATCTGACTACAGCTGCGCACGCTGGCAGCAATGCTGCTCTCCCCATCATCACAGCCCAGCCCCAGGCCCCCAGCCATGCCGATCCGCATATTCACCATCTCGATCATCCCCAGGATGGGCTCGCGCCTCCCCACCCACACACGCTGCCGTTGAGAGAAGTTTCCACCGCCGAAATCCTCCTTGGTCTCGATCAGTGTGGGTTTGTCGAAGAGGCCGGAGAGACACACACACAGTGCACGGCAGGGGTAGCCGTCGGATGAGAGCCGAAGGCGCTCATCCATGTAGGCACCAAAGACATATTCCTCTTGTCCGACCACCTTGCGAATGAGAAAGATCAGCCCTTTTTTGTCGCCTACGCGGCCCCTGAGATCACCGAAGCTCTCGCCGTGGACAGACGCCCTGACAAACAATACAGCGACACACTAGATGAGCAGTGCCGCTGTTTGTACCTATCTAGGTTGCATATGTGTGTACCTGTAGAGCAAGGTAAATTCACAATGGTCGAACATGGATGGGACGAACAGTGAGTGGAGGGCCGCACAATCTGACACACTCAAACTGCTGCCAACTATCACCTGCAGACAACAGAGACCGACAGACAGCCATAGGCTAACTATTGAGACCAACTGCACGTGCTGCTTGAGTCTCACGTACATGTGGTTCCTGCAGCGTGCCGCCCTCCTCTGTCGTGCTGCCAGTCGACGTGGCCGTCAAGTGAGCGACCGCTCCCTTGGATGATACACTGATGATGTCAGCATCACCCTAGATAGCGGTATAAGAGGCAAGGAAGGACAGCAAGACGCCCACAGGTCCAGCAAAGTAGTCATGGCTGCTATTCCTTGTTCACTGCAGACCTTTTTTATGTCACTGAGGCGGTCATCCACAGTGATGCTGACAGCAGACTTCACCGACGAAGGAGACAACACCTGCAGACATAGAGACAACAGCTGTGTTTCTGTCTGGCTGTCCATCTGCCTGCAGTGCACCTACCTCAGACAGCGGGACTTCTCGATGATTGCGTGTGGTGGTCCTCTGGAGCTTCCCAGGCGGCTCTCCCTCCCTCTGGTTGGTCAGCCTGCTCGTTGACGGCTTCAACTGAATGAGCGAATGACAACAGCACTGAGCTGCTCGCTAGCAGAACACTCGTCATCCTTACGCTCATTGTGTTGCACCCTGAGGGCTCCGATTGCCCGTCTGGCTTGATCTGGACCTCTGACGCCTGCAAGTTGGCCGCGAGCTCTGCAGCTGTCTCACGCTCCATCTCCCCCTCGGAAACGCTCCGCCTGGGTGGTCTGCGCCTTTTCATCTGCATGTCGCTAGGGTCGTGGCCTTGCTCTCTCAGCTTCTTGATCTTCGGCACCCATTTCTTGAATGTATTGTAGTTGAGACCCTTCTCCTCCGCAAATGCCTTCTGAGAGATCCGGGCGTCGTCATTGGCTTGCCGTTTCAGCAGCACATCCACCAGTGCTGTGCGCTCAGCTATGGTGTATTCCTTTGACCGACCGCCTGATGATGTCGTAGCCGAGCTCTCGGACTCTCCTGCTCCTTTACGTACTGGGACAGCACTGGGGGCCGCTGCTGCACCCGGAGCGGCAGCTGCTGGCTGCCCATTAACCTGCCGATCGAGCTGGAGGTGTAGAGTTGATTTCAGCAGCCGACCTTGTTGTGGGTTGGGGGGCATGGGCGGCTGTGTGTTCGGGGTCGAATGATCCGTGCCGTAGGCACTGTGTGCAGCAGCCGCAGCTCCAACAGGCGGGCTCTGCAGACATTGAGCATGTGGACACAGGAATCGACATGCACAATGCTTCCCTCCCTGTCTTTGCTGTGTCGTACCTTTTTGTACGGCACCATGAGCGCCTCGATCCACTCGTCGCTCGCGTAGAAGTCATGCAGCCCCGGCAGCCGACTAGCGATGTCTATCGCTGTGGCCCTGATGACCTTCCTGTTCACGGCCATCGGATAATCAAAATTTGCCATCCAGTCCCTCATCTGCCTCTCGAGTTCCGCCATCCAGCTGTCTCGTTGTGTGGGCCCTGCTGCCTCGTCGCCGCGACCCTGGCCGATGCATCCATCCACGTCGACCTCGTCGAGGGCTTGCTGTAAGGCAGCAGCAGCCTCCTCGCAAGTGCCCAAGTAGTCCCTCGGCTCCCTCTCGAGTATCGCCGTCGGGCTGTCTTGTTGTGTCGGTCCTGCTGGCTCAAGAGACTGTATGAGACAAAAGCGCAGCAATGAGTACATGAAGAGTCCGTTCTTGTATCTGTTGTCCGTCCCACCTGCTGGCATCGTTCCCTAAAGCCCTTGGTCCACTTGTCGCTCGCCGGGAAGCCGAGGACGCCCAGACGTTCCGCAATCGCAAGCCCCTCTTTCTTGATGGCCGCTGGAGGAACGGTCGCGGGGTCCCCTTGCTCGGCCATCCACTGCCGCATCTGGTCCTCGATCTGGGGATACTTGGGCGGAGTGTTGCGCTTCTTGGTCAGGTCCGTAACTTGCTTGCCCGCCTCCCTCTGCTTCTTGATGGTGTAGACCCACCCTTCGAAGGTTCTCACGGATATTTCCTTCTCTCGCGCGAAGTGAGGCATCGAGATGGTCTCTCCGCTCTGCTTGCGCGTCTCAAATTCTACCACCAGCTGCAGCCGCTCGGCAATCGTCACCTCACGAGCCCTCCCAGTGGTCCCCTGAAGCACACGCAGATAGAAGGCTGGATGATGCAACAAAGCCAGTATCGGTCGGCTGTGGTTGTGGTGTTGTTGCCTTTGCTCTGGGCACCGATGGCGGCAGGGACTCTGTCCGCTGTCGTGATGACCCGCGAGGCATTTGAAGGCCCATGTCCTGAAGAACGGATACAGACAAACGGCAAGAGCGAATCCAATACATCCACACAGCATACCAAGAGTGCACATCGTGAGCTCACATATGCGGTATAAGGCTGTCCCACGGAAGCGATCGGCCGCCCCTCTGTCACACCTGATGCACCAGGGGGTGCGTCGTATTTGGGGTTGTGGGCGGGGGGGGTGCTGTGTGGGCAGGTAAGATGGGTAGAGTGCTGGCTGCACCCGCTGAACATCTTTCACTTCTGCTGCCCTTGTAGTTATCATCTGAAGACACACATACACGAGGTCGATGGTACAACAAGCCTATTGGTTCATCCTACCTGAATTGGCTGATGGTCCTGACCGCACATCAACCGACACACATTCACACACGATACAAACAGTGGACCTCGTTGCCTCACCTGTGCTGCTCCCTGCTGCCCACGGATGCCGAACGGTAGAGCCGAGTGGTCCTCGCCGCATGGCGCCACAGCTGCGGGAACCAGCTGATGATCAGAAGACAAGGGTGCAATGACAGAATAGACGACAAAAGCGATGAGTCTGTCTTCCTCGCCTCGTGCTTACTTGTTGCAGATTGTTTTCGTCCGGGGACTCGTTCACCGGCACACCAATGCTGACTCCCCTGCGGATCTCGTGCTTCTCGCCTTCATTTTCCTGAGGCAAAGGGGAGAGATCAGCGCAGAGATGGCACTCCCTATCGTCACAGTGATGTACCTGTCGTCGTGTGAGCGCACTAGGCCTCTGGGGTCGGTGCTGACTCTCGGGAAGGCAAACAGGCCGCGAGCTCGCCATCAGAGGGATCGTCAGCCGATTGAACACAATGGAGATGTCTATGGGCGATGCCAGCGAGGCTGCAGACGGCAGAAATCACGAGAATATCAAAGCGCCGCCGTTGATTGGTCCGCTCTATTTGGTCTCCTCCATTGCGGGATGGGGCTCCCCGTCATCCGTTGTTCTACTTGCTGTGCCGTCCGACAGCCTGGTGAGCAGCGGAATGGCGCACACACACCAAGGGAGGCGCCCGGCAGCCCTCCACCCCAACCAACACGAGCCGCGCCAATGATGTCTTCGCTGCTGCTGCCGCCTGCCTGCAGGGACTCTGCGTGCGGGTGTGTGCATGTGTGCTCCCCTCTGGCTGTAGCTGCGAGGAGAAGAGACTTCGATCATGGGGCTGCTCATCACGGTAAGCACAGGGAAGGCCCGGGGGAAGGGTGGCTGTGTGGGCAGCCACGGCCCACGGGAGAGAGATAAAGCACTGTGTGTGGTGATGCACAGCGCGCCGTCACGTCCTTGTGGCCGTCTGCCTGTGTATGTGCGCAGCGGTTTCTGCGGGGTTTTCTGTGGTGGTGGTATACCGACGAGAAACCCAAGCCAGAGCTCGAACTTCAAGTCCCCGATCCCGAAAGAGAGCCCCTGCGCTTCACTCGCCACGGGTCCCGCGAGGCCTGGCATCCGTTGCCTGGAGCTGCACAGGTATGAGGATGAATGCTTCCATAACCTTCTTGTGGTCTCTTGGTCTGTTAGGGCTTTGATGAGTGGCTGGCGGCCGATCAGTCGGTGATAGATTCTGCTCTGGACGTGAGTGCACGGCGGACAGACAGTCGCGTATGGGTAAATATATGGCAACGACATGATGGATGTAACAGGAGTTCTTTGGGGGGTTGTTCGAGGATTCCGAAGACAATGCTGATCGTATGAGATGCCCAGTATGCACGCACTCCCACATGTGTGTTTGCGCCTGCAGACGACAGCGTTGAAGGCGAGTTGGAGGAGTGGGAGATTGTTCAACTTGCATCGGCTGAGCAGTGAGAAGTGGCAGTGGGAGGGGGGGAGGGGGCGAGGGAGGAAGGCGGGACAGCGTGCGGAACTGAGGCGTGTGGTTTATCATGTCACGGAAAGTGGCCATGAAGTCGACGTACTTTGTTCATGAATGATGCGTCCTTGACTTCATTCACTCGATGAAAAAATCCATCAATATGCTCACTCACTCACTCATTCGAAAGCGTACGTCCCACTGTGTAGGCACATAACACATGATCACTGCTCAATCTGTCCCATCAATACGCCCTCACACGTTCGACCAGACCGAGTAGGCGTAAGCCGTGACAAGAGCGTACATGTACAGAACCGTAGCGACCTCGAGGCAGGCGACGAGGAAGTTCACGCTCTGGTTGGCGGCGTTTTGGCCTCTGAACCACTGGAGGTAACCGGACGTCAGGGCACAGATGACCAACATGGACACGACGAACCTCAGCAGAACAATCCCTGCATCAGGAAGGACATTGAACCACACACGTGCAGAGCTTTGAGCCCTAATTTGCTTACTGGCTTTGGCAGTGTTGGCAGCTGGCGTGTGGTCGCCATCCTACGAGAAAGGCAGGGCGGTAGACAGCTCAACAATGGTGTCAATTGTGACGTCCTTCAGTGAACGATGCCAATCAATCAATCAATCAATCAATCAAGGGCGATGAAGCGAGAGGCTGCCTGCCTGCCTATCTGTCTTTCTGTCTATCTGACCGTACCAATGCCGCGTCCACGTCTGACAGAGAGATGTATCCCTGAACAGACATGCAAGAGGGATATGTCATCGCACATTCCCTCATCAACCCAGCCCCCTTTTCTCCGCACTTGGTCGGTGCCGTAGTCGTCCGCAGCTTGGATGGCTTGGATGACTGCCCCAATGCACACACCGCAGCAGGACAGCATGCAGATGAACTTGATGATGATGAAGAGCTGAACACACAGAGATGGCGTTCAAAGATCGAGATCTGAACATTCTGGGTGTGCTTCTCCCCCTCCAGATCTGTGCTTACCGTGATGAGCAGCCCCATGATCGAAGTCTCCTCTCCTCGCAGCTACAGCCAGAGGGGAGCACGCACACACCCGCATGCAGAGTCCCTGCAGGCAGGTGGCAGCAGCAGCGAAGACATCATTGGCGCGGCTCGTGTTGGTTGGGGTTGAGGGCTGCCGGGCGCCTCCCTTAGTGTGTGTGCGCCATTCCGCTGCTCACCAGGCTGTCGGACGGCACAGCAAGTGGAACAACGGATGACGGGGAGCCCCATCCCGCAATGGAGGAGACCAAATAGAGCGGACCAATCAACGGCGGCGCTTTGATATTCTCGTGATTTCTGCCGTCTGCAGCCTCGCTGACATCGCCCATCGACATCTCCATTGTGTTCAATCGACTCACGTCTGGCGAGCTCGCAAACGACGGGCTTTGCTTTGGTGACCTGGAGATAGCCGGACTGCCAGCGCTCGCTGATGAGTCTGATGAGATGTTCCCTATGCCCATCTCATCAGATGTTTGTTCGATGCAGCTGACGCACTGGACTGCTATTGTTGGTTGATCGGATGTTCCCCTTTCCCTCCCCCTCTCCCTCTCCCTCGCCCATCGGCCATTCAGCCACCTCCGGAGGCGGTTGTGTGCTGAAACGGAAGGCCGACGTGGATGTCTGTGACACCGAGGAGTCGAAGCGCATCAGGACAGCACTATCCGGTGAGGACCATCTCGTTCCACAGCCAATCCCTCTCCTTCACCATCAGCCACAGCCGCAGGTGGTCTACCCACCGCCATGTGTGAGCGAGGAGATATGGCAGTTGTCGGCACCATCTGCTGCTGATGCCGGTGGCGACTTCTTATGTCATCCATACGTGCACCATCACCTGTCTGTGCCAGCTCCGGTGCCGCCTCAGCCCAGTCATCCCTGTCCCCCTCCCCCTGCGCCCGCCCCGCACACACACGGCCACTGGGACTACTATGCTGCTGGATGGTCACCCCATGGGTGGGAGCAATATGGTTGGGAGGGATCCGGCTACGCTGTGGGTGGTGGAGGGGTGGTTGGTGAGTCTCTTGCGGGCGTTGGCGAGCTGCCTCCACTGCTGCCGACGCCAGATGTGGCAGACGGTGAGCGATCGAGAGACCTGTGCACCCGATGACACCCGCTGCCTTATTCTCTGAATGCGTGTGCAGGTACGCAGGCCGCACCAAGGGGGAATAAGCCACGCGAACCCTTCAAGGATGAGTTCTTCGCCGAGACTCTCAAACTTAGCGAGGCGTTCCGGTCCCTGAGGGCCGCCGAGCTGGCCAATCGCAATGATCCGTGTGTGCAGGCCATATGGAAATACAGAGGTGCGGAAATGAGAGAAAAGTAGAGGAGGAGCATACATCATACGGATATGTGGCTGTGTGTGTGTCAATGATCGGTCAGAGCACCAGTTCTCGACCAACAACTGCCCCAACAACGACCTGTCGCCCGAGGTGTCCATCGAGGCCTACTACTACATCTACGAGCAGGGCATGCGGGCATTCAAACGAGACGGGGGGCTGCTGAAGAACGAGATACCCTTCAACGCACACGTGCTCGAGCTCGGCGCAGCACCAGGTGACAGCGCCCTCGCCCCTCACACACACTTCCCGATGCAAAACGAGTTCGGTGTGTGGGTGTGTCTGTGTAGGTGGTTGCTGTAAGTTTTGGCTCGAGGACTGTTCGGTACAGTCGGTGACGGCCCTGACACTGCCCGTGCGGCCCAAAGGCGGCGTCAACATGAAGTACGCACACGACCGGATGACCGTCATCGACGCCGACCTCACTGACCCGGTGGACGTCAACCGACAGAAAATCGAGCAGAGCCCAAGTATGCGAGAACACCACACACGTACACACACAGAGGCACACACGGATGGCCACCATCTGTGTGTGTATGTATAGGTCCTGTTGGTGGGTATGACATCGTGCATCTGGGTGCGGTGATCCACGCCCCCCGGAAGCGCGGCAAGGGCGACTCTGAGATCTACCTGGAGGAGACGAAGCTGCGCAGCCACGCCATCTGGCTGACCCTCACGCACTTCCTCAAGCCGGGGGCGCACTTCCTGATCATCCTCAACTTCACCTACGAGGACTTCTGCCTCCTGTTCCTGCTGCTGCCGCTCTTCAGGAACCACACCATCTTCCCTACCAACTTCAGATACTCGAAACGTACACACCAACGGCCGCGATGGCCGCACACGCAATGCCTCTGCATTTCTCCCTTTCTCTCTTTTTGTGTGTGTGTCGACTAGGTTATCACGTGTTGCTACGGAGTTACATAGGTGGTCTTGAGGAGGGCAGTGGGGGCGAGATGGAGTTGGGCGGGAGGGGCCCGCAGGACGTCATGCGCTTCCTGGAGCTCATGAAGCTCACATCGGAGGAATACGCAAACACATGGGGGCCAAAGGTCTTCTCCATGGTGAGCGGGCGATCAGAGATCCAAAAAAGTACACATGCGCATGGGTCATGACATCCGTGTGTCTGTGTGTTGTATGCAGAGCAAGTTGATGGGACTGCTGAAGAAGCTGCTGCCTGAGTTCGAGGCCATGTGGCACGACGCAAAACTCTTCCTCAAATACCTCCAGAGACTCGCACACGTGGTACGTCCATCAGTCTGCACACGTCCACTTGTCATGTGCGTGGTTGTATGTAGGCGTCTTCTGATGAGGAGCTCACCGAGGCAACCGGCTTATTGCGTGGTGGCGGAGCCCGTCGCCTGACGCACGACGACATGATCCGCTTCCTCAACCAGCACCGAGAACAGCCGGAGGAAGACCTTACCGCCTCCCCTGCTGCCATGCCCCACCCGCATGCGCCATTGCCCGTGCCGCTGCCGCCCACCACCCCGCTGCCCTACTACTGTGCGCCGCATCCCCCGCCCCCCATCCCACCCCAATACTTCGCTGCGCACTCACCGCAGCACGCAGCAGAGGCGTGTGGCTGGCCGGACGGGTATGGACATGGACACGCTGCGGCAACACCGGCGATGGACGTGGCCAATGCCCCGCTCTGGCCTGCACAGGCGGCAGAGATGGTGTGCGACGACAACGCACCAGCAGCGCCAGCCGCACCAGCCATGATGGCTGACGCCCACCAGGCCGATTTTCCCGTCCTCCAGCAGCAGCAGCAGCAGCAGTGGGAGCATCTCACCAGCGACTTGGCGCCCGACCCGCCCGATCCCTCCATCACAGCTGACGATGCATCGTCGCGCGCCCCACCGCCCTCATCACGGAGGCGGCGGAATGGTCCCCTGCGGCTGACTAAAGCGCAGAAGAAGGGGCGTCAGCGGATGGTGCTGACGCCAGCGCCTGGGGCGAGGTCGAGAGGTGGTGGGCTGCAGGGGGGCGGGACGGGAGGTATCACTCTGGTGCCGGGGGCATTTGTGATGGATGGATGAGCGGGCGTCGAGGGGTGTTTCTTGGGGGGATTCGTGTGTTGTGTGGATGAGTGTGGGGCGGATATCTGCTGCCTTGTTCTGTTCCATTTGTACGCTCTATTGGGCAGGCTCTATGCATCTTGAACGATCTAGCAGGGAGGCCTGTAGACGATATGCGTGGAGAGGGAGTGTCGTGACAGACGCTGACTGATTGAATCACCGAAAAACATACGAGTGTCTCACGTACGCACACCGGCACACACGAGTGTCATTGTGCATCCGCCATTAAATCACGAGTGTGAAAGTTGCGCACATGAAGGCAGAATGATGGTAGGGTGAGGGGGGAGGTGCCAAGGGCAGACAAAACGGCGATCAAGGCTAGACAGACAGATAGACAGACAGCAAGGCGATGGAAGGCGGCAAGAATTAAGCCGCCGCTCGTCTACGCCATGGGTGTGCGTGTGTGTGGATCTTCGCTACTCATACATCGCCCCAGTGCACCTCTCTAGGCAAACTGACTTCATTCAACCTGCCCAGCTGCTGCTCTGAGAGCGCCTCATCGCCCACCCACCCACCGACCCGCCAACCCACCAACCTACGCCAACACAGACGCTCCCTGTCCTCGAAAAAGAGGACCTACGACTGCTACACCTGGCTCACTCGAAGAACAACCCCAGCACCAGCAGACACAGGAGGCTGGCGGCGATGAGCGGGCACACGAACCGCTCGTCGAGGAGCATCTTGAAGGCGTCCGTCTCGGGCAGCTTCACGCGCGCGCTGGTGTCCTTGGACGTGGCCTCCGTGGCACGCTGCCGCAGCGCCGATGCCGCCAGTGGGGCCTCCTTGACGGGCTCGGGCTCCTCCTTCTTGACGGTCTCGTCCTCCTGCAGGCCAAACAGGCCCTTGACGTCCGCTGCCTCGAGCGAACGGATGGTGTAGTTCTGCAGACCCAACTGAAGGGAGGGAGATCAGACACACAGATATGCAGTGAGATGTGTGTGGTTTGGCGTGTCTTTCTCTCACCTCGATGAGCGTCTGGTGAGAGAGTTGATCCACCTCCAGCACCGCACCTGGCACGGAGGCAGACATGAAACAGCAGCGGTCCAGCCGTCTTTGTGTGTGTTGCCTACGGTCGCTATCTCTGTCGAAAACGATTTGCTTGGGTTTGTACGGCATGAGCATGGACCTGACTATCTGCAGGCAGGCAAGATCCAAGCACAATGGTGATGGCGTTGCAGAGCGTCGCAGGGCGGCCGCGTGCGTGTTGCTGTGTTACCTCCTCTGAGTCCTCCGAGATGCCCGCCACCTCCACGTACAGCTTCTTGCCAGACATTGAGTCCTCCGAGATGCCCGCCACCTCCACGTACAGCTTCTTGCCAGACATGATGCCTCAGGTCGCTTCTCGAAGGGCTGTTTCGGTGCCGTGAAACGCGCAGACTGAGAGCTCAGCTCGCATTTGCACAGATGGCAGAAAAGAGGCCCAGCCGCGCTAATCTGAAGCGTAAGACCGACACAGGCACACGCGGATACCCGTTTCCAGCTTATTCTTGCTTTGTCCGTCTTCTCAGTTGTGGTTCGTCTGCTGCCTCCCACTTTGGATGAGTCGCAGTTTGTGGAGACTATCGCGTCCTACGATGGCAAGTACGAGTGGCTGCACTTCGTCCCCGGCAAGCGGCGAGGCGCGGGCGACGGCCATCGGCAGGCGAGCTCCAATGGCCGCTGCTACCTTCAGTTCCGTGAGCCTTCAGACGCCGAGGACTTCGCCAAGAACTACCATGTGAGCGGCGCAACGGATGGCCGGCCTGATCTGATGCGATCTGATCTCTGTGTGTGGTGGTCATTTCAGGGTCACTCCTTCGTAGATGACCGAGGTGTGTCTCCGTGTGTGTGAGACGAGAAGAGGAGGAGGCATCACACACGCCTGGCGTGCGAGTGTTGTGTAGGTGAGTCTTTCCGTGCGGTGGTCTCCAACGCGCCCTACCAGAAAGCGCCCAAGAAGCGGGCCACCACGGACCAGCGGGAAGACACCATCGAATCAGGTGCGTAGATCATCTGAACGCGGACCACACCCATACATAGGTTGATCAGATCAGATCATCACCTGCACCCTCTCCATTGTCTGTTCAGACCCCAGCTATCAGGCTTTCCTAGAGTCGCTCGCATCGCCCAAGGAAGCGCAAAAGCCCGTCAGTGCCGCTGAGCTGCAAGGTACGAAGGAGAGGGAGAACAGGGAGGAAATGCTGACCACATTCGTGCCATGTGTGCCTTCGCTGCTGCAGCTGAGTTGGAGCGTCAGAAGGAGGCCGCGAAAGATGAGCAGCTCACGCCACTCGTCCTCGAGATACTCGCCAGACGCGACAGCAAATACAGAAAGGTGCGCACCCACGCACAGATGGGTCACCGATGGACACACGGATTCCCACACGCAACCCTGCTTTTCTTTTTCTCTCGGCTGGTTTCATGCAGCTGAAAGAGCAGAAGGCCAAGGAGTTTGCCAACATCCACGGGCTGTCTGTGGCCCGTCCGCCCCCGCCCCCCGCACCCAAACCCAAAAAGGGCAAGGCGGACGCCCGCAACGGCACCAAGGCTGCACCCGCCCCAGCCCCCGCCGCTCGGCACCCCCCTCACGCCAAAGTCAGCGTGACTGAAGGCAAAGCTGCGGCCACCCTGCTGTCTCGGACACTGGGCGTCAAGCCACATCATGCCGTTGGCGAGGCAGACGGCGCACCAAAGGAGAAGGGCAAAGACAAGGACAGGGCGAGGGACAGCGGCGGGAGCGGGGGCGGTGTTGGTGGTGCTGGGGGTGAGGGCCCTCCTGCCAAGGCCGAACCGGCAAAGCGGGCGCCGGCCAAGGTATTCATGCCGCCCACGGCGCCCAAGAAGGAGTGGATGCAGGTCAGTGCGCCCAGGGAGAAGGCAGCTCCTGAAGCCCCCCCCAAAGCGGCTGCACAGCCGCCTGTCGACACCGTAAGCGAGACGCCACGCAATCCGTGCACACATATACCCATTAGTGTGCGTCTGTCGATGTGTGTGGCTTCGTTCAGGCCCAGGCGGGTGACGAAGGCGCTTCCGGCCGGCCACCAAGGTCAGCAGACGATGCAATACTTATTACCTCCATGGCTTGTGTGTGTGTGTGTGTGTGTGTGTTTATGACGCGTGTGTGTTGCCTTCATGCAGCCGAGGCCGCGGGGGTCGTGAGAAAGGTCAGAAGGGCCAGAGGGGGAAGCAGCAGCAGTGGCAGAAAAAGGGCTAGTGAGTGGGGAGGGAGAGCCAACACGCATGTGGTGTTTCGAGTGCGTGTGGGTATCGGTGTGTTTGACATCCCAGTACGTGTGGCTGAACTTGCGTCGGAAACATTCACGTGCCTGGGAGTCATGAAATGTCATAATGGAGTCCAGGCGCCTAATTGAATCAGCCCAAAACAAGTATCTGAGGGAGATACTTGAACGGGCGACGAAGTTCCTCAGTTCGCATCAAGCACGCGAAGGGGAACAATACATGCAGAGACAACGCTCGTTGACTACGTGTGTATGAGTCATCCGAGGGGATTGGCTAACTCGGGGACGGGCTGCATGTCATCTTGACACAGAGTCCATTAACTCACTCAAACAGTTTCTTTGTGGCCGAGCAATCATCATCATGATGCAGCGAACACAAAAAGTGACATCTACCTATCCGGTGAAGGTGTCCACCGCATGTAGCCATTCAGACAGAGTGATAGCACACAATAGACACCGACGCCAGCGCCACCACCAGCCCAGGCACACTCACCGACCGCATCGACACATGAGCGAGTCGTCGGCCAGCTTCGCAAGCATGCCAGCTATAGCTCCCTCGCCCTCGATCAGCGACGACGCCGCATTCAGCCACTGCCAATTGTACGGCACCTGGATGGACGACATTCACACACACAGAAGCAGGTAATGCTCAGCCATGTACGCCTCTGCTTCTGGCTGTCTGTTTCCGACCTCCACTAAGGTATAAACCTCCAAGTCCGCACATGTGAATATATGTGCGGCCGCCAATGTCGCGTTTCCGTTGTCGTGGAACTTGCCGCGATACGTCTTGTCGGCCGGCAGCTCGTGCCTCTTCAGCCATTGATCGCAGCGGCGAATGTCGCCAGCCGGTCCATCATCCGTCCCCACCCCCAGCCACAGCCAGCCACCAGCAGTGCACACGTTGCCCCTCGGCACACCGTCCTGGTTCTTGACTGCTCTTGTGTTGGGTCGGTTGGGGCGATGAGGGGCCCGTCAACGTGACACGCGAGGGTGTGCTGATGTTCATCCTCAATGACGAACAGCAGGCCGCTTTGCGCACCTCTCGTCCCCTCCAACAGTGTCGCATACTCCCAGCCGTCATGCGAACTCCTGACACAAACACACACATACACCATCCCCCGCCGGCGTACTGCGTATGGTGCCCCTCACCCACCTGAATAAGCATTTGACGTGGCTGTGTGATTTGCCGATCATCGAGAGGAATACCCGCTCCATCAGGCCGTACATCTCACACGCATACAGCAACTCGTCAAATGAGCCGCTCGCCGACAAGGGCGTGGCCGCGTCGGGGGCGAACCGAATGCAACGGACGTATTCCACAACCCTAGCCGCACCGCACCACACCACACCACACCACACCGCACAAAGTGTGACAGCTCTGCTGCCGGCTGCTGTGCTCATGCTCCTTACTTGCGGAAGGTGTCTGCGGAGACATCAACGACGGGCCCAGCATACCTGGACGCGCCACACACAGCAGACCTACAATGCGGCACCCTATATCTTCCTGCCTGTGTTCCTTCCCACTTGGTGAATCGGTTGTGTAGCGTTTGGGAGGCGTCCAGTGTGGCGTCGGTGGTGGCCACACCACTCCCACCCGCACAGACGGTGTGGCCCGTCCCGCCCGCCGATGAGCTGATGAAGGGGCCCATGGTGGCCATGAACCCCCGAAAACCGTCACTGTCGCCATCGCCGTGCTGCGCATCGACGGTCAGGGCAGTCGTGGCGAAGAATAGGTCGTGGTAGAAGGCCACTGCCGGGGAGCCCTCACAGATGTCACTCAGGTCGGTGTGGTTGCCCGTCAGGTCCCCAAGCTTCGCGGCCAACCTGAAACCACACACACACACACACACACGAGGACAGACGACAGAACGGTCTGTGAATTGAACGTTCGTGCCTTCCCTCCCCCACCCACCAGATGAAGTAGCAGGGCTCTGCGTCAATGAAGTGAATCCCGTTGGGGTCTTTGAGCATCCAGCCATCGAACCGGCTCAGCAGCACCGCCAGACAGGTGTGCCAGAGGCCTTCCCGACGCAGCGCATCGCGCGGGAATGCCATGACGGTGCCGCCCACGTTGAGCAGCAACGTCGACCGAGCGGCCATATTGCAAACGCATTTTTTCCCTCACAATTGTTTCCGACGCCATTGTGGATGTGCTCATGTTGCGCGTCACCGCCTGAACGCCTGCCTCGCCCACTTTGCTGCCGGGCGCGGGCCTCGAGGGACGGGGAAGCCCTGGGCGATCTCAGCGGGGGCGAGCGGCACGAATGGCGCGCCAGCCATATGGGCCTTGAATGCGGCAGCCATTGAGGCATCTCCACACCTGACACGCGCATGAGACATCGATATGAGTGAAAGACGAGAGTGACAGATCAGATGCATGAAATGGATCAGTGATTCGACCCTCTGTTGTGCTCACCGTGTCTGTTTCATATTGCTGTTGTCCCCTTTCAATCTCTTCTTTTGCTCCAAAAGCTCGCAGGTTGTTTGTGTTAGAGCTCTCACTTTTCCTGAAACCGCAGCTGCAGATCTCTCTGAAGAATGTTATTCGTTCATTCTGTGCCTTGTTTGTGCTTGCGTGTGATGCAGGGACAATCAGGGAAGGGCCAGAGGCCCTCTTCAGTGATGTTTGGTTGAGGACGATCGGAGCTGTCAGGTAACACAGGTGTTTCAAAATGGACCTTCTGGGATCTCTGGATAGGAAAAACTACCACCGAGGACCCTCGGAAGCCCTCGCCAGCAGAGATCTCAGAGATCCTCACCTTCGCGGAAGCGGTGGGGGTCCTCCGACGGTGGTTGTCCTTCTTCCCATCGCTTTTGTAGGCTTTCCGCAGCCATGGCGGACCGGGTGAGTGTGACACACGTTGGGGGGGAAGCCATTCAGCCAGAAATCGGTGGTGCTGACACA